TAGATAGATAGATAGATAGATAGATAGATAGATAGATAGATAGATAGTCAACTCAGATGACTTTTAATTTGTGTCCACCAAAGCAGCTTAACGAAATCCAAACTTTCCCAACAGGACCGCTCTACTTTTACCATTTCCTCTTGTCTAATCTACGTACATTTACTTAATCTGTGCAGGCTAGATTAATTTGACATCTGTCAAAGTGAGACATTGTTCTACCAGCTTAAGAGGAAAAAGTGAGAAAGAACCAGAATCAGCGCTGCATATAGATAATTTCAGACCAACCAAGCCGCTTTTCACAGCTTTAGAGTATCAGCATTTTTCAGACAAATGCGGCTTCACATTTGTACTGGAAACACAATTTCTATTGTCTTGAAAGGCAACTCAAATGTGAGTCGTGTCAGTGCCAGTAACATTCATAACAAATGTAGAACAGCATAAATATGATTTGATAGTAAACTGAAAAAAGGGGAAAAATAGACAAATTAGATGTAAAAACTAATGATCTATGAACTTCATTTGCTAATATTTTTCTAAAATATTAATGTTAATGTGCAATAGCATAAAATGGATTAAATGGCACTTTTAGATTTAAAAAATCCCAACAAACACCACACACATTACCATGTTTTTCCTTTTCCAGGCCTTTTGAGATCAGCCTAATGGCACATTTCATCTAATTAAATTCCTGCTTTGAATCATTTTGGTGATTAACTGTTAGGCCTAATGTTAGTGTACATCTGACATGACTGTTTCTGTGACAGATGTCGACAAAGGCTCTGTTGGATGTCAGGATAAAAAAGCAAAGAAGAACCTGTTTGTAGTTCACAGCCTGACTTTTGGCTCGTTCGGTTGGTTCAGTATCAGACAGACACATTTTAATGGATGTCATATTACACGCAGTGGGACGATTCTAGTGGTTAGTCCAAAAACACATTCATTTTTGCTGCCAGTAACACATCCTTTAAGGGCTGTATTTACATAAGGCAACTCATAGGATTAGTAACTTAGATCCCTCTACTTCGTTCTGTACTGAAATACTGACAAGGAAAATTACTGGTAATATCTACGACTAAAAGTCTGGAACATCAAACAATAAACAATTTGACATGCCAAAAGAAAAAAGATTAAAAAGAATAAAAGGGATTTTTTTAAAAAGCAGAAAACAAACACATTTTATTTTTCCTGCAAATCATTTAATGCAACGGGACAGCATGCAAAAGAAGAAAATCCTCACTGTACCACAAGCTGTTCCTAACAAAAACTTTACTGAGTGTATTATGAGTGAGTATCAAGGGCAAGCGGCTTTAGATGACAGCACTATTTCTTAATTGAAGGAGTGGTTTTGCCCTCATTCTTGTACGACATCCGCCCATCCTTTGTCTACACCCCCGGGTGGGGGTGGGGGTTAGGGGGGCTAGACTCTGTACCGGCAAACATTGAAAGCAAAGCAGCGGGGGGTGTGGTTGGGGGTGGGTGGATGTTGCTGGAAGCCTGAGTACCTGGAGAGAAGGCATCCATACATGGGGCGAACATGCAGACTCCATACAGAAAGGCCCTCCATCCCCGGGGGATCCGTGCTGTGAGGCACCACTGCTAACCACCAAACCCAGTAAAGCCCCTACAGCTCGACATACTTCCTCCAAATGCAGTACTCTTTACCCACTGCTACTATGCTTTAATATTTATATATAGCAAATGACAAATTTAACTTAACAGCGACCGCATGGAAAAAGTTGCCCTAATTTTGAGACTCAAAAGTTGCTGAGAGTTATTTCTTCTGGGTTTTTTTTTCTCCAGTAGCCAAGTGTTCCTGTCTTTATGTTCAACTAAGGATTTCGTTAAAATATAGCATGTCGTGCGATTGAAATAAACTTATTTCACCCCCACAGATTTCAATCTAACACCTGAGCACAAAACAATAGGCAAAGCAAGAACCGATAAAGGTGTTTGTTACTCTATGTGGTGACTGTGTCATTCTGTCTCTCTTCTCAAAGGCACTGGATGCTGTCACTTTGTGCTGACGTTCAGCGTGTATCAGCCTTCAACAGCAACTGCCAGGAAGTTGAGTCCTGTTCGGCTCCCACCATGTCCAGAAGGGTGTTTTATCATTCCAGCTTTCTGCACAACGAACTTGAAATTTTGCTCCAAAGAGAAGCTTCTGGATTGCATCATCATTCAAAGTACTCCCCTTTACTTTATTTTAATATGTGTTTTGTACCTGCCGCATAGTATCAGTTGTAATATCACTGATATTTTAAAGATGGATTAGCAATTTCAGCACAGTAGGGTTCATTTGCATATTTTATGCTTCTCTGTGTATTTCTGCTAAAGATCTTGATGCATTGCCAACATAATGGCTCATTTGCTCAAGGCATCATCATTCAAATTATGTTTTGACAAGACAGACTTAATGTGATCATTACTCTAATGGCTTTTATGAGAATGCCCTGATGTTCCCTTTCTTTTGTGGAGAACTTAACTGGGTCTGTGTTTCAGCCAACCTTTGCCGCACAGCACACTGCTGACTACCGCCATCATCTCGTCATTTTGACCTGCTTATGGTTCCTGTGCTGGACAATATGACCCCAAGTTCTCTCACACAGAACTGCTCCAACTGCAGCCAAGTTTCAGTCCCAGAGCTTAACGTGGTCAAAGCTGTCATTCTGGGCTTGGTCCTGGGTGTTTTTATCCTGTTTGGGGTTGTTGGAAACATCCTGGTAATCCTCTCTGTGGTTTGCCACCGACACCTGCGGACCGTCACACATTATTTTATAGTAAACCTGGCAGTGGCAGACTTGTTGCTCAGCTCTACGGTGTTACCCTTCTCTGCAATTTTTGAGATCCTGGATCGGTGGGTGTTTGGCCGGGTCTTTTGTAATGTTTGGGCAGCTGTGGACGTGCTCTGCTGCACAGCTTCCATTATGAGCCTCTGTGTGATCTCTGTGGACCGCTACATTGGAGTCAGTTACCCTCTGCGGTACCCGTCTATAATGACCAAACACAGGGCTCTGCTGGCTGTGATACTGCTGTGGGTGCTCTCTGTCATCATATCTATCGGACCTTTGTTTGGCTGGAAAGAGCCGGCACCAGAGGACGAGTCCATCTGCAAGATCACAGAAGAACCAGGCTACGCCATCTTCTCGGCCGTGGGCTCCTTCTACCTCCCTCTGGCCATCATATTAGCCATGTACTGTCGGGTTTACGTGGTGGCTCACAGAGAGAGCCGGGGGCTAAGAGACGGCCACAAGACGGAGAAGTCAGACTCGGAGCAGGTGATTCTCAGGATACACCGCGGGAACACAACCGTGTCGGAGGACGACTCCCTTCGCAGCCGCACACACTTTGCACTGCGGCTGATCAAGTTCTCACGTGAGAAGAAAGCTGCCAAGACCCTGGGCATTGTGGTTGGCTGCTTCGTGTTGTGCTGGCTGCCCTTTTTCTTGGTGCTGCCCATTGGTGAGTATTATCATGTCTGTCATGCACATGACTACATTTTATGAGGTCAGTTTTGCAGCTTTTGTATAATTTTTTTTTTTTTTTTTTAAGCTAAACAGGATGTTTGAACAGCTGAGAGAGTGAGGGTATTTTTTTTTCTTGTTTTGATTTGAGTGGGGTTGATAAGAACTCTTTCCAATATTAAACATTAATGTAGCCAATCATAATTTATCCAAAGAAGCTGAATGTTTTTGATAATAGAGGAACTCAAATATAGCTGAACAGAGAATATTTATTAATGTCAATATCTTATCTTTGACAGTCGCATCATTGAGTGTCGCAAACTTACATTCAGTCCAAATTCAGTTTTGGTCTAGATTAATCAAAATTGGTTGATCAAGTCCAAACTTGCCCAAAATCCTCCCAAAAGCTTGCCAAATTAGTTCACTATCATGAGGCCAGAATAAGCTCACATTTGGAGCTGTTACCAGAACAAAGCCAAGTGTGTTGACATCGAAAATAGAACGACAGCTGGCCTGGCTGTCCACCAAGTTTGTAGAGTAAGGAGTTAGTTTTTTTTAATTCCTCTTTAAACTAATAGATAAAAGCATTGCTTTAGGGGTTTGTTGGACTTGTTCATGATGACTGTCTGCAACAACCTCCACCATGTCACCCTGAGTGAGTACATGAGTGACATTCTGGGTACCAAAAGGATTTAGTGTATTCCAGAAAATGCTCTTGTTGCCTTAATGGACTGAACAAAAGCAAATGGACCTCTCTCCTTGACTTTTTTAGGACGTTCCAACTCTAAATCTCTCTCAAATTCTTCCTGGGTTCTGACTGATGATAACTTGTATGACTTAGAATCCACACTAACATAGTTCACAAGCTTTTTTTCAACTTTTCTTTATACCATTAAGGGTTATATTCCTGATAACCTATATTTATTAATGAGTCAGACTACTTATAAAGAGCTGTTAGAATATTGCATCAATTCATGTTACATATCCATTCATTGATTTATCCTGCTGCCAAGTTTCTAAGTGCTCACAAATTTTATGGTTAGATTATGTTAATTAAATTATTCCTTTGTGGGATCACACTGAGGTTACCAGCATTCAGACTGTCTGCGTCGCCTCCTGAGCGTTGTGCAGACGTACCTATAAATGTAGGGTCTTTATAAATAGACTGCATGAATCATTCATATCTCTGACGTCGTCTTGTCTTCCCCATCCGTAAATAAAAACAGACAACCTGCGACTGACATGTACTTAAAGCGCATGCCTTTTCATGAACTGTTAAAACATCTTCTGTCCAGCTTCTTCCATCCATTGTGTGTGTGATTCAACTCATCATTGTGCCACAGCTTAAGCGACAGATAAACCCTGTGCATGAGAGGCAGACCTTGGGAGAAACATATGATGTCTTTCTCCAAGAGCCCCTAGCCCGATGAAACCAGCTTGAAGGGAATTAATTACATGGCTTGCCAACCTTGTGTGAACTATGCCATGTGTGCTGTTGTCAATAACGTGGAGGGGAAATTTGAGCCAAGTGGATATCAGATGTACCCAAGGGCTTACAGGCCCTGTGTGGTTTTTATTTATTCCATGTTATCATGCTCGTTAATATAGCAGCAACTGTTTGGTAAAGGACTTTCCTGACTGGGAAATAAGTAAAAGCCTCATCTTACCACTACCCCTGTATTAACTCTGGCATCACAGATACATACCTCAGGGATGATACATGTAACAGTGACTCACCGTGCAGCAGTTGGGATTTGAGGCATGGAGGCATTGTTTTGTCATCATAGAAATAAAAGTACAGGACTTTGATCATGGCAAAAATCTTGAAAATGTTAGTTTTTAGACTTTATGTTTATTTGTTCTCTCTCCTTGACATTTCAAAAGGTCCTCCCCAAGAGCATTCTGAGGCATTAAGTGAGCTATTGCTAATTTTAAAAAATGAATAAATAAAATGGCATAATTTGGCACTACTGTGGGATTTAATGTTAAAGCCCTGACCATGAACTCTGTCTATGATGTGCATTGTTGACTTGCATCGTTTGTTGCTGTACTTTGTTCAGTATGACTCATTTCTGGTGTGTCTGTAGAGTGTAACTGACAGTAGGATAGTTGCTGTCACCTTGGCATATGACGAAATGATTCATTATATTTTCCAAGTGCAAGGAAGTGTTTTTTCAAAACATAAGAGCACCCTTTCGAAAAAGGAATAGTCCTTGCCTCTAAGAAGAATTTATTGTACACACTTATTTCTCCTTCAGGTCATCTTTGTTTGTACCTGCCGGCAGTGTGTCTCCTTCAGTCCCGTATCTGCGTCTCTTATCAAATTGATTGATGTTTTAAACATATTTGTCAAGTGTGTATAAGTGTGTGTATAAAAACACGCTTTTGCTTAATAAGCCTGTTGGATTGTAGTTGAGTGGGGAGGGATCAGGGCACGGTAGTTTGAACTGATAGATGTCTTTTTATTGTCTTCACATATGCACATTATCCGTGATGTTTACACAGCCTCTGTAAAGGCATTACAGCCTCACGGCATCCGGAAGGCAGCGAGACGAGATGAGACAAGAAAAATACAGGCACAGGAAAGTTTATGCCTATAAATGACTGATCGGAAAAATCAACACACATCAAGTCGGCGTCAAGAGATGACTTAGTGAGGCTGCTTCAGCTTTAAGCATTTTCTTGTAAGACCACAATCCCATTTGAAAGGAACATATTTTCCCAACTCTGCACCTGTCTCCTAGGTGTCCAGAGGTTGCATGGCTACCACACGATATGAGCACTTAATGAGATAGTAAATCACATATAATTCTGTGGTACATCATGATGTTACGACACTGGAAGTAACAGACCAATAGGATGGTAATATGTTGGGAAAATGTTGACAGGGAACACCGTGATGTGTTTACAGGATATCTTAAATGGGAATTTAGAAAATCACCATATATCAGTCTCAACCTTTCCAGTAGTGGTCAGTCAATCAGTGTTGTTTTGAACTTCTTTTTACTAGAAAAGGCTTTGAGATATTTTCCCACTGCAATGATTCCAGTATTCAACTCTCCCCTCCCTTTGTGTTCTGCTTCGTCTTTGTAAGAATTCATGTCTTCGTGGTTGCATGATCAAAGTCTTGATGCTTATGATAAAAAAGCCCTCTTGGCAAAAAAATCACATGTTGTGCAACAGATGTCGAAGGGTCTCCCACAGCAAATAATAAATTAAATAAATAATGTTACGGTTAGATTGAAAATAACAAATAACTGGAGTTCCAAAGCTTTGGATGCCTCACTGAGTTTGAACAACAAAAGACATGAATCTAACAGATGCAATGGCCTTCTGTTGTTTTTTTTTGTGAGGACAAACAAAAATATCTAACAGGGGCGCTGGCAGTAATGGAATTGAGTTTTGTAGTGCAGCTGGGGATAAAGTATATGTGTGCAGACAGGCTCAAAATCATTTGCTCTCAAGCTCTTCCCACTTCTTCTATCCATCCATCTCTGCATCACCATCTCATTTTTCCAAAGCCCACGTTTCACCTTTTGCAACAGCTCACCAAATAAAGCATGTCAAAAGGTACCTTCTCCACATCTAACTCTGATAGTAGACGACAGAGTGGAAAATATAGCACAAGAAGTTCGCCGTTAAATTGTTTTACTGTTTCACTGGCAGCCTCTAAATACGTGAGGAGTTACCGACATTTACAGTGACTAACCGGCATGCCTCCAATGTGCCTGCTAAGCCATTGCCTTTGCTTCTTCATTAAAGATCCCACTCACATCCATGAGTGCTTTCTCTAATCAAAAGGATTTTGGCATCAGTTTTATTTAAAACACCAAAAAGGGAGCAGGTATGAAGCTTTAATTTAAGTGGCTAGAGGAGTAATCACAAGGGGCCATAGAAGCTACTGAGTCCTGAAGTGCAATGTTACCAGTGAGCAAAACAAATGAAACATTTCAAGTAAATCTCCTTTTATATATCACTTCAAATAGCTCATTGATTATAGAATGAGTAATAAATTCTGTACACAAACAATTAATCAGATTTAATTTGAGGTTCCCCAGATTTTTTCTCGTTGGACGTGATGTTTAAATTTCTCTTGTGGAGATTGTTTTTCCTTCTGCTGAAATAAGTGTCCACTGTCACTACAGGTTCCATCTTCCCTGCATATAGACCTTCAGACACTGTCTTCAAGATTACCTTTTGGCTCGGTTACTTCAACAGCTGCATCAACCCGATAATCTACCCATGCTCCAACCAGGAGTTTAAAAAAGCTTTCCAGAGTTTACTTGGAGTTCACTGTTTGCGAATGACTCCCAGACCCCACCACGACCATCTGAGTGCATCTCAAAGTCAAACCCAGGGTCACAGCCATGGCCTGGCTCTCAGTCTTGACAGCAGGGGGGCTCCCTGCAGGCTCAGCCCTTCTTCCTCTGTAGTTCTGTCCAGAACGCCCTCCTCCAGGGACAGCCGGGAATGGAGGGTCTTCTCTGGCGGCTCCATCAGCAGCAGACCCGGAGCAGCTGAAACAAGCAGAACTAAAGTGGCCAAACTTTGCAATAAAAGCCTCCAACAGACCTGCTGCTGCATCATTAGTGCTGAAAGTCCCTCATCAGAGCCTCCACCTATCGGAGACCTCCCAACCATTAAAATCCACCAACTGTCCCTCTCAGAAAAAGGGGAGCCTGTCTAACCGTTGAAGCTATTTATGTATTAGTCATGACTCCTCTAATGTCAAAGATGAGAAAATAATTATTGTAATCTTTGAGATTTGAATGCCTAACTCCTCAGTTTAAATGGATTCCCTTCTTTTTTGTTTTTCCCTTTCTGGATATGAGGTTGTGACACATCTGTTTTGGCATAAACTGCTTTTCTGACTGCTTCTCTACATGTACTTCCAGAGTGCAGGTGTGCAAAGATGAAATTATGGCAGCCTGATGAGGACCAAGATTTCCACATGTTTACATATTTTATATATTAGTGTAATAGTGTAAATAAGAAATATCGTTATGTTGCCTCTTTAGAACCTCCTGCTGTTCCATGTGTCTCAAAACTTTGTCTCATACCGCTCCTGTTGTGGAAATAATGTTTGTACGTGGTTGAAACCAAATGGACCTTGGATACTCTTGTGTCACTTACAATAAATTGGTAAAAATATTCCCAAGAATGGATTACCAGGGATATTTCTTGTATTTCTGTAATCTTTTGCTCTGTTTCCTGTTTTTCAACCGATTCATTAGATAAATTCCTCCCCATCAAAACATTTTGTTCATCTACCCACATTCCCACAATTTCATGCACCTCTGAGCAGTGCCAGATGGATGTCTTAATATACTTCTGTGGAATTTTAACTGACCCTGTGGTTGCTGGCCTCAATCCTTACTGACCCCAAGCTTCTTAAAAATACGCCAGATTTAGAGATGTCAAGATAAGTCTACAGTCTCAGACATTCTTCTCTCAGGCTGCACTCCTCATTTTTAATAACCAACTGTATCCAGTCTCTGCCTCAGCCTTCATAAGGCTTTCACAGTGGAGGCTTTTTAGCAATGTCCAGAAGTGAGAAACTGAGGGAGTTTAGTGTGAGTTTGAGACTGCAAAGTGTCTCTGTTTACGCAGAACCATCAAAGGGCAAGAGGACAACTGCTGCCAACCGTATCGATTTATTCTCTCCTGGCTACTCCCTCTGTAGCACTGAGATGGGCTCCCTTTCTCAGTGTGGGCGGTAAGATGTGCATTCGGAATCCTCCAGCCTGCCTCCCCCTCTCCAGGTTAAGTTCAGTCATAGAAGTGGACTCGACAGCCTTCCTCGCAGGGGAGGGTCCTGGGAGAGCAGCGAGAGTGGATGTTAGTGTCCGCATTGTCATTGACTGGCATGCCTGTGAACCTGTAAATCACACCATCTCACCATCTCTGCGCCGATGCCATTAAGAGCGGAGGAACCAGCTCCAGCAATAAATTACAGATGGTACAGATGACCTAATTCACTCTCTGCCTTTATTATCTCTCTTTATAGAAAGTGGTGTGATTATGAATAAAACCCCGGCTGACAAGTATCGGTGTGTAGTGCTTTGTAAAGATATATAATCTACCAAATGTGATGAATGCTATAATTAGATTGAAGCTCTACCACAATCTGAAGTAGACTGAATCAAAGCTTTCCAACCTTTATCCAGGAACACTTTCATGTTCCCTTTACACATATGTATATACATATACATGTATGTATAAATGTGTGTGTGTGTGTGTTAAGATTGACTTACTGAGCGCATAATAAGTGTTACCAAAGATAATGTGTTTAATGCTTACAATCTCATAACATACCTTTCTCATAAAACTGTATGTCATGTCAGATCATTTATAGGAGGATTCATGTACGGTCTTAAAATAGGTGTTTCTGTATTTCAGTGGACTGAAAGCGTAACAAGCGGTGCTGGTGACTCATGTTTGCACACTCCCAAGAGCCTTTAGCCTGGTAAACCCTTATTGATTCTTTTCAGAAGCTTTCATCAGCAGACCAAAGATATTAGCATTGGAGGAATCCTATCTTTGGCTTAATAAGTGCACTCAAGTGTTTTGTCTTAATTGGGCAACTGTCAAACTGCCCGGAGGCTCCACTCCAACTATTCGCAGAACTTAGCTGATGTGTGCGCTCAGTGTGATGTGACTTTTCTGTCAGTTTCCCCGTGATTGAAGCGTACAAGAAGTGGGAGCATCAAAATGAGATTTGCTCCCACAACTCTCTGCCTCCACCTAGTGTTGTCGCCTCTACTGTATCCACTGCTGAGGTGCAGACTCACTGCTCATTCAATTCTGACTGATCAACCCAGATTATTCTTCAATATTCAACCTGAAAAGAAAATTGACAGAAACTGCTACTCCATCTTTGTGTGATAGAAATGTGATAGAGATGTTAATGGAGGTCAAATTCTTCAATTTTGATCTAACTTTCCATAGACATCTTTGTTGTCATTATTTTGACGCTGTGGTCGCATTTTCAGAAAATATGTGCACATTTTTTAAAGATAAGCAAGATTTTAAAGGTAAGCAATGAGAAACTGCAAGATGTGTGTTAAACATATCACACTTTTCATCCCATGTTTTTGCTCAGAAATTGTCATTCTAATAATTTAACAATGCAAAACTATCAAATCAGGTCTTTTACTTTAATCATCTCACAGCATTAATGTAGAGCAATAACCAGACTGTATTCTGAATGGCTTTATTAAATCAATCCAAATCCGAGTTGTCAGCACACAATACTCACAGACAGGTGACAAAAAAATATGCCCCATGTTTGATATAATGGGAAACCCCGTTTCTAAGATGTGACTGAATATTCAAATCTGTCAGTTAAGTTGAAATCTGACAACTGTGAAGCCTTTACTTTATGATTCTGCTCATTTTAATCCTGCAATAGAACACCCCAATCAGATGAGAAAGCTTTCGTTATGGGATGAAGTGGCTGTGCAGTGATGCAGAGCCACCCTTTCCTTGGCAGGCAGCGGCAGCCTCTGCCCATCACTGCAGTGGTAACAGGCTCCTGCTCAGCTTCAGCTCTTGTCCCTAAATATCTTTTATTTTCTATCAAATTGGAAGCAAACTAAAGGATGGCATTTTCAGATTCATAAATCCCATGGGTGACTAATGCCTTAAAAAAACAGACCGGAACAAAAGCTTTAGTTTTTATAACTTTAATCCACTGAAGTCAACACAGAAGGTCAAATGCTGACAGGGCCAATGATTCCCCCCAAAACTCTGGTATCCAATAAAACATACATGAGCAAGAATATCACGCAAGGTGGGGGAGGGCAAACAACAGTGCTCAACATCAGAACTCAATTATTATTTCCGAGAATGGTCCCAAAATGTTAACCACTTCACATTATAGCTTTTGCATACAAAACCAACACTTGACAAGGCAATGAGGAAGAAAGAATCCAGTGTTTTGTGGCGTGGCTGCACAGCTCTGCGCGGCTGGCAGCCGGTAGCGCTTTTGGTGAGTGCAGCGACAACCTTAAGTGAGTCTGGTGTTTATGAGGGCAGGCTGGTGGTAGGAGGAGGGGGAACAATATACAGTACTGGGTACTTCATTCACAGCACTAACACCGACAACAGCGGAGACACATCATCAGCACACTGTCGTCTTATACGTACAGAAACTATTTTCATCAGGTCTCAAAACTCCTCGGTTCGCCTCTTCAACAGAGCCTTCATAGATACAGCGTGCTATCAATATCGTACACGACGGGCAGGCAGGTAGTTCAACACGTATCCTAAAACGTACAGACATATCCAGTACAAATAAAAAGTTGCAAGCGCACATACACGTTTACCATTTGGGTTGTTCACTGGTGCAAAACGACTTCTGTCAAAACGGGGCAAATGGTGACTATCCCGGCTGCTATTACGGTAAAGCGTACGCGGCTGTTTGCATGTGGACATCATCTGCTCATATACAGCAAAGGTCAGATAGCACCAGGTGCAGAGAGGCTGTCAGCAAACCTCCCGTCAAACGTCTTGAATGACACGGGGTCATTTTGACGATAGGATGTTTGTTTCCCTGACAACCTTTCAAAATTCACAAGGAAAAAAAAAATTATGAAAGAAGGGAAAAGGTGTGTTTCTCTGGCAAAACGTCACAATCCAGCCGTTCAGTTTCAGGGAAAAGCTGAATGAGTGGCTCAGTGTTAAAACACCTTCTTTTTTTCTTTCAGAGCAGAATGTGCTTTTTCCAAAGAGGAAAAAAATGTCTCCATGAAGAATAAAAGTTCAACAAAAAGAAGAAGGTGCAACCAAAACAGAAAAAGGAAGACATGGGTGAATCGCTCAGCTTAATATCGTAACAAAAACAGAAAACAAATACTGCAAACATTTCAGAGCAAATCGCTTTTTTTTTTTGTTTCAACTATGTCTCACAAAAACACGTCTGTTACAGTTTACCAGCGATACTTACTTTCAGCTGAAGGTGGCAGCGTCGCAGGCCCACCGAAACATTCCAAATCAGAGAAACTAACAGCAGGAAAAGAACCGCTGTTAAAACATCATGAAAGAGCTTTTGCTTCTGTTTCGGGTTTCTGCACCAACACCTCACAGCTTAAACACGTACAGAAACAAATACAAAAAGAATGTAAACAAAAATAAAGTCATAAATAACCAAACTGGCTGACCAGCCAGGTTTTTTCACTCGATCCGTCCTCAGCACTGGAAAAAACGGCAGGAAGGATGGAACGATGTGGAGTAGTGCTTCTTGTTTCCTGCATTGGGTGGCGTGGTGTAGGTGTGTGGATGGAGGCGGGCAGGAGGTGCAGGAACAGTCGGAGGTGATGGGCGATGCGTCGTGACTCTGTGGGACTCCTGCTGCCCTGCACCCGCCGCTCAGCTGAGGAGGGGGCCTAGCCAAGGCTGGTGATGTTGGCTTTTCCACCAGGGGGCGCCACAATGCGCTGAGTGGGGCGGCGAGGGATGTTGTCGTCGATTTGGGCTCCTTAGAAAATACAAGCAATCGAAATAAGGAGCCCGGCCGTGAGGTGAGCCCGCCGCGGGGAGGGAAACCGGCACGTCCACTCACCGGAGAGGCTGAAGCCAGACTGGTGGAGGTTGCGCACCGGCTGGTGCGTGAAGGGCTGCTGCTGCTGCTGCTGGTGCTGCTGCTGTTTGGCAGGGGAGGTCCTCACAGAGGAAACTGCGGACATCACCTTGGGAGTCGCGGTCACCTCACACACCGGCCCATCATACTGGCCTCTGGGGACCCCCCGCAGCTCTGTGAGCTGGACGGAAAGGTCAAGAGATCAAACTACAGAAAGGTGTGAGAGAGAGAAAAACTCATGAGGGGGCTATCTCGTGATAGCTCACCCTGCTGCGAGCCTTTATCCTCTTGTACACCTGGTCCGGGAAAGGCTTGCGGCTGATGTAGCGCCCGCAGCCCTCTGTGGGGTGAAGGCTGCCGTCCTCCAGCACAATCTTACCCTGGCTGATGACCACCAGAGGACCGCCGCGCACCTCTGTGCCCTCAAAGATGTTATACTCAACGGCCTGGGAGACAGACCAACAGAGACGATCAGCTAGTTTTCCTGCGGTGGTACCGGGGCAGCTGAGGCACGACACGCCGTGGCGCCCAGGCTAAGCGGCCACTGACCAGGTTGTGGCTTTTGGCTGAGATGATCTTGGTCATATCCGGGTCCCACAGCAGAAGGTCGGCGTCAGAGCCCACAGCGATGCGTCCTTTGCGGGGATACAGATTGAAGATTTTGGCAGCGTTGGTGCTGGTCACTGCCACAAACTGGTTCTCATCCATTTTTCCAGCAGCCTTTTTGGGAAAGGACACGAGAATCAGGCGTTGGCAACTCAAACGGGTTGGCAGAGTGTGCAGAGGTTTGTAAATGTCAGGGATGAATTCTAAGTGGCTGGTGTGAGGCTCACCACGCATTTGTCCCAGATTAGGGACATCCTCTCCTCCGTGCCGTTGGTGCCCTCTGGAATCATGGTGAAGTTGTCTTTGCCCACGGCCCGCTGAGAAGTCTGGAACGTGCAGTGAGCGCTGCCAGTCACCTGCAGATCTCCACTGAGGAGGACAGAAATCAAAGAGGTGCGTCAGGCTGCAGGTGCAGTGTGACATTTCTGAAGAATTAATCCACTGAAAGCAGCAGCATCTGTTTGCTACATGCCACACCAGTGGATTAAGTGTTTTTCATGTGGTAGGAACCAGAGATTTAGCCGTTTAAAAATAAACGCATGCCATGGCGCCGTGTCCCTGCTATCTTTAGGCGCCGGCCCCAGAACACCTACCACGACAGCAGAGAGTTGAGATAGTCAGGGGTGGTGGGATCAGGGCTGAGCGGGGGAGACGTGATGAACGCCGCCGCCTTGGCCCAGTTCTTACTCCAGTAATGGGTGCCGTCTGTGCCCAAGCTGGCAGATATGGGCTCGCCATAAACCACAGCCCCTACAGGAGCACAGAGGTGGATGCTAGAGCAACAAAAACAAGCGTGTGAAGCAAAGCAGGGGAAAGCTTTTCATCCCTTACCTCTTTTCCTGGCAAGGGCAATGACATCAGCAGCGCTTTTGCTCATCACCTTGGTGACGTAGAGGGGACAGTTGGTCTGATTGGCGATGGTCACAGAGCGGTTGACCGCCTCAGCCTCCACCTGCAGGCAGGAACACAGCAGAGTCAGACGCACAGGCCTGTCCTGTGCTGCGTGCGGGGGCGCAGGGCGTGGTCTTACCTCCTCTGGACGGCTCAGCACGTGGCCTTCGGGGCCAGTGATCCCCAGCTCCAAGATACGCCTCTGCTCCTAAACACCCACACAGGGACATTATGATGCAACGTCGGCAAAGAGCTCTCAGCTGAAACCTGACTCAGCGATTCACTGACCTCCGCGATGATGTCTCCATTTTCTGCGTGCACCTGTGCAATAGCTCCCAGATCTCTGATGACGCTGAACACCTCATAGATCTACAAGGACACGATGCACACGGGTCAAGCCTGCGGGGGGAATCGTGAGCGGACGACATCTAACAGCCCAGAAACCATGACTAAGCAGAGATCCCACCAATACTGACCACAAGCCAAGCATACCTGAGAGTCAGAAAGTTGGAAAACATCCTTATAAGCCAAATAGATCAGGAAAGAGTTGACACCTGAAGATAGAAAACTTATGAGAGAACCCAGCCAAAGATGGATAAAGAGAGCAAAAGGACGAAAGACCAGGAACCAAGGAGGAAAGTAAAAAACTAAGGAATAAAAACTGCAAAGCCAAAGCGTTCAGAGCCTTCATTTAAGTCACTGGAAGAGGGTTGACTCTTTTCTATGTGCGGTCAAACACATGAGATGACATACCATGATCCTTCACCAGTGTCTCCATCTCTTCCTGGGTGCCTCTGTTCCAGTCGGTGACGTCCACGTGCAGAGAGTAGTCACAGCAGGACTTGCTATCGGCCCACTCCCTCCACTGCTTGAAAGCAGCGATCAGGCTGACGCCGGGCTCAGGGACCACGTGGTCAACTAAGGGAAGCAGAAAGCTTAAATCAAAACCCCGCGTCCTGCCACAGTTGTAATCACTCTGATCACAGTTTGCTGCCAAAGAGCAGGAGCTCCATACTGATCATGGTGGTTCCCCCAGCCAGAGCCGCCCGGGTGCCCTGGTAGAAGTCGTCAGCTGCCACCATGCCCCGGTCGGGCATCTGGAACCGAGTGTGCACGTCAATGCCCCCAGGCATTACCATTTTTCCATGAGCCTCTATGATCTTCACACCGCCTGGAACGATGAGGTTGTCTCCTATTTGCCTGAAGGAAAGAATAATGCAAACGAATAAGATACGAATCCAATAGACCTGATTAAAGAACAGAGACTCCAAGAACCCCAGCGACAGCAGCACACCTGAGCTGCTTCTTAAACAGTCCATAAAAAGGGGGGCACTTCTTTGCTTCTAGTTTGACTTACTTTATGACTCCATCTTCCATGTAGATGTCAGCCACAAAGGACTGATCATCGTTGACTATCTTCGCTCCTTTGATGAGAAGACGGTCACTCTGAAAGGAGGATACATGCCTTCAAATCACCCAGTTTATTAATCTTCCCTGATTAAGGTCAACAGAAGAAGAAACCGTTTCCTTTCATTTTTAAGCACCAACAAAATGTTATCTCATTTTCAAAAATCCCATTACTACAGGAAACAGCTTTATAGAGCTCTGTGTTTATTGAGAGACCTTGTGCTCCAATCTCTAAAACTGAAACTGGTTAGCAGCATTGTTTATACCACTCAACCTTATACTCTGTGGAAAATATCTTCAGTTTTTCGCCAATGCATTTGATGCATTTGAAGGGGGAGGAATCCTTGAACAAAACCCGAAAGATAAAGCGAAGATTTTTAAAAGGCACGATTAGCTCCACCTGAATGAGATAAAAGGAGAGCGTACCAGGCTGGCCTACTTCTGCTGCCTCTCTGGATTCTCCGAGGACAGCAATATCAGCTAAGAAGGGAGAAAAATTGTACACTGCCAGAAAATACTTGTTTTTTTTAAATGTTTTTTTACAGTCCACGGTGGGTTGAGATGTACAGAGGGGATGCATTATGTGGACAAGTCCTGGACTTACGGACATGATGGCATGGACCACTGCTCTGCCATAAGTGGGTCATATAACTTAGGCCTTTTATGAGACCATGTGGAGGGATGAGTGCACAGAGGCTCTACATCTGAACCTAACGCAGCCCAAAAAAGGACGGAAACAGCCTCCCTCTTTGGATGTGGCTGGTCAGCATATAAACAACAGAGCTTGTGCCTCTTTCTGCTGTAAAAATGGACTGTGGATTAATCCCGTGATCTGCAGTCATCAAACTGAGCAGATTACTATGAGCTGAATGTGCCCAGAGAGCAGCCGGCAGTCAAGAGGCACAGCAGATCCCAGATCTGACCACAGCCCAGATGATGCACTCCTACACCAGATTTTCCACCATCAAAAGCTAAAGAAACGCACTCATCACCTCCAGAGAAGAGCAACCGCATCATTTTATTAGCTGACAAATACATTTGAAATAAAAAAAGACTACCCTGGCAGTTCTAACTATGACTAATGACAGCAGAGGTGAAGAAGGACCACTTAGACTGTGTGGGCAGGCTTCACCCTACCAGCGATGTGAGGCTCAAAGCTCTGCAGAGGAAGTCTACCTGCATCATTTGGGACAGAACACAGCATCTGAGTGTGTGAGTCTGAAGGCCGGGGCCCTGCTGGGGACTTTTCGGTTGTCTGAATGTTGCGTCTGGGATGTCTGGGCTGCCTGTTGACATCCCCGTTGTGACCTGCGTGTGACCCGACCTGGACTCACCCGCCCTGTGCGTCCGAAACCCATCTGCCATCTAACCCTAACCCTAACCATCCACAGGCCTCAGATCCCCGTGATGGCAGGAGTGGCTGCTCAAAACCGGCACCGCATCCTATCTGTGCTCACTTTACACTTAAAATGGTGCATGACATATCAACACTGACAATATAGAGTCCAATCAATGCTGTTAACAAGGTTCAATCAGGGAAAGAAAATAACCCTTCAGATTCAACTCAAGGGAATGTTATCAGAGGAAACGGTTATTAATGACAGATAAGATGATGGGACTCGAGTTTAAAGCTGTTCAAAGGACCCTGAGCTGCTGATGCTGATGAGGTGGAGGCTGAGGAGGAGGAGGGATGATTGGGTAGCTTATGGCAGCACAGCTAATCTGTACGTGCATTTCAGAGCCACTAAATCAAAGGTCCGAGTCTCGAATCATTACAGAGCCCGAAACGAACAAGCCGGCTGGTTATCGCTGTCCATCTCTCTCTGAGTGTTGATCCGTGGGGCTGACTGGGAGCTGCAGAGACAGGGCAGCTAAAGGCTAGCTCTGATCTAATCCTGCACGACCACCACCCCCCCGGCTGAACATCAGATGCTCGCATAATGACACACACTCACCGTGATTCGTGGGATGTTCTTCTTTCCTTGGTAACCGGACATTTTTGACGTTCCCTCTGACACGGCTGTGCCCCGACTGTTGGCTAAAGCAAGCTAGCTAGACTAAAAAAAAAACCCTCAGCTGCCTGTGAAAGGATGAGTGGATGCTCTGCTTTCTGGCCAGACGACGCCCTGGAACAGCACTTGCCCGCTTCTGCTATTCTCTGCCGGGAACTAGATGAGTTTTCACAGTGCAGCCAAACGAATGACTCTAAACGAGAGGCAACGTCTTTGTCTAACAGTGCTATCCTTGGATTTACTGCCGGAGCAGGTCTCTGAAGACCAGACAACCACCAAAGAGACAAGGGCCACAAAGAGATATGGCGCATGCGCACTGCCCCGCCCTGCTCAATTATATATCCATGCTTCTTTTTTATGCTTTCCACCCTGTTGGGTTGGAATAAGTCGAGCACAGCATAGCTGACAGTACTGGATGTGAGGATTATTGGGAGAACTAGTTTTCAAGTTGGAGAGAATGAATTATATTTGACTGAGGCGTCAAATGTACAACAACGCTGTTGTTTTGAGGGAAAAACAGGATACAGTATTCAAATAATCATCCATCTGGAAAAAATAAAAGCCCCCAAAAATCTCATCTCATTGCATCTATAATGACTTTTATATGTTTTTTCTATGTATTAGATGCACAGTTATGATTTTCTGCTGTTGTTATTGTACTTTCAGAAATTTTACATCTTTGGTTTTGTTGTTTGCTTTCCTTAAGATCTCATATTTCTAATCTGAGAGCCACTCTACACCCACATCCCTTCATCTGAGGGGTATTGCACAAAACTAGAGTAAAGATGTCTTGGATAAGTGAGCAAGCGGGGCTTGATTTAGCCTTCTCGGCTGGTCGAGAGACTTGAGAACAAACATGGATAAGAGAGGCGCCACGTATTTCACGGCCACTGAACAGCAGCTCCTGGTGGAGTTTTATGAGGACCTGAAAGACACAAAGAAAAAAAACGCAATACCAATACCATAATAAAAGAATGGGAGAAAGGCTGGCAGACAATAGTGGACAGTTTTAAATGTGTAAGTAGTCCAAAACTGTACACTCCACTGGGATTACTAGAATTAGGATACAATTAAAGGACTCAGGTTCACTAATCAGCTGTTGTGCACTTTACTTAAAAAGTGGCAAGTAGAGGTGCATGTTACTCAGGAAATGTAGTGTGATAAGTGCAAAAAATTATCCACAGTGTGTGTAATTTCATCTATTTTTCTCATTTTGTGCAGCAAATGGTTCCTTTCTTGAGGTTCTCTGCATCCCCAACAGAACAAGGGAAGCTCTCTCTTGCTAATAATCTCAATGTAACAAAGGCCACGTGTGGTACAGTGAGAGCATGGCTTTGCACTTTCTGGTGTTGTATTTTTGGACCCAGCAGCCTACATAAATATCTTGCTCCACCATCCGGGAATCTTTATCTCTCAAGAAGATATTCAACTCCAAAAGACAATGGGTCAGGCCTGTCTTGGAAGACCCTACCATAGTAACTCGGCCGGGTTAAGTTTGAGCTGCTTTCATACAACCGACTTGAGGATGAATTCAGCCAGGATAACCAACATATCCCGGCTTAATCCCTTATCCTAGTTTTTTGCAATACCCCTCAGAGCAATAAACAGCCACACTCAGTATTTCTTACGAAAGACAAAAGTTCCGTCTTTCAGGTGAAAAAAATGAGTGACAACCGTGTCTAAGCAATCGATTTATCTGACAACTCAGCAAAAAGCAATTTGAAAAAATCATTGATTTTGTCATATTCTGCAGATGCAGCTTTCACAGCTTTTCTTGTCTTTTTTTCTTTTCTTGTCCTTTTATCTTTAGCAGAATGCCGTATTTGAGTTTTTTTTTTTTATTGAATGACCAAGCAGGCTTTAAAAATGTACTCTAACTCTAAATATGTCCAAATCCATGAGGATTTTCCTTAGAAAACTTGTTTAATGAATTTAAAGGAAACAAAGGAGTTTAAATTATTTTAATGATCTTTCACATGATGAAGTAAGCTGATTTAAATACGTTTTAACTTTGTTTTTGAATGTGTCCACATAGCTGGTTGTTACAGAAGTGTTGTGCCTTAGTGGGATTTACAGCAACCACATTCTGTCTTCCTTTTGTTGTGCTCTTTTTTTGTTAAAACATGAAACTGCTTCTCAATTAATGTATTCTTATCTTAATCTGTTTTTAGTATAATCCAAATTTTACAAAGCTCACTGCTGCTACCAAAACAGAGGTGCATATGGACCTCTTAAGAATAATGAATGAAAAAGTAGCTTTACTTTGTCCTTTTTTAGTTTATACATGACCCACTACATACAGCACAAACTTTATTTCTATCAAATAAAATACCGTACTGTGTATTGCACAGTAATTAATTATGAGAGTAGTCTGCTAGGACCAATTATCAATAGTAAATTGAGTCACGCACAAAGTCTAAATAAGTGATGTACTGCAGTTATTGTATAATTGTATTATAAACTAATCCATTTACAAAGACTTTCCGAAATACCATGCAAGGGAGATAAATGTACAGAAACGTACACATTTTCCTCAAGAGAGTTTTCTATTGCCTCACTGGATGTTCAAGAGACACTGTACATATTATTGTATAATATTGTGAAATTATGGTACGGTGAAGCCTACATTAAAGTCAGATGACACTCCTAAGAGCGGTCCCTCCTCTGTGGTCCTGGTTTCAGTCACTGGAGCTTAAGTAAATGAGCAACAGCAAAACACGATACTAACACTGCCACAATGCATCAGATATAATAAGCATTATTATTAATGAATGGACAAATCATACAATGTTAGAGGTGTCTAGTACATAGGGCAGATCACAGCTTAAATTATTGTTCACATCTACATATTTAAATAACAAAACATATGAGAAAACAAAACTCAAACAAAAAACAGCCTAGGATAAATCACCAATGTGCAGTGGTGAAAGAAATTTGGCACTTTGCTAATGCTGTTACATTATATGTTTTTTTTTCCTTAAAAAAGATATTTAGGCAGAGATACATGACACACATGGCCTGGTATACTGCCTACAGCTTTCAGTCCACCTATCATTATACACTCTAAAAGTCACAAAGTGAAAATTCTGAAGCTGCATACCAGATTTAAACTTTCTAACCTTAAAAAAAACACAAAAAAACACGCCTTTCATGGGAAACCTTCAGCGGATAACATGATATAATTTCTATCAAGAAAAATGTGCAGAATTTCAAAAGTTCCAAGTGTGCAGCATTCATTCAGCCACACCCTAACTCCATAATCACTTCGCCTCGAAAGCTTAGCTCAATAAGTCGAGGCAATAAAACACCCTTCTCTCACTTACTTGATTAGTTTACACTGCAGATGTAACGAGAACTACTGGATTATACTCTCTGCCTTTTAAGAAAACAGAGGAGAGATGCAGCAAAGACAAAGGCCAGATATGTGGTATCCTAACATCTGGACAACAAAAGAAGTTTCGACTTGAAGCCACCCAACATCAACTTTCCGTCAAATATTTCTGGGTTAGATTCAAGTGACTGCATGTCCGGCGATATGGCCCCTGTATCAAAACCTAATGGAGTGCAACTACACAATGAGTATGACGACATCTACAATGTGACACCAGCTCAAGTGGAGTTAAGGGGATATGAGGGTGTACAACAGATGCTGAAAGAGCCTGACTACTGAAAGCTGGTTGAGAGACTTGAAGAACAAGCAGGCACTGCTTAAATTTATATTCAGTAGGAGCTGGTGGAGGCTGTGGCAATTCTCTTCCCAATGTACACTCTGAAAAAAAAAAGAGAAATACAAAAAATGCATTAATTTGGCTTCAAATATAAGCAAATGTCAATCAATGGTCATTTCGCTTTGAACAAAATGCAACAACTTGCAGCTTTCTTTGGACAAGTACCGCAATGCAATTATTTATTAATTTTATCAGTCAGAATAAGTAAAAAAGAAAGCTGATGATCAATTTACATAACAAGCAAACAACAGTGCATCTTGACGAAATAAATTCCTACATACCCGAGGCCAAGAGCCAGCATGTGAGAAATGAGCAAGGAAGGGATGAAAACTTTAAGGAATTCAGCAGAGAAAATCCCCCCTTTCTTCATGACTCCACTCTTCCTCATGCTCAGTGAGACTGAGCGCCTGGGGTGCCTGAAGACGAACTCCCTGAGAAGAAGAATCACTCGATTGATTAATGCAAAACTATTTTTCAGAAGGCGATTGGGGGTAAACCTCTTATGTACCACTGAATGATTCTGGAGTGGATGTTGTACTTACTTTGGTGGAATGTTTTCAGGTCTGCTCGACCAGTCAGCAACCCAATCAATTTCTTTGTTCATCAAGATATCATCCTCTCTGTCCTTCTCTGCATAGTCTATCTCTGACTGGAAACATTATTAAAAAAATAATTAAAAAATATTAGTTTAATGAAAACCACATCTTGGTTTGAGTTTCAAAGGAAAAAAAAGTAGTTTTACCTGACTACCTCTGGGACTGGACATCTCCACATCAAATGTAATTTGTCCATCATCCTGCTCTGGACTCGGTGGCCTGTGAGGACTAATAAGTATGGAAATAAAACATTTTAGCAACTAAGTTTTTCTTAGTTTAACAGAATAAAAAAAAACCTTCATGCCTACCTATCACAGGAGGAGCTACTTGGACTGGACTCGTGCTGTGCATCCAGGAGAATTCTTTCCATGTCTCCATTATGGATAGAGGAGGATGATGGCACATGTTCTAGTCCTCCAATCAGAGATTCATCCGTTTCAGCCACTTCCAGGTTCTGGAGGGATTGACTCATGGCCACGTTTGCGTTCATTTGGTCAGCAGCAGGTGATGTTGAGAGGCTGGTTTGGCTGACCTGGGCCCCTGTATTCCCGTTCAGTTCCAGCTCTACCCAGGAGCCTTAGGGGAGGATAATAAAGATTTAAAGGAAGAAGAAAAAAAGAAGCTCAAACAACGAGCTCAAACTTGTGTGTTAAATGCAAACATAATCTGAGCTTTAAAGCAGCCCGGACCTCAAACCCCAGCAGCTGACCTACATAGACTGCACTGACACTGGATTCAGACGAGCAGGCTGTGCGGTGCATCCATTTCTTTGTGCCACTGCCCCACAAACACAGTTATGTAATAGCTAAAAGCCTGCGAGGCTTGCGCGGACAAACAATGGAAACCTTGTGACAGCGTGAGATGCCACTTCCCTGGTTTTGGCGGACAATAACAACATTAGATCGATGTGGTTTTGGGACGAGCATCAGCTTGGTCGAAAACACATTTTCCGACATCGCTGCTTGCGTGGGGTCTTGCATAACTGACTATTTGCCCAGGCACGTCGCTGTTCCAGCTGTTTACACCTACACAGCGAAAAGGGTCCCGCTATTTGACATGTGAAATAGAGAACGCGTTGACTCGAGTGTCAAAATAACATTTAGTGTGTAAATGTCTGTTTTTATGAGCAGGCACAGTTACGAACATCTGACTGTTGGCATTCATGAGATATGACAACTTAGGAATTACCTTTAAATTAACTGACAACTTATAAACAGAGCTATTTCAAAAGGTTCGTTCAATCGTCGCTCAAATTTGGCGAAAAACGCCACGACCACATAAATGTTATATTCACTCGCCTTTTGTCTAAAACTTGTTTTCATTTTGGACAGAGCCCACCCAGCCCAGACATTTGAGCCCAATTGGCTGTTGAGGTGTCAATCATAACATTTAGCATAATACAATTGGCTACATCCCAGTGACGCAAAACAACATCATCCGCCACCCCTCCCAAGACGAGGAAATTCCATCCCAGATGTAACTTTTATGCTAAAACCACCAATACGAAAAATTTTTTTGGCAATGCAAACATTTATGGCGCGCATAAAAAGTATTGTTAGTAAGTATGGTCGTAGACTAGCTTCCAGAGCGACGTACCTTGAAGCCCAGACTCTTCGTTATTGTTTTGGGGAGCTGCGGTGGTGGACATGTTGACTACAGCTCTCCAGCTCTAACGTTCAACATGACACGCAGACAAACTATGGTGTGCGCATGCGCATATCCTGGACCTCAGATGGACTTTTCAAGAATGAACATAATAATGATGAATCAAATGAACAATTAGGTGTGAATGCAAAAATAATTCAAACAAATTGACCCTACACATATAGTCATTTGTAGATGTTTGCACATCTAAAATAATAATGAATATCTTTAAAAATGTGCTGTAATCATGTAGGTCAGTCACTGTGTTGTTGCAGCCCCTTTTGTTGTTTTTTATGAATTTAAGAAGTTTGAGTGGGACCAATAAGAGGGTGGGCCCTTGTGGCCAATCACACTCAACTACATAGCAGGGCCTATTTCTGGCAGCAACATACATCAACTTGCAGTGCTTATAACAAAGAACGAGGTATGGTGTGTACAGGCTTCTTTTAAGGAAAATGGAACAGTCCTCCAAGTCTCAGGCTGCAGAATTCTCAACGGGGGGTGGTTCAGATATCAAGAGGGTCAGAAGACTTGACAGTAAGAAAAACATTGTCAGAGCCCAGATCTTAAATTCTTTATTTAATTTGATCTAAACTGTACTTTATTCCATTTGAGAAACATCGCTGTACAATGAACCTTTTGTACTTTTCCCCCACATAAAGATCACCAAACCTCTTTATTCATGTGCCCCTTAAAATAGGAAAGACTAGAACTGAATGAAATTCACAAAAAAAAGTGCATTTTGTTTTTTAACTCCTGTGACATGAATGGTGCTGCGATTGGAGAAACTCCAGAGCAGCTACATTCCATGAAATTTGATGATGCATTAAATATGGCAAGTTTATCTGATACAAACGTGAAGTAGTCAAACCATTATATATATCTGGATTTTTTTAAAATGAAAAAAAGTACTCTCTTACTGTAAAGTTTTGTTTCCGTTGGAGCCCTGAAAAACTAGTCTTTGAAGGTATAAGGTTTAGTTCACAGAGCAGCGTTAAATACCCCTGAGCTGTCTCTTGTCTGGTGTATCACAAACTTTAAGAAACGTGATTATCTTACTTTTTGTTAATACTGTTAAAAAGGCAACAGGGTTCTTCTGAGCATTTATGTGCTTTAAACCATTACTTACAGCCAGTGTATACACACAGTATGAAGGGATAGAGGAGAAAAGTACAGAGCTGTTTATTAAGTCATTAATGAATGTCAGTGACCCGTTTTCAGCAATCCCTAAAAGAACGTGTGTCTATGCTGACGTACCAGTATGATGTGAACAGGATTCTTGATTTGGGGATGACTGATCAGATCTTTGACCACTGAATGGGACAAACAAATACAATGCTCATATATCAATCAAGTGGAAAATGACATAACTGACTGTCACACTTGTACATTTAAAAAATAGTTCTTAAAAAGTCGGCCAAAAATGATAGGAACATAAAATAAAGGCAAAGTTTAGAAAAGCATTTAATTTAAAGACATAACCCAAAGCCCTGAGAGACTTGACAACTGACAGTGGTTTAACACCATCGTAATGACGGGTGATTGTATTTTTAGTGACTGTTTGATGAGCCAACGGCTCCCTGATTTAAAAGCTTAAATGAAAGTTTTATGTGCTGTTATCACTTTCTTCATGGCAAACATCTTTGTTTTTCATACAATATATAATTTAGTTCCATCAACACCTCCAGGACATGACATCAAATGAGAACGATTATACCTGGAAGCAACTTACATGAATGGAAAGCACTCGTTTTTGGCACCTGTATCTGTCTTGTACAGTAAATGTCTTTTTTCTTTTTCAAATAAAATAATTTGACCAAAGCAGTGCTGGCCACAAACTGTTTTTTGTCACCCCCCAACAGGGATCCATACAATCAACTGCACACTGTATGGTTCAGAGTCTCCTATTTAAATAACAAATCGTGTTAAGGGAGACATATACATGTCCCAGGAGAGAAAAAAATAATAATAAAAATAATAAAGTTTAGTCAACAATTTTGACTATCATTTTTCAGACAATACAATCTAGTGAAAATGCCTTTCAAAATGGGGACCCATACAGGCCCAAGCTTTTGTAGAGAGCACAATTCTTCTTTAGCAAACCAGTGGCACATGTAACGGGACGTTAAGATCCAAATGAACTCTGAATCCAAGCCTAAAACCTTAAAGTTCAGTGGTCAAAAAGACAAAAGAAAATAAAATGTTCTAGTGCTTTGCAGGAGGTACTGACAACTTAAAATTCTTCTTTGGAAAACCCATATAAAAAATGAAACTCTTTCTTAATGCCAACAAAAATCTATACCTGCCAGGATCAGCTAAATGCCCCCCCCCCAAAAAAAACAAATGTAAGAGATACTTTACTTCACATAACCTTCTATCTAAAGTCAGTCACAGACAGACAGCTAAAGAAGCTACAGTGATTAGACTGTAATCCTATTGCCTTAATTTATATAAAAATAAATCAGTTATAGTGATTATTTATCAGGTACAGTACAAAATGTCACGTCTTTAAAAAAAGTCTACAAACAGAAACCATATCCAGAGTGTAAAGTAATCAGTCTGCATTAACATCACAAGCTTAGTGTGGGAGCAGCACTCTGCTTTAGTGCTACGGACCACAGCACAACAAAACGGGGCCTCCTTCCCTCCCTGTGCTCTGTCACATATATACGTTTTTATGTTTCTCCTGAGCCCTGTGTGGTCGCTCACATAAGCACAACGGTGACCGGCTGGACCAGGAACATAACATTTGTTAGACGGCTTTAAATAACTTCAAGGTGTAAAGGACGAGTTGCTGTGGCACGATGAGCCAGCGGGTGACTCCCAAAACCAGAATACCTGACCTATGTCTGTGAGCCAGCCCCCTTCCGGTGGAAAGGACTGCACTGACAGGTTCATGCTTTTTTCCATCGACATCTTACATGTACATTAAAGTGGGCCATTTCCCTACATGACTGCATTACCGTGCAGCCGGATAAACATCTCGCAGGTTTTGACTGCACAGGAGATAATGAGCCTGGCTCAGTCAGAATCTGCTGGGATCTATCAAGAACAGTTAAAGTTCCATTGTTACAGCGAGTCGATCATTTCTGCACAGAAAAAAGCCAATCCGGGGGTCAAATATACAGCAATGTGTCACATTCAAAAGGCTAATTCGGATAACTCGCTTTTATAATAAGATGTTAGAAAAGTCCCATCCAGACATACAGTGCTTTCCTTTAACCGGACAGCCTCCAAATGTGTCCGCTTCGTGTTTTCCTGTTCATACTCAGTGACGGATTGGGATACTAATCTATCTATCCGGACCTAAGGGATAGGCACATGGTTACATTAATTTGGCACACTGAGCGGAATCCATCCGATCGTGTAAATAAGATTTGAAAAAAACAAAACAAACAAAAAAAAACCCCACCACCCTCACAACTTCCTGCAAAACATTTTCTTTTCGGCCAATATGTAGCTTCTTTCCTTCTCTTAAGACTGTCTTAGCCCCGTTACTGTGAAACAACTGCTGAGAGCCTAGCCTTGCTTCAGCTGCCGTCGGTACCACACCGATGGCACACAGCAGGCAGCAGGGGGGCCGCGGTGGAGACCACAAACCTGAGCTAGGGAGAGGTAACCTTTTTTACAGCCGAAAGTTGTAATGTTTCAATAAAAAGCTTGTTCAACATGCAGAAACCTGTGCAAAGGTCAGCTTCTCACCTGCTCCCATTCACCAGCGGTGCATCTCATCACAGCAATATCAAAGGTTTGGGTAGTGTGATGTCATTGCCGGAGTGTTCATGTAAAACTATTTCTTTAAACATATTTCACACCTGTAAAGGGTCAATGTGCTTCAAACCGTTTTCTGCAACCCACTTTTGCTTCACAACAATTGCTCGCCTGGCTGAAAATGCAAAACGATGGTGCATGACGACCTAACGGGGCCATCTTTCTCACTGCACAGACATGAGTGTCAGAAAGCAGCTGCTTTCCAATTGATTAACTGAGCTCAAATGTGAGATCTCACTGTACAGTAGGAAGGATGAAGTGAGAAAACGTAGAAACTTAATAGTTGCTGGGAGTGAACTGAAGTGTTGACGGCTCTTACTAGTGGTGTTCTGAAAGCGATCTCGGTGTCCGAAAGACATAAAACTAGTCAAAGTAAAATCCTACTTAATCTATTAAAAGATGGCAGCTACAAAGACTGAATGACGAGTCAGGCCACTATAGCAAAACGGGATGATGAAAAATACCTTCCCTTTGGTTGGGGATGTACTGGAGATGCTAATGTTAGCTCAGTGCTCCTAATAAGAAGCCAAAGACAATGGCAAAATCCCAAAGGCTGACCTGGGATATAAAAAACCCATCATGTTTCTGTTTGCAATACATTGTACTGTGCTTGTGGCGGCCTGGCTGGACGTGTGGCGGTAACGCCATCATCTGTTCTTTAATTAGTTGTTCTGCTCGCATACGCCAGCAACATAGGTTGTTAAGATTGAGGGATTGAACCAAGGAAAAAAAAAAAAGGACCTGTTTATCAGAGATATGGGGATCAAGCAGAAACTGGGATCTGAGAGGATGGATGAAACACTAGTTCAGCTTATCCTGGAATATGTACAGATTGTTGGTGGTGGCCACAGCAATGATGTTGTCCAGGGGATGCCAGGCCGTGTGGAGGATCTTCTTGTTAAAGTCCAGACTGTCTACACTGATCTCGTCCTTTTTGCGCTTCCCACCTGTGCTTATTTTGCGCGGCTTCAGGACTGAGCGAGGCTTGCTGTTTTCCCGAGAGGCCTCGAGGGTCACGTCCTGCCGGTAGCCTCTGTCAAACATCCTGAAGAAGTTGTTGTAGGAACCGGTCATCACAACACTGGGGAAAAGAAAGGAGTGAATGAGCAGCGGTCTGGGCCCTCGTCTTAATGTTCATCTGAACATAATCCTGGGGAAAACACCCAGAGGCACTCAGAAAACCCCTGTGACGCTCATATGGCAGAGCAAAGCGGCCTGCAGTGAGCAGATAAGCACAGCAGGCGATAAGACCAGAGTTCTCTGACGCTAGTGGCATGGAAGGACGATTTTTAGAAATGAACTTCAACAGGACAAATGAGGAAAAACTGAGCATGAGATAAATAAATGTATAAAATAAATAGCAACAAAAGCAGCAAATGCTTACCTGTCGTTCCCATTCCAACAGCATTCAAATTTGTCAAAGATGCAGTCGTTCTCATAAAGTGAACACAATTTACTCCTGAGATATTCATGCACCTGTTAACAGAGGGAGGCAGGTCAAGGAGTGAGTGTTAACAAACCAACATTTTCATCAGGATGACGATAATACAGTGATAATCTCAAGTTAGCCACAGACCTGGTAGGTCTCCACCGGCCGGCTCTCCATGTTGAGATCCCATATTTTCACAGACAGGTAGTCGCGCGTCATCATATATCGGCCGCTGTGGCTGAACTTCACATCCGAGATGGATGAGATTATTTCAGAAAAGAATGAACGGTTGTTTGGATCTTCTGGCTCCTCAAACACTGAAAAAGACAAGCGAGTAAAGAATGGGATCCCCTGCATTCGTTTTTACCGTCTGGCAAATTCACTGAAACGCTAAAATGCACAACAGTGTGCAGCAATTTGTAGACTTTCAACGGATCGCTTTTGAGGAAATGACTTTTCTTCAGGCTACGTGACTCAGTCAACATTCATAAGCGGCATTATTGAAGCCGAGTTACATTTGGTGTGCCTGTCGCACAGTGCCGATGCCCTCATGTCGCACAGGCGGATGGTTCCCTTGCTGCTGCTGTAGACAAACGTGTTGCACTGATTTGGGTGGAACTCTGCAGCTGTGATCACTTCTGTCAACTCCTCCATGTTCGCCGGCTTTATGTCAACGATATCTGAGGAGCGGCAGTTAAGGTGAAAGCAAAAAAACAACAAAAAACCAAAACCACCACTGCTGTTCTCATATTGCCTGAATTCTATCTGCACAACCCCACATCGAGTCTGTGTCCATCCATTCAATATCTGCTGAACTCGATCAAATGTAGCAAACGCCACACTGATATCTCAATTAAAGGCCATCGTTTCATTCAAAGACCCCTGTAAAAACTACATTTTTATTCATCCAACTACGCAGCATCATTGTCCTCATCTGTTCAACGTGTCACTGATAGAACAGAAGTCCACATGGTAAAAAAAAAACGTTGCCCTCTTTCCTAGCTCCTTCCAGCAAGGCTCATCTGTTTTTTAAATACATTTGAGGAACTGGTTCTTGCCAGCGGTCGTGCCGAGATCGATTTCCATGCCACGGGCAGGAGGGTGGAGGACAAACAGAGTCCAAAATAAAGACTTGGAGGGAGCCATGGAAGTGCTCAGGCAGCTGACATTATTTTGGTTTGGCGACATCTGGTGGTGGACGGAAACATGACACCAGGATGCAGCTTCTATCCTTTTTTTTTAAGGTTTGCTTTAAATGCAAAGGAGTCAACATTTATTCTGAGAAACTTTAATCTACTATAATAAAATATAACATAGGAGGATTATATCAAAAAAGCTTATCTCCAATAGAAATAGACATGTTGTGGCTTCCAGAGACGATCACAGACATCAAGATTAATGTGGGGCTTGTTGGCGAGCAGGTCTCACATCCCAGATGGTTCAAGTTAAAAGCAACAGCTGTTCTTTTACAGCTGATCAAACAGCAAGAATAAATATGGGGAATCATGCCAATGAGGATTTAAGGATTACAAATGCCTTAAAAGGATATTAAAGCTGCGGTCAGTGATCTCCAGATGCCAGAGGTTGATGCGCAAGTCGTCCGCCGACAGGTAGGTCTCACAGTCACTGTTGACTGAGATGGAGTTGATATGGTAGGTGTGGGCATTTGCAAACACTCGCCTGGGACTGGCCTCCACCATCAAGTCCATGGGCCTGAATACTGGTACCTGAGTGGGGAAAGATCAGAAAAATTGAGCTCTTTAAATCTTACTCTGTTTCTGTTATACGGGAAGTTTTTGTGAGAACCAATAAGTATCCCTATAAACTAGAAGGAAGAGAACATTTTTTTTCACATGTCAGCCAAGTAAAATATGCACCATAACAACCTTAGTAAATTACAGAGCCATTTGTTATGTAGAAATGATGTCTATTTCTATACTTTACCCCCACATATATCTGACAAAGCCCCTGATACAGACCCGCAGTGCTGTGACGGTATTGGGATCTCTGTATCGCCCGTCTTCTTCCTTCAAATTGTAGCCCTCTGGTCTCTTGTCACGCTCACTAATTTTCCACAGTTTGATGGTTTTGTCTAAATGTGAGAACACAGCAGAGATCAGTCACCTTCAATGAAAAGAAAAACGGAGCAAAAGTCCACACTATGCCACAGCTTACTGGAGTCTCCAGAGCGCAGACGAATTACTCAGATTATGTTTTTAAAATGATGAGAAATTCAGTCTGACTGAAGTGAGTAAAGATCAATTCGGCTGCTGTGGTTAACAAACCATTTGTCGACAGGAGGAACTGTGCAGCATTCTTCTGGGGTAACCACCGGATCTTGTTGATCTTCTCCTCAATCTCAAGACTCTTCAGGTAGTCAAACTCAGGCTCGTGGCTCTGGAAGGTGCTGTAAACATTGTACTCTCCTCGGCACTGTGGTTGATTCTTGCTCTAAACAATGACAAACCACAAATCCTGCTTAGAATCAAGTATATTTATGGGGTCTTCTTTATATAAGTAAGCAATAATTGACCTGCAGTATGTGAGGGGTAATCACAGAAACAGCTGTTTGCTTTGTGGGCTTAATTTCAATCAAGTTTTTGCTCTGCCCATAAGTGAGCAAAAAAGTTCCACCAGCTTTACAAATTTCTGAAACACACCTAACATGGAAAACGTGCATCTTTTGAGTTTTTGTCAACCAATGTTTTAACAAACCTCTGGCTCCTGCTGAAATATGACAACGCGACCCCCCTTGTCCCCAGTGGCAAGTAGTTCCCCAGAGTGGTTGAATTCAACAGTAGATATGATGTCAGCTGGAAATAAAGAAGAACCATTTAGTGGAAAGGGTACACATTTTTAGAAAACTCAACACAGAGTTCAGACATCCATGTGCACGCTCGCACAAACACACGAAAATAAATTGCAAAACCAAATGTATGTAACCACGTTTTGTATCCTTCTCTTTAGGTGAAGAAAATAACTTATCATTTGCAACTATTCAGCACTTTTCAAGACAATTATCCCGAACAAAAGTCAACAATCAATCCCCATTTGTAGACTGGCACGGCCCAGAGATGGTGCACAGCTTAACGTGGACAATGGGGTCATTCCAGTCCCAACAGTGTGCACAAAGTGCCTGACACGACTTGGCTCCATACAAACTACTGTACGGAACACAGGCAGCCAGACTGAAGAACAATTCAAAACAGGACTACTTCTTTACAGTGGCGTTAACGTGGAAATCAGTCCTGAAGTGCACGGACCCGCTGGGCTGTAAACAGATTACCAGAGGAACCTGCGCACAGGGTGGCAGTTGGAAAAGCGCAGCCTGATCCCATGATCGTCACTTCCAGCTTACCTTCGGCGACATCATCATCCATCGCCCCTTTGACTTGGGAAAAGCACCACTGCACATCGCTGCTCCCACCACCGGGCCCTGCACAAACACAAGCCCAAGTTTTGATGCACCACCATCACACACACACACAACTTCTCACGCGCTAGCCTGGGGCTAGCTTAGCGCACATCACTTGTATGAATCCCCGGCCGCACTTGACTTCAGACAAACTCCACAGTCGAGCTGGCGGAGCAAACTCCCGGGCACGGAGAGCTTAAGAGTGCCCCTTTGATTAAACACTTGCAGTTTCCACACTTTCAGGAATAAAGGCGGCTGTGCGTTAGCTTGCTAGCTAATGCTGCTCTGGGTTAATCAGAGCCAGAGGAGAGCTCCCTGAACCACATTGGATAACAGCTACGATTCACTGAGAGACTGGCCCGACATTCGGACAGTCTTTAGCTTTACCTGCCATGGTGCAGGACTCAGACGGGGTCTGTGGAGCGGGATCAGGCCCTGGACTGGAACAGTGCTGACCCGGGTCGGCTGCGAGGTTCGGACCGAGGAGATGGGAGGACTGAAGCTGGGTGTGCGATCAATAACTCCGAAAAGTCCACTGCCCAGTTGATACAGGCAACGCAAAGCTCTTCCTAACCAAAGAAACTAGCTTGCAACATTCAGTGCTGCTTTGCAGACTTTGCACCCTACTTTGAGATTTCCCTCGCTCCAGCCTCTTCCAGCATTACACTTTCAAAATGGCGCAGCGCGGGCGGCGTTCTGCAGGAATCGGAGAGCGGACACGGTGCTTCGCGAAATTCTTACCCGAACTGCTAGGGAAGAGCGTGATTTACGAGAGTAAAGAAGATGTATTTTTTACTGTTTGTCTTGGTTAAATTATTGGAGAAAATAAATAAACAATTTCTTTACAAACCCCAGTAGATGCACACGGACCGCCCGTGTGTATCGGTAAAGTGATTAAATCAAACGAACCCACGCTCTCAGGATGGCTGATGGGTGAAACCACTTGATCGAAGATTCTTGTTGTCTTAATTTATTGCTGAATGTACCATATTCTGTATTTTGCCAAATCAAATAACTTTTAGAAAACAAAACATACAAACGAAACAAAAGCACTGCATCGAGGTACAGTCTGTTTGCTGTTTTTATTAAGAGAAGGCAACTTTCAATTTAAAAAGCAAATCATGAAATCATCTGTAATTTGTTGTTAACTAAAAACACCAGAGTATTCAGTTAGTTAACAAGTTAAAAAACTGATAACATGAATGAATCGCTTTAATAAACATGAATGCAGATGTGGACAGTTTCCTAGCCAAATATTGTCAACGTGAAAATAAAGTAAGAATTAGACATCATATTTTGGTCAGGCATTCTGTCATTGAAGAGGTAAGCAAAGCCCCGTCTCCTGCTTCCCCCTCTTTCCATTTTCAATACCCACCGATGTTAGTATAATGTATAGTATATAGTTCATTGCAGGGCCACAAATATATACACACACAAGCACTCACACTCACTCCTAAGGGCCATTTGGAATGTCCAATCCACCTAACATACAGGTTTTTGGACGGTGGGAAGAAAGCCGGAGAACCCAGAAAGAATCCACACAGACACAGGGAGAACATGCAAACTCCACACAGAAAGTCCTGTTTCCCCCGGGGGCTCGAACCCAGAACCCTCTTGCTGTGAGTAGATGGTGCTAATCACCACACCACCGCCGCCTAAATTAAATTCCATCTCCATTAATTTTCCATTTTATCACTGTAGCAAAACACTATGTTCACCCTTTAAAAAAAGTAACATTTCACCTCAACTTTGTGATTTGGCTTTCAGACAGCCAAAACATCATCGGTTTGAGAAAAAAAGTCTGTTCCATCAATGATGATGATGCATAATTGTGAGAATATGAAGTTTTACATTGTTTGTTACAGAATCAGGCAGTTTTAATCAACTTCTCTTTGTTCACTTACAATGAAAAGATTCCATATTTAATATGCACAATTTCAACGGACACAAGATGCAAATCGACTTAAATTATTTTCAAACTAAGAAGAGGGAAAAAGCACACAAATGCCCTGAACTCAAAAGGAAAATGTATATGATATATCCTCAGAGTTCTACATTGTTCTCTCACAGGAACTGCATAGAACTTAAAACCCATGATCTGATTTAACTTGAGCTCCTCCAGTCCAAAATCAGGCTTGTGTCCTTTTCATTTCACTTTCCCACCATGAAATATGTGGTCCACCTGGCAAGAAGCAAAGCACCAAACAGCACCGTGTAGCTGAAGAGAACAAATTTCAGGATTTCCTTGAATGTCCGGAGAAAGCGGATGAAGAGAGGCTCCACATCCAGATACTCATGCTGTGTCTTCTGCCTTTGACCGGGCTGAATCAGGTGTCCCATGTTATCACCTCGGCCCATTCTAAAAACACACAACTGGCAGATTTCAACACAAGAAGTTGCATGTTCAAGAGACAAGATTAAGACAAGGATGATCAAGAAGTTCATTAGATATACACTACAATGAAGAATAAAGACTAATCCAACTAAGGAAACATTTTTGCTATATTGTTACACTGTAAATCATTGGAAAAAATATATCCATCATTTAAATAATGTATCCAAAGGCCTGTGGGACCTAAGTGAACCATACTCACTCAAGACTGCTGTTAATAATTCATTTATTAATGGCATCAAATGGATTTTTTATTAGTACGCTTTGTTTGTGTACAGTCACAAAACTGTCAAAACATTTTACAACGCTTCTCCACTTTCAGATTTTGTATTTAATACATGCAAAAGTTGAGTGACATGGGCTAAGTATATGCTTGAACAGATACTCACTGCTATTTCTATTCATTTCTCTTGAGGTTAGTATTTGTTATGCTACAAAATTCCCTACTAAGCTTATGTGAAGTAATTCATAAAATGAAAACAAAGGATTTGTCTTGCAGTATCCGGGGAAACGAGTGTAATGTAGCAAGTACACAGAAGACTCACGCAGTTTCTAGAGTAATTCAAATACTTAAAAGTTTAAGATGAATTATCGAGAGAACAAAAAGAAAAAAGTTAAAAACTTCATACCTTGATGCTTTTGCAGCTGGACAAGAGCTGATCAGAGGGCGGACTCCAATGCAACCAGCCGTGAAGTCCAAGTTGGTGTGTGCGGTGTGTTGGGTGTTTCTCTCATTGCAGAGGAGGAGCCAAAAGCAAAAACCGATCACAAGGATCTCAATCTCCTGGGATTGATCTAATGGCAAGTTAAAGTCTTCAGCACACCTGCTCCTCAATGAAACAGAAGTGCAAGATTTCAGGCATTTAGAAAAAAAAAAAAAATCAAAGAAAACCCAATATGGAATTAAGCCAAAGCAGATCCACAGATTTCCAGCCCATCTACATAGAGGAAATTAACATTGACTTTACCAGGATTTGCCAAAAATATCTGTCAGCAGGTCTCCCTGTGTATACAATGCCGGGCATGGAGAAGGTATTGACTGATACAGAGATCAAACACTCTCCTGCAGCACAGTTATCCTCTACCGGAACATGGAGCAAATGGCTTCCTAATTAAATCAGTGTCCTGTGCTGTCAAATCACAGGCTGCTGCGGGCTGAGCTCTCCAGACAGCACAATGCCATTATCGGCTGATCGGGAGGCCTGTTACTGTGCTAATTGCTCCTTCAGAGAGCTGGGCCACTGCTGACATATACACTGCCTTCCCTGCCTGTCCAAAAATTACCCACTTAACGATTGGCAGAGTTGCTTGTCACATGACTGAATAATACAAGACTCATTTTAGGTTATTAATATTTTATTTACCTCTTTTTTAACCCAGCAAAGGCCACATAACAAAAACCCTTACAAAAGCTTTTAAAATGCAAATCAAAGAGCATTTTTCACTATATCATGACACTTAGGTCCTTACAAATATCGTAAATATTCTAATAATACGTACATATATACAATATCTTTACTGCAAAGCAGTAACAGGCAAGTAACAATGGAAAGGCAAAGTACATGGACAAAGAATAGGAAGTAGAATGAATCCAGATAGACATTTTAACCACAGGTGCTTAGAAAGGATCTACAAAAGGGTTCTGGTCAGGAGCATTCCCTTTAACACACCTTTCCAGATGGCACTTTTTAAAGAGCCTCTACTATTCAACCATCGCAGATATTAATAGAACACCACTGGTACACTGAAATGGACGTAAGAGGCCGACATTTTCTGATGAATGGGTGCTGGATGTTCTCAGCTGAGCGTGCAGGTAAATCAGGGCATCTGTGACTCTGGTCGGTCCATCAGGGATTTGATCCAAGTCGTCCCATTAATGAGTTTTGTAGTGGCTATGATATACTCCATCCCACTGTCCTCCATTTGAGAAAGGAAACGGAGAGCAGCTATTTCTGCATACGTCACTCCTCCAAGGAAGAACACCAGCGTGGTTCGATTCTCCCCCTGTTGGCCTGGAAAACAGTACAAGCACCACACAGTTAATGTGGCAATTCAGAGCGAAGCGTAACCTGACGTGGTCATTTGAAGTTTCTTCTGTCAGTCAGAAAAAATAATCTCACTGTGAAAGATTGCCAAAGCTCATTTAAAATACTAATTTAGCTGCACCCTCTCCCAAGACACCTATTATTCCATCTGCAAGCCGGTTTCAGGCAGACATGTAGCAACAAGTCAAGTCACAGCTGTAATTAGCCGATTCAAAAGAAGTGTTTAATTAAAAGTCTTATTCTCAACTGCCAAAATAAACTGATGGTGGGAAACACTGGTTGTCACCTCCAAATCATGTTGAGCCGCCTGTTCAACACAGACACAGAAAACAAACAGACAGTGATTTTGCTGCATTGTCTGCTCCCAGCCATCAGTCTGCTGCTGCCCAGCGTTCGCCTTCACCGCCACAAAAGCCTGCGTCTTATCTTCACAAGGCAGGCGAGGGACAGTTTTTCTTCTGCAGTATAAACAGAACCTGCCCTAAAAAGCAGGATTGCTGTCTCAGATAGTTAATCTAAGGTTTAACCTGGGGTTTGAAGTGTAACACAGGCAGTTTGTTTCACACTAGATCAGATTGCCACGGTAACGTGAGCTGGAAATCGAGCATAACATGCTCATGGTCAACATTAAGTCATTTCGGATAAATACAGCCTCCACAGGCTATTTAAATCTCATAAAAAAGGATGGAAAAATAGATACTGGTGTGTGGACAGTGAAAGGCTCTTCAGTTAGAACAGAGACTCATCAAAATAAGTGATTACACATCAGACTTCTGACTTAAATATTTGGAGGAATTTAAAACTATATTATTTCCTTGGAGCTCTGCCACATTCTCCAACCATGTTTGCAGAAGAAAAAACAAACTTACAAGGATATTTTTGTCATTTGTACTATGAACAATTTAATTTTAAGCATTGGAGCAAAGTGCATCCAAAATCAGAAAAGCAAACCCATTAAATATTATAAAACTACCTGCATTATTTGAATTTAAGAATGTTTCCTGTGAAATTGGTGCATTGCTAGCAAAAAGTCCATCAACTTAAAGACTGACAGTGTGATCTTTTGCCAGCTTTCCTATTCTCAGGAATACCATCAATAAGAATTTACACCAACATTTAAAAAAACAAGTCTAGTTGCTCTTATTCAGCTTTTAAAGATTTGCCAGCTTTCCTTCTTGGTCTGAGCTAAAACAACTCTTTCAGCCTACATGTTATATTCTTGGCATCAGCACCTATAAAATCAGACTTCTTTTCTGAGAATATGCATTGATACACTCCTCTTCACTTCAGTAAACTTTGCTTGACAAACGGTGTATAAAACCAGTGATGTGAGACCATTTTATATAATTTATGCAGTTAAGACCAGACAAACAAACGATTGACAGTACAGTTTTCACAGATCCTTACGTTTCTTATGAAGTCCAGATGGAAGCTGCTGTCTTTCCTCAAAATGAGGACCTGGAAGCATCTTCAGCACTTCTTCGATGCTACGCCACCCAGGCCTGGCCAGCACCTGAGTCAGTCGGATGCTTAGTGGAGCGTAGCCGCTGTATACGTATGAGATGTCGTTAGGGTTCTGTGGAAATTAACAGAAAAAGAAAGTGCAACAAGTCAAGCTCTATCCACAAAATATCATGAGTTGAATTGCCGAGACTCTTTCTTACTGCACACATCTCCCACCTGCTCATTGGCATCCTCCATCCACAGTTTGAGGGTTTTTCTAATAGTGGGGTAGTTATTCCTTGAGCTCGTCTGCAGCTTCAAAAGACCTGCTTTCTCCAGGTTGTTCAGGGTTAGTATATGTTCATAGCCATAAGTCTTCACATGCAAGGAAAAAAAAATATATATATGAGAGATGTTCAGTCTTTCTTTCAGCGCGAGTGAATTTCTGCTCAGAAACTAACAATCCATTCCCAGACCTGGAGTATCTCCCTCTTGTAGTAGTCCAACACCTTCTGCTTGAGGCCATTGTTGCAGACTGACTGCATACACACCAAACGCAGAATCTTGATCAGCGGATCCTTCTGGGCAATGCAGTCTTCTATGTAAGTGTTCACCTGCAGAGTGAAGTTAGTTCAGCAACTTTACTTAAGTTAAATCCTTTAGTTACTTACAGCTGGAGAAATCAGAGCCTTAACGAAAAATACCTTGTCTGTGTCGACACCTGTCATAAACTCCTGCTCCACTGTCAGGTTGTCAAAAAAGGCCTCAGATGCTGAAACAGGGGAAATGACATTTGACCAAATTTTAACAAAAAAACAAAAAAGGTTTGTGGAAGTCCAGAAGTTTTCTACATACTTGTAATGTCCTTAATCAGCTCAGCAATCGAGGTGTGATTAGCCAGTGAGCTTCGTGCTGCCTGCATGTGAGGCAACTGGGAGACAAACTGCTTTATCTCTCCCACTGTTTTAGCATTATGGCGTTCCTGAAAAGCAAAATCAGAGTAACTGTTTTTTATTCTTTTAACATTGTGACACAAAGTTAAATAAAGGGTACCACTGAAACAGGAATATGGTAAATCAACACCTAATCAAAAGACAGCGGTGGGCTCAAATTAGTTTGTCCTCTAATTTATCAATAAAATAACTCCAAATAAACTAATTCAATCCACAGTTTCTCTTAAAAAACACTGCACACTCATAACAAATCTTTCTGAAAGTTTCTCTTCCAAAAATTATTATTCAAATATCCAGAATATCCTTGTTTATTTATTTTCCTTTCATTAACTGTAGATAATGTCATGAATAAAGCTGAATGTTGTGATCTGAAAAAAAGCTAAACATTTTTTTTATCTGTTTAGGTATCCTGCTCAAACAATTAGCACTCTCTCTTATCCGTGTCTTCACTTTCTGAACCTTATAGATTTCTGGTCCAACCTTGCAGTAAAATGCCAAAGAGATAATCAGATCTTGTCAGCTGTGACTTATGAAATCAATCTATCAGAGCCAACTGAAAAGCATTCTAATCGCATTTTGAAATACTGAGAGAATTTGTGATTGCAATTAGGTAAACCTGAGTCAAGACTAACCTCAAAAGCAGCAGAAATAATTTTGGCCTTTTTGCTGAGCGCCGCACCAACAGCGTTAAAATTTTTGTCTCGGATTTCTGCATACAGTTCTTCTGCTGAATTGAGCTGCAGCTTCTTGGGCTCCGTGGGTAAATCTTTACTAGCTTCACCTTGTTTCTTCTGTGCAAACTTCTCAGGAGGTAGCTTCACATATCCTATAAAGCAAAGAAAATATAAAGAGATTCAGATATGTTTGTTTTTTTCTTATTATATCAAGTCAAAATCCCTTGTAGAATGGGGCTCAAATATAAATATGTATCAAAAAAATAATTCCTCACTGGTAAAAAAGTTACATCAGACTTAAATGGATACAGCAAAACTTTGAAACAACGGAAAACATGACTTTAACTGTTGACACAGATAAATAAAAAAATTGAGGAGAAATCAAAAGTCTACCTTGTGAAACCTCTAAATGATCAATATACAATATACAACTGAAAAAAAAGATACTGCACATTCAAAATTTGGAAGTAGTTCAAAGACCCGTTTTGGTAAACAAAAATTATAAAGGCTGAAAAATAAGACAAAGTGCTGTTATCAGTGAGAATAATACAGAAAATTGCGCATTCTGACCATTATTTATTCCAAAAATCTCATCAATTAGACCCTCATAGGTGAGCTGCGTGGCCAGAGGGGTGAGGAGGTCAACGTTACGGTCCAGGAGGAGCAGAGTATCAAACACAGGCAGGATCTGATTCTGACTGCCAGCGAACTCCCTCTTCATCCGCAACATCATATTGGCAACATGCTGAGAAGCAGAAAAAACACTCTTTGTCAATGCAACTGCTTTTTTCTGGCTACTGCTAAGCTTCTGTTTATGTTCAGACAGCTTCAATCATGTACAGATCGTCAAATACATAATACTCACCCTTGCACTGTCTCCTTTTCCATATATTTGTGGAATAGTACCATAAAGTGCCTGTAATGTCATGAGGCCTTTAGCTGTATGGTACAGGCTTGTTTGGTCATTTTCCAGGTAGCACTCCTGAATGGTACAAAAGAAATGTCTAAATTAAGCTCATATGAAGATCAAAGATACTTGAATAGGAAGATCTCATGTTTTTTCTCACCCTGAAAGCACTGTCATACTCCATGGAGAGCAGGTCACCATCGTAAGGAATCAGGTCCAGGATGTACTCATCAATATTGATGAAAGAGCCCAGCACACCCTGCTCCTTCAGCCGCTGTTCACACAGCATGCTCCGCCGAGGCACAAACAAAATGTGGAAGTCTCGTGCGGGGTGAACTTTATCTTCACTGAAAGGTGCACAAACAGGACATAAACTTCACGTACCAAGTTTTGACATTATGCAAGAAACGTTTAATTGAACAGACAAAAACACCTTAACACATTTTCAGCAATGATGTCCATAAGCTCCAGTCTGGGTCTCACAAAGAAGATTATATTCTTGACATCGGCAGAGGGGAGCCGGCCACTTTTGAGGGTAAACATCTTTTCAACTTCATGTTCCTAAATAACACAGTAACATAACAGGAGCCATTAATAAATACGCCACGAATTTACCTTTGTTTGTTGGATGAGTAATTTACAGGGTGTTTTTTGCAGAGAGGGGTGCTTACCTTAAGTAAGGAGTACTGAGCTATCAGTCCAAACGGCCCAGTTAGATACTCATCCCAAACTATGGCCTTAAAAGAGACAGTACAAATCAGTATGCAGCCACACAAGAAACCAAATGTACACATTTTATTAACAGTTAATAGCTTATACATGCTATTGTGAATTAATTTGCGGCGAGGGGATAATTAAATTGACATGCAGTGAAGCCAGTGAATGTACTATCATGTTTTCACTTTTTAAGAGTATATGCATGTCTATATAATCTGTTTAATTTATCTTAAATGACTTGCACGGTAACGTTAAAGCTGAGGAGGCTAGCTTTACCAACCCATACTTCTCAGTTATCTTGTTGCTTTTTCGGTCACTCATATGTCGATTTATTACCTTGCTTCCTGCACATTTGTCCAAAAACTCTCGAAGCTCTTTCCGTGCCGCTTCTCTTAAAATGTTTAAATTTACTCTTCCGTATGAAAGATGGGCAGCCATTTTTTAGCTGGATGGCAGCACAACAGATCAGGTGATTTGACCAGACGTTTCAATCACGTGACCAATGACAGACCAGACAGAGGATGGTAAACCTCCTATCAAGAAAAAAAAACAACGGACAACAGTATTGTCAAATTAAATACAGCCTGCTTTTTGAAAGCGTATTTTCTATCTACCCGCACGGTCTCACATGGGTCTCATGTCGTAAGAGAAGAAGTATAAACTAGATTATTTTCCAATTTTAGAATACGGACCTTGAATTGTGTCGCGCATGCGCAGGTATGACGGATGCTAAAATGCTAATAAACTTGTAAACAATTAAATTCAGAATGAGTTTGGGTAAAGTTTAAATGTATTTTAAATAACATATTAGTGCAGACATGAACTGTGTCACATGGTCTTTTTTCTCATCTGGGAGGTCTTGGGTATACAAACCAGGAAATGGCATATGATCATTTCAGCTATTTCTTGAATGTGTGGGTGTGTCAAACATAGACACCTACCGATGAAATCAAGGTCTTAAATGTTGTTTAAGCAAGGAATTTAAATAAACAAGTAAAAATAAATAGATGTACGTAAAGAACTTATTGAACATATTATTTCACAAAAAGCAAAGGATAGAAGTTCCATCATTTTTTGCAATGACTTGTGTGTCCATTAGATGGCGCAATCTCCTTGCTGTAATGAGGTAACCGAAACAATGTACCATTCTCTCACTAAATATTACAATACTATACTTTATGTGGTAATTTTTTTAAACCTCCCATCTCCCCTCCACATACGCACACCCCAACCCCCCATATAAATACAAAAATACTTTTTTTTTAAAGCTTTTGAAATTACGATTACATTACGTGTGAATACTGTAAAACACGAATACATTTCAGAATATATTTTAGTGGGAAAACGTAGGGTAGTTTTGCACCCTCCGTAGGTATGACAGATTGAATTTGTGCTCCATATGAATAATAAGGGACTCACAAGATGAAGTGTAAAAGTAATTCAATGCGTATAAAACTTTAAAAAGTCAAATGCCAATTAAACTTAAAAGAAAATGTGATGTACCATCTTATATTAGAAACTCTGATATAAATAGCCACAACCTATGGCCCTGTGCCATCGTTTAAAGATTTGAGATTTCTCAATTGGGTTCTCTGAATGGTAAGACAAATTTAGCCTCTGATAGAGAGGACTTGATCAGATGATGACTGCCCACTTGAGCATCAGTGTTATCACTTCAGATCCAGGGGTTTCCTTCCCACGGCACCAAGGGCTTTCCATCCTCCACGCAGGATAGAGGACCAGTTCTCACGCATAGTGGTGATCCGCTGTTCCTCTAGCAACAGACAACTCCTCCAGGGTAAAAAAAAAAGAAAAAAAAAAAAGAGAAGGCGCTGGTTTTGGTGACAGGCACCAGGCACCATGCGCAATGACTAACTCTGTGGTCGGACCAAAGCGCTGCACAGAAATCTAGTCCGCATCATTCCCTGACAGCATCTTTTGAAAGAGGCGAGAAAAGCGGAGCTGGATTCCCAGGTAGGATGTACGATGTCTTTCGAAGGTTTGGCAAACATTGAATCTCAGCCATGAAATTGCTTTGAGGTGAGTGCGTTTGGCTGATGACTCAGTATATTAGAATAGTCTCTTATTCAAGTTGAACGAATGCAGCACTTCATTCAGAGGAGAAAGGGAATGTGAATCATTTCTTTGGAGGGATAATATCCATAGCTTGTATTAATTTGATGGAACACATTTCATTGTCTTTATGAGCCAGTAACCGATTTAAAAAAAAGGGAGATTGGTGCATGTGTACACTGTACTCAGTATGCATGAAGCCACTGCTGATAAATCAGAAGTACCAATAATGTAAATTAGTATTTGATTGATTCTCTTGTTTTAAAGCATACATGTGTCACTGAAAGAATAGAAGTGGGGATAGATATTGCTCCCAACTTCTGAATGATTGCATTTATTTATTACAATATGCTATGATGTTATAATCATAGAGTAAGTTTAATAGGTGGCTGTTGATTAAAACTCCCTGTGCAGTTGGTTGTGTCTTAACCCCTCTCCAGATATTTAAATCATGACCGGAGGCTGGCACCACTCCTGCAGTAACAGAATTTCCTTGTTCTCTTCTGATATAAAAAGGCAGAACTGGTCAGTTATCTCTGAGACTGAGTTGTTGCAGTCCCTGGGCGTTGCTGCAGGATTTTTTAAAAAGCGCATGCTGAGACTTGATGTGCCCGCAGGGGAAAAAACATCACTGATGCCCCCAAATATTGATGTGGGCAGATTAGCTCTCGACTCCAGCTGGGTCAGTGGACAGGTGATCCACCTGCCGGCTTCTGATCTTATCAAGAGCCCTGCACTAATATGGTTACACTCAGAGAGTCGGAGTGGACCAAATTTGTTTATTTTCTCTGGTCTCTTTCTTAAAGAAGAGACAAAAAAAGGAGGGAATCTGCCTCCCAGTTTCACCATCTTCAACTCCTCCTACAGACCTGAAGCATGGGGATTAAATGGGGGAGGGGAGAAAAGACTGAATGAACATTCTGAGAGATATCTGCAGCTACCTTCTCTCACATGAGCAACCACTGTATTGCGATTGGACGACCCCTGTATGCTGCTACCCCCCTCTCTCTCTGTATTTCTTTGTGTTTCTGCTCACCTTATGTGAGAAGGAGCAGTTGAGGGAGACAGATTTGTCAGGTTTGATGACAGAAAATAAACAAAAACGAGTGATGGAAAGCATTAGGAAACATGGATGTGGTGGGAAAATGGGACAAAATGATGGAGGAACAAAGTAATTGCTTCTCTAGCTGCATTATTTAATACTGGCGGATGCAAGGCGAGTGTTCCCATAATCCCATGTCTTCTGCATTTCTTCCTCTCTCACCATACAGTCTTTTCCACTATGTCAACTGCAACAACGACCAGCAATGACCTGCTGTGAACATGCTGAATGGCATACACATATGGAGGAATATACAGAGAAAATAATCACTCTGATTTTCGTCCTCTGATGTAGCCGTTACCATGGCCACAGTTAGGGAAGGTGCATAACTCTATGTTCTTTGGTGCTCTCTACCATCCGTCAATGAAGCTTTGAGCTACATCATACGCCCTAAATACGTACAAGTTCTCCTTTAGAAATTTGCAGCAGCAGCAGCAGGGGCACTGTAGAAGGGGCTTTTGAAGGGAGTGGCTTCATCTTCAAATCATCATCGGAGTGGTGGATGAAAATCGATTCACTTGCCTCTCCATATCTGGTGATTAGATCTGCCTAAGCGGTGTGGCATATTGGAAAAGACAGAAGTAATTAATGTGGCCTTTACACAAAGCCCCCACCCCCCACCCCCCACCCCCCCACCCCCCAGCTCCCCCAAGGGAGTAAAGAGTTAAATATCCAAAACTGAGCTGGGATGAATCTATAAACACCAACTAATCTAGAAGCAACATTCTCTACCCTTCCACTACAGTTTATGGAACCTTGTGTTGATATTTAGCTTATTACCACCTCTATGCATATATTTTTCACTGCAGTGAGGCTCAGAGTGATGCTAAACAAACATACTTTGCATTTAAATTCATGCACTCAGCTTCCACACGGGGCTTTTCATCTCACAAGTTGCACCACTGTTGCTGGACCTGAGCACTTTGCCAAATGGGATGTGTGAAATACACCTAAGAGCTTTGCACCTGTTCATCTATGTTATAGGACAAAAAGCACATCTGTCAACTGAAATGTACCAACAGAACAACAGAGAGACAGAATCCTGGCCATCAAATTGCAAGTTTGAACTCTAACTTGTTTCTTTATGTGATCGAAAAACCATGTGGCATCCCCACAGATAACCAGCTGCAGGTTACTTAAACCAACGGGGTCCCCATGTTAAAATGGAAAGAAATTGACAGATTAACAGAGACCAATTCATCAAAAGTTGGCTCCTTATTTCCCTCTGGATGGATCACCATCAGCAAAACAAATGTGAGACTTGCTGGAGGCTCTTACTACAGGGCGGTTGATTGAGTGCTCCAGCTGCCATAACGTTTTCTAGACATATTGCAGCTCCTAGGGAAGTTCAGAGGAAGGCTTTATTAAATTTGATTCTTTTAATGACAGTGCTGGAGAAATTATAGCACCTTTTTTTGGGTGGGTGGGGGATAAATTCAAAGATGATGAGATAGGATTGAGACCTGTTTGATAAGGATTGTGGTTCCGTGTGCACTGAGTTGATTTAAGAATGAAAAATACAGTATTCATCCAAAGTAGCTCTGCTGAATGGAGCCAACATTTATAGCAGGGGAGCAGCATGGAAACGTGTTGGTCACTGGATGGTCTTTCCTGTTTGTCCTCGAGCGAGGCAGGACCTGGAGCCATGCCTGCCGAGAGGATGTAGTTGTGTGTTCAAACCGTTACAACACTCCTCACATTTGAGAGGTGAAGAGTCCTCACAGATGGCTCCGCAGATGGTTCCCGTCGACGCCATTGTCTGAGAGAAAACATCGATCATTTTTCAGTGCCTCAGACCAAAAAGACTAACATCAATACCGCTGCTCTGAAAAGAGTTTCTCCCTCTGTCTGACTCCGTGTCTTCTACTCCCCTCCTTACATCCACTGCTCTGTGCGTAAGGCGTGCACTCATGCCTTAAAGAGAGAACTTACACAGTGAAACGCAATGTGGATGAGAGATTTAAATAATTGAAAAATGCTGAGTGATGTATTCTTCCTGCAGCAGAGGGTTTTCTGTGGTGCAGCTCTACAATATTGCTGAGGTCCAAGCCTCGGTGTGTTGCCATGTTGGCATCTCACAGAAATCTTTGAGGGTGGATGGAGTTGTGCCATCCAGAGTGGGAGGCTTCCTCATGTTTTTTTAGTGCTTCCTACCCTGTGCATTCACTAACACAGGGTGACTAACACATAAGTAGTAGGCACTGGAAGCTAAATCTGTTACTTGAAAAAGATCCCTTCAATGAATATGATTCCCAAAAATGTTTTGATGTGAAAAACTTTGATTTTGTTGAGATCAGTCTCTTTATTACTTATTTATCTGGTATGTTCAGAGATACTGTATCTTTATCTTCTGCTCTTGTTTCTTCCCTGTCCTTCAGTCGGGTACGGCATTATGGGATACATGCAAAGTTTTGCAACAGAAAGAAAAAAATTAAGTAGCGTTGGATAATAAAGCCTTCATTGGCAAAGCAAATGTGTTCAGCATAGCATAGATTTCAGTTTTGCTGCCATAATGCTGAACAGGTCAAGGTTTAAAAAAAAGAAGAAGAAAATATATCTTCATCTTTAGTCTGAATCCAAGTGTCTGGACCACCACTTTTGCAGAGAACTGTTGCTACTAAGTGGCCCTGCGCCACAAGACAGGCCTTAATTTAGCACCCAGGTTCCCAAAACCCATTCTGAAGATTTATGACTCCATAAATAGGGGTGATTCAAGTTCATAAGGCACTACTTCTACACTTTGAGCTGCACGTTTTTTTGCACACATCTCTTTCCTTGTTGGTAATTTATCATGGCTAAAGATGGAAACTTGATTATCACTCCTGACTGTCTCAGTCGGGCTGACTCCTATCATCCAATATATTATATATTTATGGTCTGGTTTACTGTACAATTGCACCACTAAGATTTCAGGATGTTTTTACCGTCAATAAATGATTTTTGCGCAGGATTTGCATGTCTTCAAAGAACCAGCACACAGCAGGTGACTTATACTTGGCTTTGCTCTGACAGCTTCAGATAAATTTAAGTCAAACTAATTGACGGACTTTTCATTGATCTCCAATTCTCATTAACCTATTTCAGAATTATCCTTGGAGAATAATGAGGCAATTGCTGCCCTGGAATGCTATAATATTGTGTTCAATACAGTTTCAAGTAGGACACGCCGCACTGTGTTAAAGATAATAAGTTATATGACACAGTTGCCATTTTAATGTGTTCTTTTTTTTATAGATATGAGCAACAAAGTCATCCTCTTATCATTTATGGCGTGTGTCACAGACAAAATAATGTTAGGGCTCAGGTGTTAGGGCAGGTTGTCAACTTATTACTAGCTTAGTAGGTTCAGGCTCCCTATGTCTGCATGTCGTTTGATAAGACACTCAACCCCAGGATGTTACCAATAGCAGCCTGCATGGCACTATGTAATGCACTCAGATTGGCATTTGTAATGCATATAACAATATTTCAAGGGGGTTGGAAGTACAGAAAATTTGATCTGTGAGCATTGTCCTTTTTCAGGACGATTACACAAACCGTAGTCTTCAAAGCTCCAAAATGGGACACTGGCCTGGGTGGAATAAGTACTTTCTGTGGTGCACGTCCAGGTTTTAATTATTGATCTACATGTCTACCTTTTAAGGATGAAGATGGAAATGGCTGTAGTTCAGCAGTTTTTGCAAACTGTCAGCTGAGTGGTTGGCCATTTCTGAAGCACAAATTGATGTAAGACTGAGACACTGGGTTTAAATCTTGCTTTTGTTTTTGGCTGATGTAAATGAGATTACTTCTCTCTGTCCCCATCCCCCTTAGAGCCCATTGCGCTCTATCCATAATGATCCATGTCGAATAAATCCATCAGTGCCCCCTGCCTTGTTGTCACTCTGCCTGTTTTTCTGGGTTTTTGTTTCCACAAGCGAGTACCAAAAGTGGGGGGAAAAATATGTTGAGCCATCACTGTAAGAAGCAGATAATCCTTCCAGTCCACACACTCATTTTATATATTGTTAACTAACAAGTCAAACACAAGCTATGGAGAGAAAATGTCACTTTACTTCAGAAAATAAATCTGTGCCTGGTAAGTGCCTGGTAAGTCTTGAAGATTACATGTGATGTAACCAACGAAACTGGATGCCAGTGTTTCCAAAAATTGGTGGTATGACCGATGTTCACTGTGTTCCACTGGAGATCCGTCCACTCAATTTATCAACGTATGATGCAAATTAGTTTGAAATATTCCATTTATGGGGTCCAATAAGAAATCACAGGATTCCAAATTAGTTCTCTCCACCCCCAGATGACATTCTGTACTGAGATCCTGCTGCGTGGATGACTGACTGACGATGATCAGGCCGAAGACATGTCATGAGACGATGTCCTCCTTCTGGTCTTTCCTTTCTCTTGTCACCTCAACAGCCCATGTCTCCATTGTGAGCTGCTTGTGCAGGTGCTGGGTATTGCTTTCCAGACTACAAGCTGGAAGCATCATCACAAAGGCTTTGTGACATTTTGTGAAAATAATAAGAAAACACAGGAGAATATTTGTTGTTCCCCAGAGTCCACCAACTGACTGAGTCATTTTTTTTACTGGAGGAAAACACGCACATGATGACTCTTCCACCAAGTCAGAGTCGCTGATGACGCAGATTTGTTGTATTTATAAGATCAATAGAACAGTCTGATGGTCACAGTCTGAGGCTCAGCAGAATAACGAGGCCCACTTTGACATGATGAGCAAGACAGCTGGGTCTCTTCAGCTGATGTAGTTTAACCAAAGCGATACGTTCCCGTGTCAGGAGCATTACATACACTCTGACAGCCCTACATGTGTACGAGCCGGCAGACCATCACTCTCAGGACGTTTCCCTAAATGCTAACTGGCCGCTCTTTAATGCAGAACCATCTTTCCTCACCAGACCGCTCAGGCCAGTCCCTGCCCGCCTCTGCTTGCATTTGTCTTTCTCCATCACTTTGGCCGGGTCTATAACATTAGACAAAAGCGAGATAATTCATTTTGCCAAGTGAAGGAGCGCCATGCCTCAGAGCCTCAGCGCAGTACAGTACAATCAGACTGTGGCCTGGCAGACTGCTGCTGAAAAAGTGGGGAAAAACTGCTCCCTGATGACTGTGCTGCCGCTGATGGCTTTATGCAGCAGCAGCAGCATCAGGGGAAACTGCCCCCGCCCGGTATTTATCGATAGCACACCAAATTTATTGCTTATCAATATATACCATAGGCAGACAGACAAAAGATGGCATTACTCAGCATGATATAGAGTGCCTAAGAAAGGAGAGGATGGTGCAACTCCTCCTTTTTGTTCTGTCTGTCACTTTCTAAGGTTTGATGGTGAGTGATTTTTACTGCTGTAAAATTTTTTTACAGCAGTAAAAAAAAATTTGGGGGCTGTAAAATAAAAAGGAGAAAGCTGAAGACAAGTAAAACATATTGATTCTTTGTTTTCTTGATTGTATTCGCCCTCCTATCCTTGCTAACGAGTGTGATGATTCTATTCATCCTGCACCATCACGATACCTGAAATTGGATGTCTAAGAGAGGCTTTTAGTTCTTCTTGTTTCTGCAGTTTGGAGTCTGCTGGTATATCCTTCTGAGTGCCGGTACTTCCCTTCAGGGCACATGGTTGCTAAAGCATCCTTCTGCTTGGAGTCTGGCTGAGATTTGAAGCAGCCTGATGTCAGTTGCTCAAGGGCACACACACAGATACAAACACAGAAGGTTTGCCATTCTGTAGCTTCTGTCGGTGTCATTGTATCATCCTCAGAGTATCACTCTGAGATCGAATAACATTGTTGGTGTATTAAATGCACAAAGCACTCACTGTATCTCACTGTCATTATTAGCACTCTACTTATGCTGCTCCCACACTGGAACTTAAACAGACTGCAGAATCTCATCTTCATCTTTTACTATAAATATGGTTTTAACTGCTTTGACCAGTCCTCAGCAGAGCTGCAGTCAAAAGCTAATTTCTGGATCAAAAATAACTTTCCAGTTGGCCAATTTAATATCAACCTCCACCACCACCAAAACTCACATCCAGCTCTTCATACTTCCCTGGAAAAAAAGCAGTAACAGATAAAAACCAACACACAATGAATTCAGGAATGGTGGAGACGCATCCCCAAGCCATGGGCTTCTGTATCATAGCAAAATTTTTCCACTTTGGTTGTATCTGTCTCGCAGCTGCTCAGTTAAATGGCCATGCCACCCCAATTTGCTCAACCATATCTTCACAGCCCTTACTGAAGGCGCATATAAATTCAAATGACATAGACCACCCACTTCAGCCTTATTCCTCTCCGTTTGCGAATGCACAGAGAATCTTGCTATGTCGAAAGCATTGTTCCATTTGATACAGGCACATTATACAACAGTGCCACTGTTATTAGAGCTACTATATGTTACTATATGTGGGCGTATTTTGGGCTTGTATATTTCTACAGGTCGTGTCTGAGTATACAATGTTCTCAATGTCCATTTATGGCTCAGATGTGTCTGTAGAAGTAATTTGTTCGAACAGGCTTGGCAAGATTAGCAGGTACTGCTTTAGCTGTAAAAATTGGCACTCAGAATTGGGCTTATGCTCCAACCAAAAACCGCAATATCTTGAAAGCTCAGTGTGCCAGACAACAGATGAGATGGGTGAAAGTTAAAGAACTTTTTCCGAAAGATAACTTGATTTTTTTAAATGATTATCTTTTTGTAAATTACTGCGATATCTAAAGTTGAATCGCAGCACTGAGTCTTGAAGTTGTTTGAAGATTCCTAAAAGTGTGGAAGTGCATGCTGCTCTGAATGTAAAACAGCTGCTTTTTAACTACATCACTGTCTCTTTCAGTATCTTTCTGTCGATCCACCTCCAGCCTGCAGTTGTGCAGCATGACTGACACCGTGGGTCCTGGCTCGGGTCGCTGGGTGTCCAACGACAGGCAGAGGACCGCACACCCAGGGTAAGTGTAAATGTCTCAATATTTTTTGTCTTGGGAACACTTTCCAGTGGCAACATCGACACTCAACCATGCCATCCTTTTCCCTCCTACATCCGTCTTTGCTGTGGGATCTGTGACACAGAGATAAAGAGCCGTAAGTAGCTAAACTCATCTGCGTTGTGTTCCTGTTGTGGAAGGGTTAAAACAGCAGTGCCAATGCTTTGAATGCATGTAGTGTCATTCATTGGAGTTCATGTAGTTCATTGTCATTTTTAGTAAAACTATACAGTGTATCCTCAGCTGGAGATTATGTCTGACTCACAGGGGCAGCTGGACTTTACAGCCGGGCCCTGGTCCTGGTCCAGACCTGACAGATGAAGAGAAAGAGATCATAAACAATGTAATAGCCCGTGCTGAAAAAATGGAGGCCATGGAACAGGAGAGAATTGGGTGAGAGTAAATAAAACATGCATGCAGATGTTTCTTTTACTACCTAAAGTGAGTCAAATTCCAGGGGTGGGGGCGCATGCACAGGTTTGGATCGCGGATAAACGACAATGACATTTAAGAAAAATATTCAATCCATGCTGTTGCAGGCGTCTGATAAACAGACTGGACGACATGAAGAAGACTGTGTGCGGTGATGGATTATCCCGCTGTTTGCTGTGCGGGGAGCAGTTTGGCTCACCTGGAGTCAGCTCGGTGGTGTGCGAGGACTGCAAAAAGGTAGAGAATAAGAACGCAAGCACAAACAACTCACTCCTCTGTGGCAGGGCACACTGAAGCTGAGAATATAGGATTGGTAATTGTCTGTGAACTCTGTATTTGTTGTGTAGAACATGTGTACTAAGTGTGGCACCCAGTGTGGCAGCCGGCCTCGCGCTGTGTGGCTGTGCAAGATATGCAGAGAACAGCGAGAGGTGAGTGCTGAACTGTCAAGGAAAAAGGTAAAGAGTGAACAGACTGATGAAAGTCTGTGACACTGGGTATTTTCTTCTCAGGTGTGGAAGAGGTCTGGGGCCTGGTTCTTTAAAGGTTTTCCTAAACACTTCCTGCCATCACCAATGCCACTGTCCAAAGCTATGGGGACAGGGGCGAAAGGGGCGAAAGGGGCGAAAGGGGCGGCAGAGCCTCAGAGGCCAGCAGCTTCAGAGCCCCAACCAAAACAACAAGGTACACACAGCCAAGCATCTTTACAACTCCAGTCACATCTTCAGGTCATCGGACATTTTTACATTACACCTGATGTTATTTTGTTTTTTTGTTGATCATCTGTTTTCAAAGGCCAGAGTCAGAGTCGGGCTTCTGCTTCTGAGCAGCAAGTTTCAGGCAAGTTTTCATTATTCAGACATCTTTTAAAATGGATCTGATTATTTAGAGGGGCCTCTTCTGAGGTATCCATTTCTCCGCAGCTTTACATGCCTTTCTTTGTGGTTCCTAGATTATCTTTGCCTCACAGAGAGAAGCACAAAAAAGAAATCATCATCACTTTGAAATACTCTACTGAAGATTTAGCCTTTTAAAGGTCCAGTTTGCTCATCTGCATCAGGGAATACAAATGTGGAGAACATGACAGCGATGCTTACTCAGTTAAAGGTGTGTCAAATTAGCCCCTAGATGAGCACTGTGCAGTCTGTCCAAAGTGTGCTCTGCCTTTTGCCCAATGACAGCAGGGATAAGCTCCATTTTCCTACAAGAACCCTTCCTGAAGGCAATAAGAGTAAATTTCAATCAGCTGATTGGAGCTGATTCCCACAATAAAAATGACAGTCAACAAACATTTTCATTGAAAATGTTAAAATCTGCTCTGAAAGTGCATGGAAATGCAGTGGCACTGCTATTTCGCTGTGGGCTGACTCATTGTCGGAGGCTATGAATTAAGAAAATTAAGTAGTGGCCAAATGTTATGCTGATTATATTCAGCAGTCACACCTGACAGATGGAGAGAGATAATGGATGGAAACAAATCAATGCTACACTGCAGTTTTTGCCTGTACTTTAAGATGTCTAACAACCATTATTAATATCCTCAGTGTTTACATTAAGACCTAGCGGTCTAGGAGGAACTCTGAGTTATAATACAATGTTTTTATTCTATTTGGTTTTTTAAATCTTTTAACACAGGCTTGTTTATCATACAACCCCACCTCCCAATAAACTGTTTCAACCGTCAAACGAGTTTATGGCACATGTACTCCTTTACTGCTTTCTGCTTCCAAAATGTGGCAGCGCTACCCACTGTTGCCATGGAGGGAGATGAAGTCCTCAATTAAAAAGTCAGAGGATGCATGCTGTGACATGGAATGAGTCTCCAGGTGGTGCTGGCATGATGGCCCGCACAGCGTAATTTCACGCTTTTAACGTGATCACCTGTGCAAAGTGAATTCCCCATAAAAGAGGGGAGCTGCTCCAGCATGCAAACTATAACATTGGTAAAGGTGTCTGCTGTCACGTGATGTTGTAGTGTATGTAGGTCAATGCCTTTTCAAAGAAAATGCTGCAGCATCAAAAAATACCCATATATATCCATAGAAAGTCCAGGAATTTAGATTCTACCGCAGTGAAAACGGGAGGGGGGGTAAGGGAATTATGAATCACTCCTCATCACATTATGGGAGTATCTGTATTTAACTTATTCCTGCTGATTTTTAGGGGCTGAACAACACGGTCGTGGTGGCGGTGGCTACCCACCTGTTGCCCCTAAACCGGTTGTGCGAATGGCGGCGGGTGGGGCTGGCGCTGAAGAGGCGGGGCAGAGCAGTCCAGCTGTGATGAAGAAGATGGTGCCCGTTCAGAGCTCCAGACCACAGCCCGCTGCTTCCACCACTATGGCTCAGCCAGGTGAGAAACAGCTGAGACATATTTGATTATGTTCTTATGGGTGGTCCTAATCCATAACCGATTGTTACATTGACTGTGGTGTCATTTGGCCCAGTCTCAAATGACTGAATGTGGTTGCAGGAGACGGAGGTGCTTATTCTGCTGGTGCAGCTCCCCCAGAGCAGAAAGCACCTCCTGCAGTCAGAGAGGAAAGAAGGCAGCCTGTTGCCTACAGTACCCCTCCCCCCCGCCAGCAACCTCCTCCAGCTGAAGAGGAGGAAGAGGCCAATGACTATGACTCTGATGAAGCAAGTGAGTTCACCATCTGTTCCTACTTTCTACTGAATGAGGTGGCTAATATGCTTAGTTTATTTGTATTTATGTGAACATTTTCCACTTTCCACTCATTACAGGTAAATGAATACATTTTTTGCTTTAAACATTTCCTTGCAGCATGTAGCGCTGGAAGCTGGAGTCCATAATCTGGCATAATCTTTTTTTCCTCTCAGGGAAAGCAAGTCATATTGTGTTTATGCTTCATTTTTGCATTTTAATATCAATCTGCATTTCATCTGCAAATGACAAAGCGGCCCGACTAAGACGTAAATGAGGGAAATAATCAAAACACTGAAATCCACATCAGGGGACATAAAGCTGAGGAGAAGGGGACGAACTGATTCATTCAAGACATACAAACAGATTTTGTATCCCCATAAATCCCATTTTAATGATGCCATGCTGTCTACGTTTTTTTGCCTGCAGTACCAAATGGACTTCTTCTTTCTCAGGGGATTGGGTTTAATTTACTTTTATTGAGGTCAGGTATTTGGAGCTGAGCAAAAAATCTAAGATCCAACAGGGCGAACAAGTTATAGACTCTCTTTGTGTTGGATCCATTCCCATGTGGGAAGATGGAAAAATTACAAAAATAGAAGTCGTTTAATGTGCTTACTCTCTGTGGGGATGTGATGGTTGAGAGAATTTAGGTACTGAGGTGTTGGCTGGTTTCAATAGTCCCCTTAATTGACGATGATTTTAATATCTTGGTAAGTAAAGCTAAATAAAAGCAGTAGAAATTATATCCAAGAAGCATCCGCTTGACTTCATTTATGCTCAGTGCCAAATGCACTACCTGGCCTTAACAGTGTCTTGTGAGGTTTTTACTGTGGTGATTGGCTTTTGTCTGTGTGAGGAACAACAATATATATTTTCAATTGTCAGTAGTAGTAATATCAGAAACAGCAGCATTTTATTTGTCCCAGAGCAACATGCTGTGCTTGAAAAGACCAGTCCTCAGAAGATTTTTTTTCCTGCTGTGAATGTTTCTAAGTAACATGAGTTTATTGAAATTCTTTTATATTACGTGTTTGTGTGTTATAATAATAATCCCCTCCTGTGTACTGGAGGTAAATAGAAGCCAGTGAGTGTTCCATGTGTGCAGGTTTAGACTCTGTCCGTCCTGGTCTTGTTCACATTTGTAATTCATGGTATGAGACTTGGAAAACTACAAGGGAATCTCTCATTGCACATTTAATTATTTGACATTAGACTTGCTGTCTCCATATAATCTAATGTGCTGACTGCTCTGGCTTTCTTTCAGCCACACTGGGCTCTCTTGAGTTCAGTCTTCTCTATGAGCAGGAAAGTAACAGCCTCCACTGTAGCATCCTCAAAGCAAAGGTATCACACATAGAGACAATTTCAATCAAGTTGTTTGTGTGAAAAATCTCTTGAGTGGTACTTAAGCTGAATTGTGCAGAGGTGATCTGATTAACATTGTGGTTGTTTCACCTCAGGGACTGAAGCCCATGGATTCAAATGGACTAGCAGATCCTTATGTGAAGCTTCATCTGCTTCCAGGGGCTAGTAAGGTAAACTGTTAAACCTGTCCGACACTAAATTAAGATTTTATCTCTTTTAAAGTATTTTTCCCCTAACCAGTTAGATGTCCTGCTCCGCAAATAAACATTGGGTGATTTCAGTCCTTTTTTATGTACTGAGAAATCTGTTCTAGCTCAAGCCTGACATCTTGTGGTGGTTTGATCATTTTTGTTTTGAGTCTTGAGTCCTGAGAGAGTTGAGAGTTATTTTTTTATCCACATCTAATTGGCATCCAACAGTCTAACAAGTTGCGCACAAAGACCTTGAGAAACACCCGCAACCCCGTGTGGAATGAGACGCTCACCTACCACGGCCTGACAGATGAGGACATGCAGCGCAAGACCCTCAGGTGGATCATATCTCTGTGACTGTCATGCTCAGCAGTAACAGCCCTGCTTTCATGTTTCTCTCATTTGAATTCCGCTGCACTACATTCCCTCTCTTGTAATGATATATCTTTTTTATTTACACAGGATCTCTGTCTGTGATGAAGACAAGTTTGGCCATAATGAGTTTATTGGGGAAACCCGGGTGGCACTGAAGAAAATGAAGATGAATCAGAAGAAAAACTTCAACATCTGTCTGGAGAGAGTTGTTCCAGTGAGTGAACCGATCAAAGCCAAAGCAAACGTCCTCCTTGGCCTAATCTGTTTTGACCTTGATTTGATTTCGTTCTTCCTCACAGACAAAGAAAACAGCAGGAGCCGGAGCATCCAGAGGGATTTCACTCTACGAAGACGAGGCAAGGTTTTTGTTCCCAAGCATGTCTAAACTAGGTAGATTCCTCTAAAAGTTCAGGCAACTGTTCTCATCAATCTTTCTCACATATTTCCCCGTCTGCTCCATCTCAGCCAGGGAAAGATGGCACAGAGGTAGAGGAGCGTGGTCGGATTTTGATGTCCCTCATGTACAGCACCCAGCTGAATCGTCTCATTGTGGGCGTCGTGCGCTGTGTTCACCTGGCCGCCATGGATGCCAATGGCTACTCTGACCCATATGTCAAAATGTAGGTGGAACAGCTTGCAAAACGCATCGTTGAGTATAATTGATTGACTACAGAAGATATATGAATGACAGTATCTTGATATGGAATTTTCAGATGTCTGAAACCTGACATGGGAAAGAAGGGCAAGTCCAAAACACAAATAAAGAAGAGGACTTTAAACCCTGAGTATAACGAGGTCTGCATGAAAGTTCAAAATGATGAACACTGATACATTACAAATTAAATGAGCTGCTAGTGATCAAATCACCAAAAAATGCTTAAGCAAAATCTTTGGTTGTACTGTTTTGAAATCCTGAATTTTTGCATTGAATTTCAGGAATTCAGCTATGACATAAAGCACAGTGAACTGGCCAAGAAGACCTTAGATATCTCTGTGTGGGATTATGACATTGGAAAGGCCAACGATTACATAGGTAAATACTTTTTCAATAATATCGCTTTCGTGTAATCGCACTGAATTGATCGCGTCTTTATGACCTGCCTCTCATACCTCCTTTCCTCCTGAACAGGTGGGTGTCAGCTGGGTATCACCGCCAAAGGGGAGAGACTGAAGCACTGGTATGAGTGTCTGAAGAACAAGGACAAGAGGATTGAGCGCTGGCACACCTTGTACAATGAGAATCATGTTGCCAGTGATTAACCACAAAGTGCTTGTATGGGCTTTAATATGTGGATATGTTTTGCTTAAACATATCCACACTCATCAGTTTGCATTTATATCATGATGCACCTTTAACCAGTGGAGTCATTTTTATTTATTATTCCTAACCAACACAAAGGCATTGCTCCTGTGTATGCCTTCCCCTGATTCAGCATGTGTTCTTCCCTCCTTTTCATGTGAGTAATTTCTTTGCCTGTGCTGGCAATGAATGAGCCTCTGGCACGCGTTGTAAAAATGAATTTGAGATTTCATTAAACTAACAGAGACATCTGTCACTGGACAGCTGCACAACAGCTCTTATAGCTGTCAGAGATGTTGCAAAGTGCGCTGAACGTGATACATTCATCGATAAACAAAATCAAGTTTTAATTGCACTGGCAAAAACTAAAACAAGCAATATGTTATGGCATCTTAGATCAAGCCCATAATACAAACTCTCAAAACACTTGACCAAGCCCATCTCTGAAATTCTGTAGACTGTTAGATTATTATTTGGACTTTCTTATGAGATTACATCATGCTTTATGTGACATGTAGAACTGTACGAGCATGCTAGGCCACACATGAAACTAAATGCAGCTGCACCTTAGAATAAATCAGCTGTTGGAACACGTTGTATATTTCCATGATGAAATGTTTACAAACTTATACATTGCTCAGGTTAGGACAAATATCTTAAATAGCAGATGATTCATACGTGAGTGGACCATGAACGAGCGGACTCTTTAATCAGCTGCTGTTTGTGGTTTGAAAACATCATAGCACAGCTATATAGTTTAACAGGAGTTTTACGTATTGTTCTTAAAACTGTGGAAATTCAATTTTGTGGGAAAGTTAGAGTATGCTTTTAGATAAACTGAAAAATAAAAGGCAAAGATGACTCCCCTCCTTTAGTTTATTTGCTGTGTTGCAGCCCTGGCAGGAAAAAAAAAAAGACTCCCCTCCTGCTACCTCTGCTCCTTCAAAGCTGGCGGTTCACTCTCACACCTCAGAGGTTTTCTACTGCAGTGTTTACAATGAATGCACACAGCCAGGTTTCTTACAGGTATTCCCAACAAATCTGGCGGCTTCAAAAGAAGTTGGAGAAAGTTATGTAAAAGTCTGTGCAGCTTTACCTGCATGCACTGTGCTCGTGACTCTCATGTGCCTGGGGCAATCATGGCCCGCTTTTACCCCACATACTCTTTGCACAAAGCAGGGCTTTTTCCCCTCTGCCACACCCTAGAGATTCAGTGTGTGCTTCAGTGTGTGTTTGTTCACTAATCACAGCAAACCGAGGAAAGCACACCTTACAGAGCGGAATGACCTAAACCTAAACAGCTGTTTGCAAGTTAATCCAACGTCAAAACAAAGATGAAAAAACAAAAACAAAAAAAACCTATGCATGAAATGTTTTGTGATTCAAGATATATATACTTTGCAAGAAATCGATGCTATTGTAATTTAATTAATGTATTTATTCCCCGTAACATTCCTGTTGATAATTTATACACTGTACGAGAGGCCATACTCTGCATGACTATGATAACTGTGGTGTAATCTGAATTAACTGGTCGCTGAGCATCCACAGGGTTTACAAATAATTAACTGAGCACATCAACATGAAGAGCTTGTCCAACTCGATCGGTAGCAGACCAAGATTCATGAGAATCTTTCCTATGTCTTGTTCTCTCTGTGACGCCACTATGCCTCTGAGTGGCTGATATTCAGACACCCACCCGTCCAATGCTGTGCTACATCAGCTACTGTGATCATCACAAAATGATTATCAATTGTTGTTGGAAAAAAAGCCTCCTGTGAGCTAAACTCAAAACTGTCTTCTACTCGATTCTGCCAGTTCAGTGGAATGTTAATGAAGCTCTGTACTTGTACATAGATAGTGCATGCCGTTGAAATATGTACGTTTGCAAATAACTTTGCATGTAAACATTTTTGCAGAGTTTACACAGACAAATAAAATAATGAAAGCTGACACCTCTCTTTTGAATATGTTTTTTTTTCATCAAACTATTATCAGATAATCAACACAGGAGAGGAAATAACAGGTAAGAGGCATAAAAACAGCACACAATCATTCTAAATGTGTCTATTTGCCACTTTTCCTGGCACCAATACCCCTATATCATCAGAGATGCAGACTTTTAATAGCGTGCTGATAACAAGAGAACATTTTCTCAGCCAGTTTAGTCTGGGGGATTCATCATAAATTAGGTTTCTCATTCCAATCTGTCTGACTACAGAACAATTTTCCATATTGAATCAGTCAATTTTGAATAAGCTCTGGCTCAGATAAGGCCTCAGTGTTTCTGTATCATCCTCACATATGGAGCACGAACCTCTATCTGTGAATTATACAAATGATGCAAAGAGTATCATTGCCTTCACTGTTAAGGATTCCTGAAAGTGCTCCTGTGCCTAAGCCATTATTTCCATGACAGAAACAGGCCTGTTTATAATAGTGTGCCATTTTTTCAGTTTTTGTCACCTATTTGTTTCTTCAAATGTAATTTTGTGCTGCAAATAATTTAATATTCAGTGTTCACAATTCTACATTAAACTATATTATTCCAAAGTTTCAATTGATTTGCATGTACATTTTTCTGCCGATTGTGGACCTTTGGGCAGTTTTTACAGAGAAACCACCTCTTTGAGTGATATTTTGTGCGTAAATATGTTGAATGTCAAAATCTGAGTTTCTCATAATTTTGAATGGCTCCCAGTTTTAAGAGCCTGTGCTTTGTGGGACTGAGCAACTCACATCAACACACAGAAACGTGTGCAAAATTGAGAGTCAAATTTCTCCATGCTGGCAGGCCAATAAGATGTGTTTTGAATCTCAGGGTTTCCTCATTGGCGTCTACATCAGAGACAGGCGCACTGAAACCGGCCGGCGCAAAATGTCAAATTAACGTGGAGGAATTTACCCACGCAGGCATTCATTTAACACTTCAACTATTCTTCCACAGGGCAAACTGGCAGTACCTGCACATTACGATGGGGAGCGGATGTTTGCTGCCAGCCGCTTTTTTGGTATGGGCGCTCACACTGTCAGAAGCCCAGGCTGTGGACGGGCCAGCTCTCACCTGCCTCAGATCCAGTCCAGCCGGCACACGGACGCGCGTCACCTTTCTGCGTGAAGACAGGGACGGTGCGCGCTCCCTGTTCCTCACCATGTGGTCCAAAGATATGCAACTGGTTGCCTGCCTGGTGTATAACGATTCGCGTGCTACGGAAGGATATCGTGCGCTCTGCGAGACAAGCAAACGCCACCATGAAGAAGTCATTCAGAACTTTAACATCAGCATGGCGCTGGCTCCGAACGCGCCGTGCGCGCCGGTGCCCTCTCGGGCTCCGGAGTTTACCGGGCGCACAACAGGAGGGGGTTCAAAGCCGAAATCCCGAGCCAAACGCTCCTGGATATTCCCAGGTACCTTGTGGTGTGGAAGCGGTAGCAAAGCAATGGGATACGAAGAGTTAGGTGAGAATTTTCAATTTTTCTGGGGGCGTGTGTGTTTGTTCTTACTCCTTATATTGTCAGTGACCGTATGAGTTACAGTGACAAGACTAGACACAAGTGTAGGTATGCCAAATAAATGTGACGCTCATAATATCAGCTGTAGGCAGAGCAAAAGAGTTGATAGAGATATCATGAGGCTGTATAAGCCATCACACCTAACACAGCAGCTCAGAGCTCATGAGAATTTTACCTACACAGTACAGGGACTTTGAAGTTAGCAGATAGAAATGGGCACAAGTTGAGATACATTTGTCAAACGTCCCTTTTATTTGCAGAACCCTGCACAGGACCATTACAGATGTCCATAGCAGATCAAATGTATAGAAAGAAGTTTTTGGTGGTGGTGCTTACCAAACTTAACTAAGTGAACTTGAACTGAATGTCAAACAAGTTTTAATTTGACTGATGTGGACAGGGATGTTTGAAGGTGCAGACAGATGCTGCCGTGAGCACGACCACTGCCCGCACATCATCCCAGCTTTCACCATGAATTATGGAGTTTTCAACCGCAACTTCTTCACCATGTCCCACTGTGACTGTGACCAAAGGTGAGCTTCAGAATGTATTCACTGGGCACACATTGCAGAGTCATGATTCCAAGAACGTACTGCCTCAAGAGAAACTTAAGCAAGCAGTCAAGTAAGGCAGATTCACGAACACAGCTCATTTCTAAGCATTACTGTTAGAATTTCTACAATATTAGAAAGGAAAGACATAGTGTTAGAATCACCCTTATGACTGTTTTTAACAAAAAGGAGCAGCAAAGTGGCTTTAGAGCTATACCTTTGGGGTTTTGTCAAAGACTAGAGCAGCTGAGATCTGAACTATCTGCAACAGTTTGTGTTTTGGACAGAATGGCCAAGAAACTGTTACAGCAATCGATTCCTCTCAAATCAAATGCATGGATCAGTGGTTCCCTTTGGCTCATAGTTCTTTAATACATTTTATATTTTTCAGGCGTCAGTTTGAAATTACTCCATGATTCTGCATCTCAGCAGAAAGCAGTTGGTCTGCAAGTCCAGTTCACAGACAACACAATATACACACATAACACAAATTAATGCGGCTCTCGTTACTAATTCGAAAAGCAAAAATAGACTACTTAATTCCTCTCAGTTCAAATAAATGAACTGAGACGAATTGTGGTTTTTATTTCTTATTCACAGGGCAATCTCGCCAAGCCTTTCCCTGTGTTGTCAGCAACTCGATCAGATAAACTTGCTCACACATTTTCCTTTGCCACAAAGAAAATAATGATTGAGTTGGATGAACCGTGACGAAATTCTACTTCTGTGTTCCCGGGGCTGAATGTAAACACTTCTGGCCATAAACCTTGCTTGTTCACTAACAGTCTTGGATTAATTTCACACTGATGGAAAACCAAATTTAGTCCAAAGTTTTCAAGATGGGATTTATATAAACTTACATTTGTAAAAATGAATGGTTATGGCACAGCCTTAACTATTATTATTTCAGTTGCTATTAATGCCTCATTAGTGGCATCAAACAATAGTTTTTACTTGGAATTAAGATAAAGTTATAGCACATGAGGAGCAAACAGCTTATTGACATTGCTTGACATAAGGTAGAAAAGCAAATATGTATTGCTCCACAAAACTATAATCAATACATTTCTTGGAGATGGTAGAAAATGGCAGTTTGATGTATGCTGTATCCAATTCTGTCTGAAAACAGGTTTGGTGGCTTTCCCTGAAATGAAAAAAGTTAAGGTTTTCTTTTAATTTAACTATCTTTTTTCTCTTTTGAAGAGTAGTTACTTATAAATAAAACAATATATTGCTGATGTGATTACTCACATGATCGATGGAATAGTTGCTGAAATGCAAAACTACAAACCTCTAAAATCTGCATGGTAGAGTTCAGGTTGGGGCTGAAGTAGCTCTGCCCTGAGGTGTTGGCTACATGGTGTCATGTCTTTTCTGTGTTATGAATTTGCCTGTAACTTGTCCTTGGCAGATTGAGCACATGAGTGACATAGCACATAAAATGACTTTGAAGTGAAAAGATTCAACTTGTTCAGGCAAATTCCATCTGCCCTAAAAATGTGTCTGCAGTCAATGGCAAAGGCGAAATTGTGACATAGCGCTTGAGACAGGCTATACAGGTAAGTACAACGGCCTGTTGTTCCCTCGTTCAGCATGCAGCTCAGTGCATTTCACAATCGGATTTCTATATCTAGAAATCATGAAAAGAATGGAATCAGTAAAAGTGCTCACCTCTCTGGAATGCAAGACCCTAAAATTTGTCTTTGACCTGTTTTAAGAAGGACAGCCTGGGGGCTTGTGATAAAACTATTCTCCCACATTGCCAAATAACTCCTCACTGCACTGAGCCCTGCAAAAACCTTTGCTGTCAAGATTGAATATGCTTCCTGCTATTTTTCTTTTAGTCGGGCGCTCCACATCTCCCACACAGTCCATTATTAACACCAACCGGTTTGTGTGTTTTACTCTAACTTTGCATCTAATGCTGGCAGTTGAATGTCTGCTGTATTTGTCCTGTCATTTTTTTTAGTTCATCGACAAGTAGCACCCAGCGACAGACATTTTGAGCTCACCTACTATCACACAGATTACGTTTGACTTTCAAACTTGTTCAGGAATTGTAAACAAAAAAAAAAAAAAGCCTTCAAGAACCTTTACCCACTGTTTGCGAGACGGACTCCTTTACTTTTGCTTGCTTTTGCTTTACTTCTCACCAGGTTTCGACAGTGTCTTCTGGGCATGAATGACAGCATTTCTCATATGGTCGGCTACAGCTTCTTCAACATCCTGCAGGTTTCCTGCTTTGAACTCAAGCAGCTGAAGCGCTGCACAGAGATGTACTGGTTTGGAATGTATGTCACACAAACACACTGGCATCGCTACTAGGGGTGTTGATTGCCTATTGTTAGACACACCAGTTGCTGTGAGCTATAAAATGAGGAATGTTTGGTCTGAAAGGCACAGATACAGAGATAATGGAGTCTAGTAGCAGGTGTGCATCTGCAGTTCACATGTCAAATAATCTGCACAGTTTAAGTAAAACATTGTGGGCAAATGGTTCAGACAAACAAACAGAAAAACAACTAAGTGACCTGTTAATGTCTCAAGTTTCAAATTTGTGTTAAAACAAGTGATTTTTAAATTTCCATAATGTGAGTGTAATGAGGAGGGCCCGAAGGAAAAAAAGGAAGAATCTCAAATCCATCTTAATCTCATTATTACCTCTCACAAGTTTTGGTGAAGTGGGAAAAAAAAGTCAAAAATTGAAAGCAGTAAGATTAGCATGAGCAGCTACATTGCTTTGACCCTAATCAAAATAGCTAAGGAATGATTATATCCTAACTAAAAATATAAATCACACTTATCACTACATAGATTAACATGTAATGAATTACGATTCTCTATCAAATTGCTTTATTTTAATGCATATTTTGTCTTTACAGGTGTAAAGTCGCCAAAGAGGCCCCATATGCTGTTTTTAAAAGCCCCCTCCCTTACAACAACTCTGATGGCTCCAGTAACTATTCAGACAGTGACAGAAACGATTTAAGGAGCAGCCAAAGGCAGAATATAACCAAAATTGCCATAGTCAACCCCCGAAAGAAGTCATCCAAAAAAGAAATTAGATGCCTGAGAGACCCACCAAGAGGAGACACTTTCTACCGTAAGAAAACTAAGTGGAGAGAATGTCAAAGACACCAGGAAATATCTAGAGCAACAACAACCACAGAAGCACCCAATTTATCAAGGAGCCACACCACAACCGTGTCCATGAAAATGGGTTATTCTAAAAGTAGAATACGGCTGTCGAATAGAAAAACTGCTGGAAAAAAGAAGAGTGTCAGAAAGGTTTTGTCAGGTCTTAAACAGAGAGGCCTTGTTCCTATCAGTCAAGCCTCAAAGTCAGACTTAGAATTGACATCTCCCACATCGTCAGGTATCCCCTCTGTAACCCAGGGACCATGGCCTACACAAGACCCAGCAAGAGCACTCCCAAAAGCGACTAAAACCTCCAAGAGACAACGAAAAACCCCAAAGCAAAGTCAGCGTTGTGTATCCAGCATGCCTTCGAGGGGGGACTCTTTCCAGCCACACCGAAAAAGTTGTGTGAAACCAGACGCAGCTTTTCACACAACTGTCAAACCGGCAAAAACAACAAGTGGCCTACCAACAAAACAGATAAGCCAACATCTCAAAAAGACAACAGAAAGGCCCAACTGGGTGACCTCAGCCGTTTTTCAGGAAGCAGTTACCTTTTCAACCACAGTCAGGACAACATCACTTCCTGAAGAAGGAAAGCCACACAAAATAAGCCAGCAGCACTTCAATCCTGCCATAGATGAAGGCCTCCCTGCAGAGAAAACCCCCAAACAAAACAAGGCACTGCAAAATATCACAGGTGAGTCAGTCTAGTCCTCTCAAATAAGTTAAGTTTTTATGTTCTCATGGGTAGGAGTTGGCCTGTGAAAACTGACTGAAGAAAGACTGCGATTACCTGTGAAAACTGATTCTAGCTGGTGTGATGGGCATTTTGTCACCTGGCATCTTGAAATAGTTCTTTTGAAACACTAAATTAATGCAGAATGATCAAAATGTGGGTGGAGGATAATACAAAAGAAGAAAAGAAAATCAACCTTACCGGTTGATTTTCTTTAAGCTCACTACAGGTCAGAGGACGTTCTGAACTGGTGTCACATGTGTGATTCATTGAACTGTGAACCCTATGCAAACCAATTTTCAGGTTTTTGTTTCTTTCCACAACATTTTCAGGTTTTCCCAGTCGAAGATTTAGCTGAATTGTTACTATTTCATTCGATTTCTTTTGTCAATTAAACCTTCACTAGCATTATCGCTTATTGTCTGCCATAAAAATGATTCATAAAAAAGGTGTAATTTCAATTACAGGAATTGACCTAAGATACTTTACCAAATGACCCGGGAGGTAAAGTAAAATAAGGATTATTTACATAAGGGTTTTTAGGCTTATTTAAGTTTTAAGTTGAGGAAAAACGAGTTTTGAGTATTGTTACATTTATCCATGGTCCCAGGGTGGAAGAAAAAAAATGCTGCAAAAATTCCATACAATATTGCCTATAAAAAAGGGGCCTAGGGCATGTTTTTTATGGAAGTCTCAATGTGGTTAATCATCTTTGCTTCCTGCCCGAGGGAATAGAATCCAAATTTCACAGGTGAAGCTTTCTAAACATTTGTGTTAATAAAAAAGAGCATTATGTTTTTTGAGAACACTATCAGAAAGCAAATGATAACTAAGTTCCTCAAAGTAAACTGGAATCATTTTTGTGATTACTTTTTTTTGTTTGTTTCATCCAGATAATAAGCTGCAGTGTCAAAGTTTAAAAATTCTGGATGACTGTAAATTAAAAATCCCTCCTCTACAAACAAAATACAATCTGCTGAACATGGAGTCCAAGACTGTCTACCACTGTGATTGCACTAGCAGGTAACAAAGCACCTATATTATTAGTCAGTTTTCTTCGTGTTGTATGTTATTGTGAGCTACGAACAATCTCTCAATACAACTGTTTTGTTTTTCTGACTTTGAGCCAATTCCAGGAAAGAACATTTTTAGGATTCTTGTTTCTCTGCAATATATAATGACAGATTTTGACAAGGAAAAAATATCAACATCATTCCTGCCACAACATGTCAAGATTTTCTGCTTGAAAAAACACGACCTGTGTATCCAGAATTAGTGAGCATTACATAGATTTCAAAAATTGACATTGAGTCAGTCAGACCAAAACTGGACTCTGTTTATCCCAAATTTAAACTCTTGAAGCTGGACCAACACTCTCCTGTGATGTGTTTTGAAGACTGAATTAGTTGTGCATGTGCACAGTTCCACAACAAAGAATAAACACAAACAATGTGATCTTTATTATAAAAAACGTACAAACAATGAAAGCAGTTCAGGAAGTAACAGCAAGGTATGTGGTCATTATTACAGCTAATTTTCCATGAAAACTGCTTTCACTCAGATCTTTTCATTGAAACATTTTAGACTATGGGGAAATATTGCTTTAACATTGCTTTAAACATTTCCAGACTTCTTCATTTTTCTCATAAACATCTTGTTTTTATCATAGAGAAGTCCCTACTGAAGGTACTTAATGAAACGTCTGCACGGTGCATTTGGCTACACATTCTTGTGACCTCTTGCAGAGAAATATTAGTGGCATGATGAGTCACTTCTCCCAGTTGACAGCTTAACATTATTGGATATACTTCAGCTCATGAGCCAACTCTGCTCCTGTGTATGCACAGTGAGATCAAACAATAGCTTAGTTCAATGGTAGTGATGGGCTACAAAAGTACCTCTGAAATGTGCATGTGTCCATCAGAAAAACAAAGATGTGAAATCCAGCCATTATTAAATATTGACATATGTAATATAATTTATCATCTGTGTTTTTTTCCTGGAAAAGTTATCATTTCCAGCTCGTATAAATCTTATTTTACATTAAAATTTTGAGCTTTGTTTTATTGTGTATATAGTAGCCAGTGAAACCTCTCGGCTGAGTAGTAGTGGTATAGTTAGACCCTTATTCTTCAGTTCCATTTTAGTTTATAGAAAAAAGAGGACTCATCATAGAGTATGTATTCTTCAATGTCTGTTTAGTTGGTTGTTAATTCATAATTGAACAGTGGAAAATATGGGGAAAGTTATGAGAGGAATAAAGGATTCTTTAAAAGATCCTAAAAGGAATTCATTATTTATGTAATATAAATAATGCAGACAAATAAATGAATGATTTGATTAAGGAAAACAGTCCTATGTTATGAGAATGAAAGTAAACCATCTATAAATATCTATTTACCAAGGTGGGGATTCAGTATTCTTTAAATATTTCTCTGTTCTACTGTTTTTATTATTACTGGTCTTTTTGCCACTTTAATAGGTTGGCTTTTCAAATTGCAAGCTTTCAACAACTGATTATTCCCAGCTCACTTTTGGTGGAGTTCGTCTCTCAGCAGTGCTTCACTTTGCCAAAGAAGAAAAAATGCCATCACAAAAAGAGGTGCTAAGCTCCGAAATGATCATTCATAAGAGTCTTTGCATTGACAAAAAAGACAATCGTCAGATTAAGAAGTTGCCTTATTTTTCTATGTCTCTTCTTTTTAGATGTTTTTCCAGCTTCTCCAAAGCCTTTGACCTATATCAAGCACTTCAGAAGATGGGAGAGAAAGGCACAGCTGACATCAGAATTACTGCCATTGACAGAAAACGACGGATTCCTGTTCGCCTTTATAAGAGATGCCTGCGGCTTGAGAAGGGACCTGATATAATGGCACAGCTCAAATGACAGAGCAATGAGCTACTTTATGAAGGCAAAATAGTTTTTTAAGTGATACTTTCCTAGCAGAATTTTCACTTTCTCTGTGACAAGAAAAATGGAGACATCTATGAATATTTAAACCCTGGAATATTATTATGCCTTTATAGATATGCTTGTATAGATTTTGAAGCACTAAGTTATAGAGACCTGTTAGTGAAAAAACAAAAAATTAAAATTTGTTGATTGAAAACACATGTTATTTAAATATTTTTTAAATATCAGTCTGAATATAGTAATCTGAATAAAATGTGGTTTTAGAAAAACATGGCTTAATGCGTCAGTCTTTCACAAATTATTAGACGTTGAGATTTTTATTCTGTTAACATTGACATTGTCGGAAATGCCAACAGCTAATGGTCAACTTTTCACAAACAATTCACAATCTAGTAGTACATGTAACGGAATGGAAAATACCAATGTAACTATGTTTTTAAGCAGTCATATAAAATGTATGTTTGTGAGTCGTGTAATCTACTTTCTGTTTGTTCAGCTGTTCATATTCCATTCAAATATCACACTTATCTTATCTGCCTGAGGGTGCACCAATTACTGACCATGACTTCATCACATGGCCAACAGGGAGACAAACATACATACCTGCTGTCAAATTGGAGTAACATAACATGAATGTTTCGTAGAATGAGGAAAGCAATAAGGTTAAGAAAACACTACAGTAGGAGAACATGCAGACTGTAGACCTGTTACGGTAAAAAACATTTGAATATGATCACCCCAAAATATGTTTTAAACATAGATCTTTAAAGCTTTTCATTTTATTCTTCAGTTACAGCGTTTTTGTTATAACAGTAATTATCTCCCTTTGTTCAGGTAGTTGTGCAGTTCTGTACTCTGCCACTTCTTTTCTCAGGAAAAGAACAGACTACAAACACGACAAAAAAGTGTAATTGTCAAGTTTGAATTATTTTAAGGAGGGTGACCACTTTTTAAAAATAATTTACAAACTGAAAATCACAAAACTTTGATTCAAGTTGCCCTAATTTTGAAGGTCATCAGGTATTAAATATGTTTTTCAGTCGTACCAGAGTCGAGTTTCACTTTCAGTATTTTCAGTTTATGCAATTCAACATCGAAAGCAATGAAATGGCGAATAAAGTTACGTTAGACGTGATGCCAAAAGAAAACTGTCTATGATGAGTTAAAGTGATTTGGTTGCAGGTAAGTAAGTGAAACTCCAACCATTAATTTTAATCTAACTTAAAATTTCTAAATTACTAAATTTAAATGGCATTATAATTGTTTCGTTGTCATGATCGCAAAAATGTTGTTGCGTTAGATACCAAAATAAACTCATGAATTTTTGACAGCTTCTCCGGTGGTGCGCGGTGCATGCTGGGAACAGTTAGTTGGCCTTGGAAACATGGCGTCGCACTGATAGCCTGGAGACTGCCGTTATCTTTTCCAGGCACTGACACAGCGGCTTGGTCGCTACTAGAGCCACCTTCATTTAAATTTAAGCCGTGACGTAGGGTCACTAGAGATGCAGTCTTCGCCTTGAGAACGCTGTCTTTTAAACGGTGCGGTGTAATAACGGCTTTAGTAGCGCTGTCACGCCCACTCTGCTCGGTAACGTTAAAACGATACCGCACGGTAAGTTAGCTCCGCTCCGGCTAACCGAGACAGCCAGCTAGCAGCCGCTGTTAGCATGACAGCAGTGTATTATGAGGAGGACCTGCCCCTGCTGCTCGTTCACTGCCTGCCTGTCTTCTGTTAGCTTTCAGACTAGCACAGCAGTCTGCCCTGTCAGACCCCACAGTGAGACAAAACGGTGACATTAAGGGCCGTTATGTTATTGGAGATCCCTATCTGGCTGAATAGGGCGTTTCTGTCATTCTGTCTCTGAATTTTTAATGTTCGACCCTTTTGGCATCACTGTTGGAGGAGAGAGCGATGGGCTCCGGGGCTGTGGATTCGTCCCAGTGGCTTTCGGTAAAGGAGGAGACTATATTTCTCCACGACGGACTCATTCGGGTCACAGACTTGGCCGAGCTACCCAGTGAAATTGGAGTGTCGGAACAGGGGGACGCCGAGCAAGAGGTGAGTGAATGCCATCATTCACACCATAAAAAGAATTGTGTACCGAACTGCACCAGGGCATAATTTAATTATGTTTTCACCGTACCCTACAAAATATTAAAATAAAATAAACACACCAAAACTCAGTGATAACGAGGGCTCCAGCGATTGCAAGTTTCCAGGTCTGCTTGTTATTGACGTACTGCCTTACCAATGTGTTTCCTGTTAATCTCTTCAAAATATAAGCGTCATAAATCACATCCAGTTAAATTAAACCACAGATGTTGTGTAACTTAAGTAAGATTCCATACTGACAATACGTTGTTTCACCTACTGGCAAGTTTAAGAGGAATTGGAGTGTATTTTTTTTGTCATATTGCAATAAGCAAAGTAGCAGGAGTGTTGATCATCAAGTTATACATCTTAATATTGAGCTTAATCACAAGATTGTTCAGGTTGTGGAGTGAATCTGTTATTCCCAAAAAAGTGTGTTTAGTGTCACAAAATGAGCCCTTTCTCTCTTTAATCAGCTGATGTGCTCATAATAGTTGTCATTCTTTTAGGAGAAAATGTTATTTAAGATTGGCAACACTTGACTGTTTTGCTCACATGACACAGTTTAAATGCCGATTGTTTTTACTAAATTTTATATACCTCCTGAGGTAAAGTAACTTTATCTTAATGAATCTGAACTGTGTTATTTATTTTAGTTCAGGGTGCTTATTCAGCAGAGAAAAAAGGTTATCTGCAAACAGACCTTTATTTTGAATGGCTAGAAATGAAGGCGGAAGAGCTGTGTTTTTTGGATTGTGCTCTCTTTACAGCATGTCAAAGGAAACTTCGAGCTAACAATGCACATTTCCAACCTCGATATTTCGGTACAGTACCTCGTGAAAGATCTACGGCTGGTGGCATCTCTCATGTTGTGGAGAACATACTCGTGTCACGTGTAAATGAGCCGATTTATAAAGCTGGGCCCATGTAGGCTCCCTATGTTTTATATTTGACCAATTTTACATGTGGATATGATGACCCTAAAGCCATTTAAAATAAAGTTAAGGTGTCAAATGATGTGTTGCTTTCCCTAGAAATAGGTTTGCACGTAATATTATTACAAAACTAATCCTTTACGTGAAAATTGATTGTTTTTTACATACAGGGACTTTAGTGCCAGAGAAAGATTTTTGCACTCATAAGCAAAAAACCCATGTTGTTTTAGATGTTTGTTTTGAGTGTGTTTTACATTAATCTATGCAGATTCAGCCTGTTATGCTATCATGATGTAACTATGTCTTTCACGATCAAGAGTCTAACTAGGGAAAAGTATTTCTTATGTCTCCATTTATTTATTTGCACCTATTTACTGCCTTTCAGTCATCCAGTAACTTCCACTAGGTTGTGTTCTTTGCACATTTGCTACTTATGCAAAAATCATAGCAGCTAAAAAATTCTGCTCCCCTGTTCGACTCTCAGCTTCACTACTGGGAGGGCACACAAGTATCTCCACTAATTTGTTAAGCAGCATTCTTGGATTGACTCTGTCCTACTTTTATGTTGGTATTATCAATGCCAGCAATATTTCTTTCCGGATGATTTTACGATGTCGATCAAAGTGGCCTACATTGAGATGCACATGCTTTCAGGATGCTTGAAGTATGGATGTTATAATGTATTCAGTTCGTCAGTGTATACACAGTACATACTCTTTAATGAATGGTAAAAAACACATTTTATTCAAGAAAAGTTCTTTTAAGGTTTTAGACTGACTGGATCAGTCAGTTCTGTTTTCATGGCTGTTGTGATGCTGACTATTTTTGTCTGCTGGCAGTAATCTTTTGTAGAGCATGGTGGAGAAGGCCCAGCATCCAGTTAAGGGGTGTTACTGTAACATAAGTAGCATTTATGAAATGGAATCAATACAAATTGTGCCTGCTAAATGGTATAAGATTTTTTCTCCCTAGTCCATGATCTGTGGGCAGCAGAGTGTAATCAATACCTGAAATGCAGCCTAAGTGCACACCAGGCACATTGTTTCACTTCTGATATGCTATGCCTAATGTGCAGTGCTGTCTCTGACCATTAGTCCAAAGAAATGTTGGATTGAATGTATTCTGTTCTCATTATTCATAGCGTCACCTGTTCCATAAGATATTTTTATGTGAATAGGCATATCAGAAAAACAGTCTTAACTTTTCTGAATTAATCTGGCTCTTCATTAAAGTACACAAAAGCCAGATGTTTGTGAATTTAACATCAGCAAACATAAATAAAAAGATCTGTTTTATATCTCCAAATTGTGTGCATTTCAGCTTTATTTGACCATTTTTTCTGGAAATAAATCCTATCTAAATTGGAAAATGTATTTGCATTTTACAAAGAAATTACCGTAAGTCTGATCTGTTTACCTTTTTGGGAAAAACGCGGCTGACCCACTTGTTCCCAATTTTACAGCAGTTCATTGAAACGGATCTCTTCGTTATGTGTTGAACACATTTTCATTGATTTTTTTTTTTCAGATTCTCACATTTGAGACAAAGAACCCCGTCGAGCTCGCCGAACGTCTGCGTGCTGTCTGTGGGAATCAGAGCAACGCGTATGCCCGTCTGCTGGAGTACCGTCTCAATGCTCTGCGTGGCTTGTGGGGTGCGCAGCGGCAGCTGGCCTTGGAGGAGCAGCAGGATAGAGAGGGGACTGGAGGGGCTGATGAGGAGACTTTGGCCTTGCTCAAAAGACAAGGTCTGCTGCAGCAGCCTGAGCAGGCGCCCTTCACCTCCCGGGTCGGTCTGCTGCTGGTCTTCCCCCTTTTGCAGTCCCAAACGCGGAGTGATCCAGCACTCTGCGGCGTCACCGCAGAGGTGCTGCTAGCCTGCCTCCGGGACTGCCAGCCGCTCAGCCTCAGCAAAGAGCCTGCCGACTGCCTAAATGGTTTGGAGGGGCTGTTGTGCTCCTGGCTGGAAGATGGTACCCAGGACTCGGGTCTGCCTCAAGGGCAGTCTCGGTCACAGATTCTACACACACAGAGGCAGAGGGAAAATGCTGCCGCTGCACTTGTGGCGCTAGCATGTGCCAGGTGAGGCCATATCTTCTGCTGGGACATTTTTACACTTCTTGGGGTTTTTCTGAATTCTCCTGTAGATAAAGTGTTAAACAACAGCATTTACAGTAATAGCACTTTGTTGAAGGTCTGTTGTTACAAATTAAGATATAAAAGTAGTAAAATGTTGTGATTGAGAATGTTCCTTCCTTTAAATTGTCACCACTTTTTTGTTTTTCCAGTGGACATGTAACATTCATTCAAATTTCAGAACATCCTAGGCTCCTCAGTGGCAACCTTGTTTGATTGTTTGCATTATCGTATAAAGGATTAGATGGACATTTAGTGGCTGATGGTATGCATGTACCATAAAACTGTTTTTCACTTGCAGAGCTTCCTTTCCCATGAACTCTGCTTTGTAAGCATGAGCTGCTTGCCCTTTTGCACAGTGCATCTTGTGTAAAAGCTGTTGACCTTTTTCTTGTTTGCCTCAGATGATATGATAAATCTCTGCTTGGGTTTTTTAGTTTAAAAAGAAAAGTATCCTTTTTTCATACAGAAGAGCTTAATGAACTGGATTATATTGGTATTTGTTCTGAAAGTCTGGCAGCTGATCTTGCCTTATTAGAACCAGAACTGTCCATTCTTTGTTAGGCCTCAGGTGAGCCTGAGAGCTCTATTGTGATGGGGAACCATCCAGCTTAGTGCTTTCCCCCCACAGTGGGAGGTAATCAAAGGGCTATCAGCTTTACTCCCCCAGACCTCTGACAGCCTTGGTTGGTAAGCCACTGAGTGAGTGGTTAGGTAACCAAATGCACTGCTTTACCTTCTATATCAGCTGTTGATAAGCTTCCTTACTTAGCAAGATATAGGGGTCACATGCTTTAAGCTGACACATTTATCTGCTTTGCTTGTGGAGATTCAGAATCTTTGCAGATTGGCACTGTCATAGCCCTCAAAAGTCTTAACTTCTGTTGTTCCACTTTGCTGCTCCACATATGACATGATGGCCTGTAAAACTATGTTACCGCCACATAGTAACCATTCTTACCAGCCCTTGTCAATACTCACCGTTGCATTTAAAGCTGCAGTAACACCTCCAGCTGCTTGTGCAGCTGAAAATGAGAACAGTCAGAATACTTATAGTTTAAAAGTACGGTGGAGTAACATGATATCCACTTTGCATTCTGGTGAAAAAGATTATTGTACGCCGGGTTACAAAAGTTTTAATTTGCTACCAACATTTTATCCTTCCATTATTCCACCAGAGGTATTGTTCCCCTTGCAGATCCAGAAGTATTCAACAAAAAGTGGTCACTCTTGTCTCATACTTGTCTCATACATACTGATTAATATGCCAAATTGTGTTTAGGGGCTCCCTGAAGACCCTCATCCACACAGTTCACCTGCTGCAGAAACAAACCGATCTGGGCCAACTCCCTGTGTCAGATGTCCTTTACAGGTGAGGGAACCCCTTTGCTTTCTCCTGTCAGCCATATTGCAGCACCTTAGCAAGAAAGGGAGGTATATAATTCCAACATGTAACCACTCTGTGTCTCTTCTGTGTAAGACTTTTACTCCTTGAAGGAGGCCCTGGCTCTCCATCCTGCCTCTTGGGGGGGAAACACAGTGTGTCCTGGGGTTTTGAGGATATGTTGCCCACACCTGATAATTCTGCAGGAGGAGCAGAGAATAAAGGTAATTATGAAGGTGTTTTAATTGGTGTAGTGCTTTACTCTTTCCCTGTTTAATTATTAGCTTCTAGTTTGTTTACAGTACATCTGGCATCATCTGGTAGCCATATTTAAGGTGTAGAGGACATTGTCAAATATTTGTGTAATTTGACTGCAATTACCCACATGTAAGCAGACATTTTGTAAAGTTGAGGAGGAAAAGCAGAAGAGGCAATTGTGATGTCTCACTCTCTAGCAATCGATCAGCTGACCTTGTAGAGTGAAGGAAGCTATTTAGGGCATACATCTATGCGTAGCTACATTTTAGGTTTGGTTTGCTTTATCTGTTCAGACTTTTTCACATAAGATTTCTGAAGTTATTTCAATTCTAGTATATGGAGGAGACTTTTGATAGAAAGGGTCCACTCCTAGAATCTGGATTCTCTCCCATGTCTTTGTCCCTTTCTTTTTTGAGCACTTGTTTTTTTTCACTTTTCTACTTCATCACTGTTTTCCCCACTTTCCTGTGCCCTCTATGAAATTGTTTGTGTTGGTGCTTGTTTGTCTTGCAGACACAGACCTAGGGCGCTGTCTGGCTACAGACGGACTATATCTATATACCACAAATTCCTCTGGGAGAGGGCTCAGCAAGCTTGGCTCTGGTTTACATGGGACACTGAGGTAATGTGATGCTCAGTTTAAGGTGCATGACTTCATTTGCAGCATGCATTGAACAGCAATTGACCAAAACATAAGAAGCAGTGAGACAATGAAAATATCTCTTCTTCAGTTGTCCATCCAAAGGCAGATGTGGAGTCACGTCCTTTCTTAGATATTTTAAATCCAATGCCTGCAGCAGTTAGTTTTATCCTCAGCTGCTTTAATTCACCTCAAAAGTAAAAAAACCCAGTCTGTGCTTGGCATTTTAATTCAATGCCATGGTACCAAGTTGCTAAAACTGTGAACAGAACACATCCCACAAGGTGTTCAGAACTCCAATGGTCAAAGTCATCATCATGTTTTGTTGCGCGGCCATAAAAACTTGCAAAATGATTAACTTTTTCGGACTTAGAAAGCTCCGTGCTCATTTTATGTCACACATATCTTTGTTGTGCTGATTCCGTTGGGGAATCGATTCTGATAAGCAACAATCATACGGAGAATCAAGTGCAGATGGAGATGAAGCCTGGCTCATCCTCTGTGGCCTCACAGCAGAGAATAGCTGCAACAAATTGCACTGCTGTGGTGTTCCAGCATGGCTGACCATTATCAAACCATGCCGGTCACTTGTTTTGAACAGAATGGGAGTGTTCATGGTATGATGCAGCATGACAAGTAGCCTGGTGATGCTTGTTATTGAAGACATACTGTCAGTAGTTTGTCATATTCAGCTCTGCTGAAGTTAAATCTGTAGAATGAAACCTACAGGCATCACAAGAAGGAAATAATTTAGTATTAGAAGTGTTTTTGTACTATAACTGTATTTTCTCTTAGAGGAATACTTTCTTTTTTTCTTTTATATTTCTTTTATATATTTATGTACTATTTTTTCTTGGTGCCTTTAGCAAACAGATGGAAAAGATGCAAGGAAACGCTGATACATAGATGAATCTCAGTGGTCAAATTCATTTACAGCAGTAGAAATAGACTAAGTTAATTAAAGCTCCTACATGACACAAGTCATTGTGATGGAAAAAGAAATCCTTCAAATTTGAACAGTAGAGTGAAAGCGCGTGTGTATGTTTTCTTTTCTTTGACCCCGATAACAGAAATCATTGTCCTGTGTATGTGAGAGAGGTGAGTGCCAGAATATTTAAAAAATGACTGTCTAGCAGATCACTATTCTCTGTCTCACTTTTGAGAGTGAGAGCAATCTGAGTCATTTCTTTATTCCACTTTTAGGACTGTGAAGTAATTTAAACACCCCCCTTTTTAGCTTGATGTTGCCTTGTGACACAAAAACATTGACATTTAAAAGCCAGCAACAACATATGGGGTATTTTAAAAGGAACGAAATGACTAAATCAGACAGTTTTAACTGTTATTTTTGTGGCTGTGCGTGTGCGTGCATGTAGGGGCTTTGTGTATTGTCGAAATGAAGAATTGGAGCCTGGTTGGGTGGTGTTCTGCAGCGGCCGCCTCCTCCACCGTCCCTCCTCTTTTGATGCCAAGCCTCATCAACTGTGCCAGGTCGTTGACCCCTTCACCCTCCAGGTGCTGTCTACCGTCGATCTATGTATATGAATTTCCTCCCATATTGTAATGTACATGTGATAGATCTGATAGTCAAACCCAGCATTTAAAAGCTGATAGATGTAATGTTTTAACATTCACAATGCAGCTTTAGAATTATTTGTGAATTTAAAATTTGATATCTATTCTTCATACGAAATTAAGGTAACAGCTAACATAGAGTGTATACTTCTATCTACAGTAAAATGTGCCTTTTGTTCATATTAAGGGGTAATCTCTCAAAATCCAAATAGTTTATAAGTTGTATGAAATACCAAACATAGGTAAAGCCAAAGGTAATCTTTGCCACTATACCTTCAGGTGTGCCAGATTGTGCCCATGCCAGCCCACCACTTCCCTGTGGGCAGCAGCATGACCACGCTGCACCTCTGCTCAGATGGAACCTACCTGTACTGGGTCTGGTCTCCAGCAGGTCTCAACGAGAAGACACAGAAGGGCCACTCTGTCTTCATGGATGTCTTTCATCTGTCGGTGAGTGCTATGTGGCCCACGGTATGGCGTCACCATAGTTTTCTGTCTCACCTCCTAATTCTTGATTTTTTCTCCCCCATCTCCTCCGTGGCTCAGACACAGACGGGGTTGTGTGTCGCAGACGTCTTGCAGGAAAGGGTTATCCTTACTCGGAAAGAGGGCGAGTCTTCCAAGTGCTTGAATGAACTCCTCTTGAGTCGAATGTCACGCTTTCGGGCCTCCCATTCTGCCACATTGGCTGCTCTCACAGGCTCTGCAATCACCAACACTGTCAAAGAGGAACAGTCTGGTAATGGTAGAAAACTTAAGATGCTCTGAGAAAATAATTCATGTTGCTATATGCGGAAAGTTTTGATGCCACTGCTTTTGTGACATTTTCTTTTGACATTCTCTTTTTTAATTCTTTCGTAGCTGTCAACACAAGCTGCGGACTCCCTCTGAAGACTTTGAGGAAGACCCCAATGTATGTGTGCGGAACCTATCTTGTCATGCTTGTTTCACCTCCCGGTGTGTCTGGGAGCTCTGCCACTCGCTCCTTATTTGGAGGTACCAGCAGCCTCTCCTCTCTTAAAAGTAGGTACACACAGAACAGTTAATCTTCACTGTGTTGAGTTTTCTTCTATATGTTCTGTAGTAGTTAAGCTTCATTGAAATGCAAAGTTTTAACTGTGTAATGAGAGATAAGAAAATTATGTAAGTGATTTAATATTTTGTAAGTGAAAGTTTTAATTATGAAATTAAATAAAAAAAATAAATAGTTATAAAATGGGAGGATTGCTTCTTTGTTTTCAAATGTCAGTTTGCTAAGAAAGGATTGTTTTTCTTTAATTCAGTTCTAGCTTCCAGTTTGGTCTTCAGCCTGGCTGATGGTCAGTTCAGCAGCCGCGCAGACCTCATTGATGCTCCAGGCAGTTCTCTCGGCAGAGGAGCCCAGGTGGCTGGGCTAGGTGAGCTCAAGTTTACCTAATTTAACCATTTAACATTTTCTGAACGCCAACTAAAGCGGATGGCCCACATTACTGACATTTTTACTCTAACATTTCACTCCAAAGGAGCATGTTATGATGCACTGAACAACTTGATCTGGACCTGCTCCAGTGATTACATAGATCAGTGGTGCAATCCTGGAAACCAGGCCTTTCATCATGTGTGCCATAGGCTCGGTGTAAGCCATGTCATCAAGGAGCCCAAAGGTAGACAAAAATTGCCCTGACAGGACAATCTTTTTTATTGTTCTTCTTCTTTTAAATTAAGTTATATGTTTGAACATCTACAAAAACTTTTCATTTCACAGAGGAAACAGTGGCCACTGGCGAGGTGATCAACCAGGTACTCCATCATGTAGGTGCTATGTGTATCCACCAGCTCAACCTGTTGGCAGCCAGCAGTAACAGTTTGCCCCTGGGAGCCCTACTGGGTAAACAACAGCCCATTGAAGCTCGTCTCTTGAGCAGCATCTGTGATATTATGGAGAAGGCCATGGTGAATGGAGATACTTGCATCATCCGCTGCATCTTGGTGGTGTTCCAGGTCAGTTTCAGATGCAGCTTAGTTCCTTTGAAAAAAAACTAATTTTATTTATTGCTAAATTAATTGATTATGTCCTTTGTATTACTGTTTTGACCAGGTGGTGTTTAGGTTTTTCAATCCTCAGTCTGAGCAGAATAGGGACAGTGTGCGTCGCTCAGGACTACTCCTGTGGCAGCTACTCATGGCTCCAGTGGATCAGATAGGAGCAGAAATTCAGAGAGAGGTGTGCTTGGCCATCAGGTATGTCATAAATTGCACATTAAGCAACCAACACTATTTCAATAAAGACAAGTAAACAATTTTTTAGTAGCAATGGCTAGTCATGGTTATGTTTTCATTTATATCAACCTGTTTCTGTCTCTGTAGCTCAGGCCTAAATACTTTATATCAGGGTGAGGCTGAACTCAACAAACTGCTAAAACTGGTTCTAACAGAAGGTGAGATTGTAAACAAATTGTACTTGTTGTGTTGCTTTTATGTTTCTCGGTGTAATTTCTTGTGTGGAATACTCAGGTGAAAGAAACAGTGGTTTGTCTCAACTTCGGGACGTCATCCTGACCAACTTTGCAGACCATCTGCAGAAGAATAGATTTGGTAGTGAAGAAGACGACTACTACATGTAAGTGACGTCCTTATTATTTTCATCACTACCATCATAATTCTTTAAGCTTTTAGCTTAATTTAGATATACACTTGTTGAAACAGTTGAAATGTCCCCCTTTAACAGATTAAACGATGAGCTGCTGCATTATGTCCTCAAGACTGTTGTTCGGGAATCATGCCTCCTCATCACCAAATGCCAGACTGTTGCCAGAGATGACTTCCAGAAGCTGCTCTCCACTGTGCCAGTATGAAACTGACCTCAATAGCACTTACATGTCATATATATGAACAAGATTAGAGGCTTTGAATGACTTCACCATGACCAACTTTTGATGATTTCCCCCCTTTTAAGGTGGTCTCACCTAGTCTGCGCTACCTCATGGCTGTTCAAAACCACCTCCTCAGTAACACCATTCTAATCCGTCCAGATGATAATGATGACAGTGACAGCTCCCTACAGGGGGAAACATTGAAGGTACAGGTAAACATCCCCTTTAACTACCCCTACCTTTGTGCATGCTGTCTTTGTGTATGTGTTTCTAAGAATTTAACCCGTGAAACAAATCTAATGGTTATGAAAGTTCTTCAAAGGTGCTGCTAAACATTTAATACAGAGCTGAGTTTAATGTTGGCAGTTAATACTGCCATGCCAGCTAGTTATGTTTATTAATGTTACTAGTACGTTTTAGTGGATGGAACAGAATGGATGATTTATCAGCAACTGAAACTGTTATGACCGGTCGACCTGACAGAAAAAAGATGTGCCTGCATTTGTCTTTTTGCATGAATGTTTTCACTGATAAACTTCTGAGGCAGTGTTACGTAAGTGTGTGCCTATTCATCTGTTGCCTTCAGGAACTGCAAAGCAGCATCCTGTCGCTAGCAACAAAAATTCTGGTGGGATGTGATGAAGTCTTGGAGACCCTGCAGCAGGTCACTACAGCTCTGATAAACAGTGACATACATGACAGAGAGACCAGGTGACCTTTTAATGTATTCTTTTCTTGAAGTACCTTTTACATTGTTGGATAAGCTGAAAGAAAAAAAGGGTATTTTTGTCATCTGTGTAGGACATATTTTATCTAAACCTGAGTATTAAAAAGAAAGTGAACTTTGTGTGATGTTTTATTTATTTGTTTTTCTTTACCATGGTTTAGGTTAAAGGGTCTAGAACAGATAACTAAGGCTACTATGCTTGGGCATCTGCTGCCTGTGCTGCTCACTTCTCTGATGCACCCCAACCTGCAGACGTTAACCCTTGCTGATGCCCTCATGCCTCAGTTGGTACAGCTGGTGCTCTATACCAGCCAGGTTAGATTTCAGTTCTTTTTTTTTCAATCAAAAACACATGTCTTACTTTGATTTAGAAGCTTGTATGTATTTATTTTTCCTCTTTTTTAGACTGCTCTCTTACTGAAGACTCAGTCTCTGCTTTTCACTGAAGAGCCTCCACATGCAAGTGGTTCTCAAGGGCAGGGAACAAAGTTATGCACTGCTGATGACAAGTGAGTTTTCCCGTCACTGTAATGAGTCATTTTTCTCTGGAGTATCATATTCGAACTGCCTTTAATGGGTCTATCCCCAGCTCAGTTTTCTAAATCTTTTTTTATTCACCTTGAAAAAAGAATCCTTGATGAACGTGAAGAACCAGGTTTTCTGACTGGACTTAAGATTCCTGCTCCATGGGCTGCCGGGAAAACAGTTGAGACTGTGCATCCTGTCAGGGATAATTACAAGTTCAAAGAGACGGTACACATCCCAGGAGCCCGCTGCCTATACCTCCGCTTTGATTCTCGCTGCTCCTCACAGTATGATTATGACAAGGTAACAAATCACCATGTATAGTCACAGTGATCTATTTCTTTTTTTATATTAGTTTTCTCAAATGTGGTCATTCTCTGGTTTGGTATATATTTTTTACAACGAAATTTTGTCTGATATTTTAGTTGGTAATCTATGCTGGTCCCAACACCAATAGTCGTAAAGTAGCAGAGTATGGAGGTAACACACTGGGGTATGGTAGCCGCAGTGTGTTGGGGACAGGATGGCCCAAAGATCTTGTCAAGGTAATTGGAAGTATTTTGCAAAAAATATTTTTTGTGAACATTGTGCTCTTACTGTCCTGTAACTTTTGTCTTTTTTTACTTTTTCAGGTTGAAGGAGACACTGTTACCTTTTCTTTTGAGATGCGAAGTGGACGTGAGCACAACACACCTGATAAAGCCATGTGGGGGTTCTCCTGCACTGTCAGAGCTCAGGTAAAAAGTGGATGCAAGAGGATGTCTCCAAATTTAGTTTTCACAATTACCTTACAGGCACCATGAATGCTGAGTTTGAAAACTCTGTTTTCTTGTCAGGAGTCTTCTGAGGACGTCTCTGGAGGCCTCCCCTTTCTTGCAGACCTTGCACTGGGCCTGTCAGTGCTGGCTTGCTCAATGCTCCGAATCCTGTATAACGGCCCTGAGGTGACTCGAGAGGAGGAAGCGTGCCACGATTTGCTTTGCTCAAAGCTGCTCCAAAGGTGACGTTGTTAAATGGAAATATTGCATTCCAAATGTCCCCCAAACATGTGAACACTTCAAATGATTTAATGTTTTTTAGCTGTCTTTTGCTAAGATCAGCAAAGCTGCAGGTTGTGAAGAAGAACAACTGTTGAGATTTTTTTTCCTCTTTTTTTTTTATCAAGGTGTCAGTGGCAGGTAGAAGCAAATGGTGCCATTTCTCCTGCTCTCACACCAAGCCCTTCACCCCTGCCACTCACAATAGAAGAGGATCGGGAGTTCATCTACCCCGCTGATGTGCTAATCCCACCTCCAGGCCTTATGCCGGGGACCTACTTTGACTTGCCTCGTATCCGTCTTCCACCAGGAATCATGAGTAGGCTGAGGGAAGTGTCCGGAAGGGCTCGACCACAGTTCCGTCCCAGTATCAAGTAAGGCGTTGATTCTGACACATTCTTAGGTGTGCATATACACACCTGAATTCACGCATTCTGGTTTTTACAGGCTGATTAAAATGTTACGGTATTTTACATCAATTTTAAAGCTGTGGACTATGAGGACTGTGATTACATATCACAGTTTTTCATCTGCAAATTCTGATGTAGCTTCTAATGGTCTGTTATCATTGGCTTTTGGTCTATAATTATTGCTACAAGTCAGGCAAAGAGGACAACATTGCTGTTTAGATGTAATCCTGTACAAGCAATGACCTTGAAGATTTTTATACAATTTTATAAATACATATTAAACCTTTCCACATATTCTCCACCTTGTTCTATGTAAGGGAGGTAATCCGACCAGATGTCATGGAAGAGGTTATTGTATCCTGTGTCATAAAACATCTGAGTCTGGTGGATTCCCTTCAGTCTCTTGTCAACTACCAATACCGTGAAGATCACGCAGAGGAATATGACCTGGTCTGTAAGATCATGGCTGAAACCTTCAAGAAGGTCAATGCAATGGAGCGTCAGCTGCAAGTAAGCTTCTCATACGCAGCGTGCTTTGACAGTACCTCATACTATCAACTGATTTGCCGACCACATGTTGAGAAAATGCAATGCACTGAAGGCATTTATATCCATTTCTTTAGTTATGTTATTACAAAGAAGATAACGTTCTTTATTAGATTGTACATTTTGAAATCAAGTGCTTTTAAAGTTGACCAGATAACTGTTTTTTATTTTAATCTTTTAATTAAGTTATTACTATCTTTCTTTTGCCAGAGAAAAATAAAAATAGATTAGGCTACCCCTCTGAGCAGACCCTGTGGAAGACTAGCTCTGTGTCTAATTATCTCCTGTGTTGCTTTCAGAGTGTGGCAGAATTGGAGCAGAAGTGGCAGAATGAGGTAGAGGAGGCCCAACAAGGAAAACTGGAGAATAACTCTCCCTTCTTTCACGACTACCACTTTTTTGAGGTGGGCTGCCCCATATACTCCATTTACATCTTTGCTTATTGGATTGTGATTTGTAATCCCGTTTGTGTATTTATGTTTCACGTGAGCACTCTCTCATTTTTTTACTAGAACAAAATGAAGGAGCTGGAATTACTCTGCTCTTTAAAAGAGGTCCCATTTGACTTTGGTGACTTGGAAAATGTTGTCCTTGCACTGAGGCAAGTCATATTAAATGGAACTGTTAAGATTATCTCCATTAGTCTGTGCTCTAATTTAATGCATCCTCACTGTTAGGGAGAAGTTCTTCCATGAGGTGAACATCTCACATACAAGAAGCAGCACCCCACTTGCTAAAACAAAAACACTGGTCAAGAGTTTGATGAACCGCTCTGAGCTGCTTCTCCACGTTACCATCGCTCCACATTGCAGGAGCCTGACAGAGACAACTGCTGGGACATCGGGCCCAGGTATGCACTCATCATTTTACTTAGCGAAACAAAGCAAATGTCTTCATTCGGACCTTTACACCTCTTGGGATGAATGTCCACAATAAACCTGTGGAAACAATGAATGTATCTCACTCAAAATTCTGACTTGAATACATTTTCTAAGTGACAAATATTAATTTGCTGGTCATGAATTTCTGAGCAGTAGCATGAAAGTTGCAATGGATATTCTTCACCCACTGTCTTCATTTCTTGTGTCAGCCTCTAAATCCGTGTCAGATGCCAAGACGGTGATCCCCTTGGTCAAGCAGCCTGTTTTCTTACGCAGTATGTCTGCCCCCTCTGATTTGGAGATGATTGCTAGCCAGGACTTGGAGTTTACTCATGCTCCACAGAGGTATTTATTCCTGTTTGATAAGTTGAATTTTGATGGGTGACTTAAGATTAAAAGTTTAAACTGTACTTGTTCTCTTGTTCAATTCAAGAAGGCGACAGCACCCAACTAGTCACCGTAGCAGTTCATTTACCTTGCTGCAGTCTCTTGCCATAGAGGACAGTCGAGATAAGCCAACATACAGTGTGCTGCTGGGACAACTCTTCGCCTTTATTGGGACTACACCTGATCAGGCTGTTAGTTGCACATAACTCATTGGCTCTTTTTGTAAAATTATTTTTTGGCACTGCTACATGGTAATGAGTTGGCATCAAGTCATCCTAACTTGTCATGTTTGTAGGTGTCGAGCAGCAGTTTTCTGTCGGCTGCACAGACACGGTGGAGACGAGGCAGCACACGGAAACAAGCACTTGTTCACATGAGGGAGCTTCTCACTGCTGCAGTTAGAGTGGGTGGGGTCACGCATTTGGTGGGTCCTGTCACTATGGTGCTGCAGGGTGGTCCAAGGTAGGAGAAAAGGGCCTGATAGATAGCCTGAACCTACTTTGCATCTGTAGGCTTTAATTACTCATGAACGTTTGGAATTCTAATCATATTTAGATACTCCAAACCTTGCATAAAGTGAGTCATTTCTGTGCAGGATTGAAGAACTAACCTGTGGTGGAATGGTAGAACATGTTCAGGAGGCCTTTGGAGAGACTATGACATCTGTAGTGTCTCTGTGTGCCCGCTACCCCATAGCCTGTGCCAACAGTATTGGCTTGCTTTGCACAATCCCTTACACAAGGCAAGTGAAATCCATCTTAAGTTATCTATTTTGTTTAAGCTGTGGAATTTGTTATTAATAGCCTGTTTTATTGTAGGAGTGAAGAGCAGTGCCTTGTTCGGAGTGGTCTTGTTCAGCTTTTGGATAGCTTGTGTAGTTTGAGCGGCCAGAGAGAATGCAGCTCTAATGAGAAGCAAACCAAGAAGCAGAGGGTGGCCACAATGGCTTGGGCAGCCTTTCAGGTGCTTGCCAACCGGTGTATCGAGTGGGAAAAGGTTGAAGGTATGTAGCTACCCCCATTTCTTTGTTATATAAATCCCAATTACAGCAAACATCCTTATGATACAGTTCAAACCAGTTTAAAACATAAAAAATTGCCTTGTTAAGGGAGTCAGTGGACTTAAAAGTATATATTTAAAAGTTATATTTTATTAAAGCCTGAGTCCTGCATTTGCGTTTGGTAAAAGTGAAAAAAAACTACTTTAAAAGCGATAAACTTCCAGCCAAGCTTGGCTTAGGAAGGATGGTCTGGTGATTTTGGATGAGTAAAGAAGACAGCTGTGTACTCTTTACCAGATCAGCTTTTGCAAAGAATGTAATTTGTTTATGTAGACTACATCGTTTTCTTGACACTACTAATTAAGGATGCTGTAGTGTCGAAAATGTTTAGGGTCAAGTTGCAACGTTAAGCAAACATTCACTGATATTTATCTTTTAAAGGGGGGTCTACAGATGCAGTTCATTCTGGTCTGGCAAGGCAAGTATCTAGTCTGCTCACCAATCACCTAGCCAGAGCAACAGAATGCTGTGGGAATCAGGCAGCTGGAAATGATGCTTTACAGGATGTGCTCAGTCTTCTAAATGATCTTTCAAGGTAAAGTTTGTGTTTATTGTTTATTCAAGCCATTTTTGTATTCTTCTCAAATATGTGTTTATGCATTTTTATTCTTGTGATGTATTCATTTGTCCCTTTGTTTGCATCCCAGGAGCCACATAGGAAAAGCCATCCTGAGCCAGCCTGCCTGTGTTTCTAAGCTTTTGTCACTGCTGCTTGACCAGAGGCCATCTCCAAAGCTAGTACTTATCATCCTTCAATTATGCCGAGCTGCGCTGCCTCTCATGAGCGTGGAGGACTGTGGTAATGTGGCTTTGCCTTCGTGGAGCTACTCTATAAACACCCTTGATGCAGAACAACAGGATGCCAGTGACCCGGCCTCACGTATTGCTGCCTTACTGTTAGCTAAGCTAGCAGACTATGTCGTACCAGGTGTGGATTTCCTGCTATGGAATCAAATACAAACATATCCAAATGTAAAATAGATTTGATTGAAAATAGAAATCCAAGAAAATCAAGCTGGATAATTCTAATGTTCTTATGTACCTCTGTTGGTTTTTTTCTTGTAACGGTAACACGAATATTTCTTTGGTAGGCTGTCAGACCCTTCTCTCTCCCAGCGCCTCTGAGCCAGACACAAGTCTGTCTCGTGCCAGTTCCAAAGGAGCTCTCAAGTCTGAGGATGTTGGGGAGGAGGCAGAAGCTGTAGATGGGAAGCTGTCAATTTTTATCCACAAAAGAGAGGATCAGTCCTCCCATGAAGTTCTTCAACCGCTTCTTAGGTACAACCCCCCCCCCCCCTCCCTTTTTCCCCCCTCATCATTTGCACTTGTCTGAATTGACTGATCTTCCAATCCCTCCAAAATATAGCAGCTCTGAGGGACGTCCTTTTCGGCTTGGCACCGGAGCTAACATGGAAAAGGTGGTAAAAATGGACAGGGATATGACAAAGGTAAGAGTTTTAATATGGATGAAAAGAACTTTAAAAAAAACTTTCCATCTTAGCAGTCCTACTTTAACCCATCTCCAGAATGGGAACTGTGAGGTGATCACGGAAGAGGCATCTGCGGCCCTAAGGAAGGCCAACAAGTGGGCTCAGTCTGGCCTGATAGTGAGTGTTGGTCCACCTGTGGAAGCTTTGGCTCAAGAAACTGCAGGCGGCGTTACAACCGGCGATAAGAAGAAAACTGCTCAGACTGCTGTTTGCAGGGACAGGAATGCAGAGTTGGCCAGGTACTGCTTGTTGTCTTTTGCGATTCGATACACAATGTGTTGAAATTCATCCTCCCTCACTCCCTAGTTATGCATAAAACAGCTAATGCTATAATTGGTGAATGTATATGGTAGGCAACCATCTTGACTGTGGTTCTAACAACTTTTCTTGCCATCTGTCTTGGATAGGTCAGACCCTGTCCGGCCTTTTATCAGTGGTCATGTTGCCAACAGTATGGCTGCTGAGGTTATTGCCTTGCTGCATAGTCTGCTCACAGCTCCAGAGTCCAACACTGCACAGATCTGGACGAGCACTGTGGAAAAAGTAAAATATTACCTGATTTTACCCTCTTACAGATTATTATACTTTTCAATTCCAGCAAACACAATAACTGCAGAGATTATATGACCTTGGAATGCCTCCGAATGATTGAAAATACTTTGTCTAACAGCTGGCATCCGTGTGACCAATTTCTGGTGTTTTCTACTAGTCTAAAGCTTTTTTCTACTTTGTTTTAGGTGCTCTCCCATGCACTGATGTTTATCCCTCAGCTTGGAAAGTATGCTGAGAGTATCTTAGAGAATGGGAGCAGCAGTGGCAGAAAACTGGCTAAACTCCAGGCTATTGGCAGACAGGCTGTTGCTGCGCTATGTGCACTTGGGGGCTTCAAAGAAACTATTAAGATTGGTTCTGAAGTTCAGGTTAGTAAAAGTAGAAAAAAACATGTAGTGTGATAAAATACCTAATTAGGGAGGAATCTTTCCCGTCAGCAGCATTCTCAGGTTGACAGACTTATTTACTCTGCATCACAGGTAATAGGGAAAGGAGTCCTTGGGAGTGTGGGCATAGTTATGTCCATAAATGAACAGGAGGGAATTGCTACTGTCAAGTTTCCTTCCTGTGAGTACAGGAGAACTTGCAAAGCGTCGGACATCCTTACAGTACCAATATCACGCCTCAGCACTCCCAGATCTGAGGTAAGGATTTCACTGGACATGCATTCTTTAATCTTCTGGAAAATGTCAATCTGGTTCTCACTCTGTTTCACTCTCGCCTCCCATTCCCAATAGGCCCTGCCTCTCTACAAGCTGTCAATCACAGAAAAGGTGGTACAAGCAGTGCAGTCTATGCTCCTGCCACAGGAGGGCAGTCTCTCTATTCACACTTCTCTACCAGCCACTGGAGATGGCTCCAACCCAGTCATGGCTGCAGTGCGGCTTCTAGCTGAAATCAGAACCAGGTAAGTAAATGCACAAAAACTTCTCTCAAGCTGGGAATTGCCTTCCCAATTAAAGTTGTATTAATGTGCAGCTGATGATCCTGTCAAAATCTTTTTTCTGTTTTTTCAGAGCTTGCCTGGTGATGGCACAGCTATTGGAGGACAGTTCATTTTGTGAGGAATTCATTCAGCAGTGTCCAGCTGCTGTTGAGGTTCTCAACCTGGTTGCCCAGGAGTGCAGCCCTGGTGAGGATGCGTGATATACTGGGAATCAGAACTTCCCTAAACTGTACCATATTTGTCTTACAATTCTTTCCAAATCACTGCAGGAGAACGTCTCAGCATGGTTGAGGCTCAGTGTGAAAGAGTTAGGATGTTGTACCGGGACTGTGCTCGGCCACCCCCTCCACCGCTGCAGACGGACAGGCGCCAGGTGGGAGTTTACCAACTCACTTTGTGGCACAGTTTCTCTTTTATTTTGTACATTTTTGCATTTATTTACAAGAGGTTGATAATTAACCTTGGGTATTATTCAAACTCCCAAAAGCAATGATGAGAATGTTTGTGTTGAAGCCATTTATGTTACTTATGTATTTATGAGTTAATAAAGCATTCAGTAATCATAGTTCGTTGTATTTCTTACCACTTGATGTGCTTGTCGTCCCAGCCCAAAGAAATCACTTGGTGTCCATCCAGAGTGTTCCCACCTGTCCGTGCCTGCATGTTTTCGTCCCGTCTCACCTCTGTCACCTTCTTGGCTGATCCAAGTGCTGGAGGAGGGCTGCCCCGAGGAACTTTTATCTATGCCACTTTTCCTGTACCAGTTCAGGTGGGCTTGTTAAAGTGGAATTAACTCATGCATATGTATTGGCTGTCTCAGTTTATTGAGCACACATTAAACGAAGTGTGCAGGCTTTCTCACTCAGTTTGCTTCTCTTTGACCCCTCAGGCACCATCTTTTTACTGGGAGATAGAAATTGTCTCCTATGGAGACTCTGAGGAGGACAGTGGCCCAATTGTGTCCTTTGGTTTTGCCACGGAGGCAGAGAAGAGAGATGGTGCATGGACCAACCCTGTTGGCACGTGTTTGTTTCATAAGTATGTGTTTCTGCATATTGAAACAGTTTATTTTCTCCTGTGCTCTGTCTCTGACTGCATTCCTGTCTTCCATTCTCTTTTCTGTGCGTATCAGTAACGGTAGAGCGGTTCATTATAATGGTTCCAGTTTACTGCAGTGGAAGAGTGTTAGACTGGATGTGGCTCTACTTCCTGGTAATATACTAAAATAAATTTCTTTCATTACAGTCTGATATATTTCTTGCAAAGTTTAGTCATCATATAGATGTATGTGTTATGATTTTTAAAAAGGTTATTTCTTATATGGCTCATTTTTTTCAAACATACTTTACACTGAGCGGTTCATATTTAGTCATTACTTATTTATTTATGATGACCTTCATTTGCTACAGGTGATGTGGCTGGCATTGGCTGGGAACGTTCTGAGGGGACTCCTCCACCTCCTGGTCAGGCTCCCAAAGGCAGGGTCTACTTTACATACTGCGGCCAGCGGCTCAGCCCTGCTCTTGATGATGTATCAGGTGGAATGTGGCCCCTGGTACACATTCAAAAGAAGGTGTGTTTCAGCTCATTAAAATGACATTATATTATGGTTGAACAGATTGTTTACTGCAGAGTAAAACAAACATTTTCTATTTGTAATATGCATAATATCTCTTCTGTTTTTCTCCATTTTGTTTATTGATTTTTTTTTTGTAGAACTCAAAGATTCGTGCTAACTTTGGAAACCGGCCATTCGCGTACGCAGAAGGCCAAGCCCACAGGAATGCGGCTGACCTGTGTGTGGACCTGGCAGAAGAAATAAGTGCAAACTTTGAAGCACTTCCCTTTGCTATGGCTTCAGACAGTGACAATGATGCCGGTGCAAGTGTGACGTCTGACTCTGGCTCCCATGGACCACCTTGTCGCATCGCAGCTGTTGCAGTTGCTCAGCAACGTAAACTTTCACCTCAATTTTTGATCTGTACTTTTCAAACTTTTATGTTGACAACCTTTGTTTATCTTAAATGTTATCTTTGACTTTTCTGGTTGGCACAGAGTACAACAGTGACCTGTCATGCTACTATAAGGTGGAACTAAGTTACGAGAACCTTGTCACCTCTGGGCCTGACCCACACCCCCCTCCAATAGCAGACGACGAGAGTGATGATGAGGATGACGACGATGTTCCAAGGGTGAGTACAAACTCCATTGCTCCAAACCAAGCACAGAATGGATTTGTATGTTTATTTTGTTATTAACTCTGTTTGGGGTCTGATATTAGGAGGATCACTATGCTCTTCTGGTGAAGGCCTGGGAAACTAAAGTGTTCCCTACAATTCGGAGGCGGTTCCGTAATGAGGCAGAGAGGAAATCTGGCTTGGACCAAATCAAGGGAGCTCTTCAGCTGGGTAAAGAATGAAATTGGACCATAATCAGATGGTTTATTATCACAGCTTATTACAAATCAAAACATTTACTACTTTACAGTGTCAGTATCACTCCATTAAAACATGTAAACAGATTGACAAGGTTTAACATCACATCGCGCTAGTGCAGTGACACCCATAGTTAGTGAAACTGTTTTTAAGGAAAACAGAAAAAAAAGACATGTTGAATATGAAACTGCATGCTGTTGAATTTGTTGTTCATTAGATGTAGTCACCTTTTCAATTTAAAATCTATTTTGGATATATTTGTAGATACCTTCCAAGGGCTGTTTTTTTCATTTATTATTTTTTTTAAAAACATCTTTGACACTTTCTCTTGGGTTTGTTTTTCTCTGAAAACAGGCATGGTTGACATTGCAAGACAGACAGTGGAGTTCCTGTATGAGGAGAATGGTGGCATTCCCCGTGATCTCTACCTCCCAACTATTGAGGACATTAAGGATGAAGCCAACAAGTTCACTATTGACAAAGTTCGCAAAGGTCCGTGTAAAACTTGTGTAACTGGATAAAATGCAGTCAAAATATAAAAAAAAAACAGCTGACCTTGATGACAACATACTTTTTAACACAGGGTTGACCGTGGTCATCCGCTGTCCTGACAGCAACAATACCAGCAGCGCCACAGGGGCAACAGCACTGCCCAAATTTGCCATCAGAGGAATGTTAAAGACTTTTGGTTTGCACGGGGTTGTGCTGGATGTAGACTCTGTAAGTACAAAAGTTTTTGCTCTCCGTTTGTTTTTAATTATTTTTTTTATTGCCTCCTAAAATAAATGAGTCATTAACATCTTCGTGTGTGTTTTTTCAAAGGCAAATGAACTGGTGCAGGTGGAAACGTACCTGCGCAGTGAGGGTGTGCTGGTGAGATACTGGTATCCTATTGAGATGCTTGAACGCCCTCCAGCTGGGTCTCGGCGCACTGCGGCTAATGGCTTGGTCTCATTGGACAGTAGCAACATTCAGATTCATAGGTAGCCATTATCACTGTATGATTGATTTGTTATCCTGAGTGTTGACCTGAACTCAGAATATGTTTTACTGCTCTGCTTTAGGGAACTTCTCCGCTGTGAGAGCGCGCTGGCACGGCTATACTGCCGTATGGCCTTGCTGAACATCTTTGCCCCCAAAAATCCCCACACGTTCACTCGTCTCTTCCACATCCCTGCTATCCGTGACATCACTTTGGAACACCTGCAGCTTCTATCAAATCAACTGCTGGCACCCCACTTACCTGGTACGCATGGATGAATACTTTGCACAACAACGGCTCTCGCTGTCGATGAAAATTACTCATGTCCGATTTTCTATGCCAAATTGATCAGTTTTGTTCTTCCCGCAGATGGCACCATTAGTTCTAGTTCTATTCTTTTGGCCCAGTCAGTGCTTCACAACCTTGAGGGCCAAAGCTGCTCTCCCACAGACCTGTTTTACCAGGGCAATGCCCAGCCCATCCGGGAGTGGCTGACCGTGGCTATCACCCGTGCCTTGCATCAAGGAGAAGAGAGTTTACTGGAGCTCACAAAGCAGATCTGCTGCTTCCTGCAGGTCAGCTCTGCCAGCCAGCGCATAATGGAGTACATTTCTACCTGATCACACACCCACCAGCTGCTAAACCTTTCTATTAATTTGGACACTTTTACAGAATGCACCCGAACAATTTACATCTGAAGAGTTCCCCGTGACAGAGTCAAAGGTTAGCATGGATGTCAGTTTTCCAGGCGCTGCATTTGTGATTGTTTCATGCAAAGAAAGTCAGCTGGGCTGCCGCAAAGAGTGAGTTACATTTAATGAATGAGATTGGTTATTGATCAGTTGTTAAGTTGAATTACTTTTTTCAATGTTGTTTAATTTGTGTTCTCTTTTTTCAACTCGTTTAGTTCAAGCCTGTACAAAGCCCCGTGGGCTCGAGTCATGGTTTATGGCCTGGGTCACAAAGTGCGTAGAAATGGTCAACTAAATCTGATGGAGGCTGTGTGTTATCCTCTGGATGCCTCGCCTACCAACACAGGCCTTACTCCCCCTCCCACCACCAACCAATACCCATCTGTTATCATCCCCACTGATAAAGTGCACATCAAACTGGGTGAGTATATAAGTTTCCTTGGAAGTTCTGACATCTGTCAGCTTTTCTTAAACGGTAAGTAAAATTATTAAAAGAATTAGTCACCCATTGGAGTTGATAAGAATGTCTTGCTGTCTTTATCGTAGGGGTGTCACCCCCTCCTGGTGCTGTAGTTGTGCTACACTCCCTGCCACTAGAGTTTCCACTTGCCATGGCATTTGCTGAACAACTGTTGACATGGAAACTGGGGGAGAGCTGTGATCGATCAGAGGATGAGCTGGAAACTGTGCCCTCATCAGTGCTGCTGCAAGTGGTAGAGCTTCTAGGTAGGATTCACATCTTTTATGTCTAAAATGTTGTCATGACTGCACTTTATGTAACCACTGTAAAATACTACACAATTATCCAGCAAGCACATTGCATATAACAAACATTATTTTTGTTAGAAAAACAATGTTTTCTGCTAAGTTATCTCTCAAGTAATCTTAGTTATCTCTCAAAAACTGAAGTAAAACAAAATTCAAAGCTTTTATGAAGCCGTTCTGAAAAGAACAGATGGTAAACCAATTAAACTTATTTATACATTTTTCTAAACCACTAAATTTAAAAGTGCCCGTAAAGTACGAACAATCCATGTATCCAAATTTCCCAAAAAACCCACGTTTTCAGTTTTTCTTTCCTTTTTTTCCTTACATTCTTAGGTGGCTTGCTATGGACCACTGATCTGGCTCCCTCCATCAAAGAACTCGTCTTTCACTTGTTAGCTGAACTTTTACGAAAGATCCACCATTTAGAGCAGCGCAAGAGCCCTGCTGGCCTTTCCAGCTCCATTGCTCTTCTACTCAACCCCTGCCTGGCAGTGCTCATGGCCCTGCAGACAGAACTTCGAAAACTATATGACAGAGAAACTCAGGGATGGACGGCTGGAGGGGCCGGAGCTGGGGGATCTTCATCTGGAGGCGTTGCTTTGGCACTGGGGGCCGAGCAGAGCCGGTTCTCCACTTACTTTCATGCTCTGATGGAAGTGTGTCTGGCTGTAGCAGAGGTCACACTTCCCCTAAATGTTGGCAGCTCGTCAGTGGGAGCCCTGTCCTCAACTAGTGCCCCTAACCTTAGTGACTCGTCTTCATCCTCCTCATCGTCTCCGGGCCAGACACCACAGAGCCCCAGTCTGTTATCCAAACGGAAGAAGGTGAAGATGAAGCGCGAGAGAGCTGCAGCCGCAGTAGCAGCCGTGGTGTCTGGAAAACGGGGAAGCGGAGGTGCGAGGCTGTCGGAGAGTGACAGTGCTCTGCTTAACATGGCAGGTAGTAAACCTGAGGACATGCTGTGGTTCCATCGCTGTCTCACTCTCCTGATGATCCTGAGACATCTTGCCAACAAGGACCCTCAAGGTTTAAGCGTAACCAGCGATGCGGTAACGGATGCCTGTCAGGCGCTGGTGGGGCCCACAGCACATAGTCGCCTCCTGGTCCTCTCAGGGATCCCCACACACCTGGAGGAGGCTGTGGTTCGGAATGCTATCCGCAGAGCTTGCAATGCGCATGGAGGGCTCTTCAAAGATGAGGTCTTCATCCCTCTACAGGAAGAGGATCCAAAGAAGAAAACAGGAGCTGGCATGTCGAGCCCCCAGGATGGCAAAGTGGGTCCTGAACCTGAAAGAAACTTCCCCAACAGCGGAGGTCCAGAGAGTCCTGACAGCTCCAGCAGCGTCACTCCAGCAATGAGTGTGAGCGCCTCAGCTTCTACCAGCCAGACCTCCATTTGCAGCTCATCGCAAGGGGTCTCCCGCACTGCCAGCGAACTGTCTGTTGATCAGGAGCTTTTAGCTGTTCCACCTCTCACACCCGCTGCTGCTTCTGCTGTTACATACCCTCAACAGGGTCCTCAAGACTCGCAGACAGTGTCTAGTCAGGAAAGTCTAGATACTTCCCTGTGTAGCACAGGAAGCCTGGGGAGTATAGGCAGCTTTGGAGAGCCTCTCGACAGCGCCGAAACTCCTTCCGCGTCAGAAGGCGGCTCGATGCACACAGTCACCTCCCTAGAGAGCAATGCAGTCGAGGCCAGGCCCATCAAGGGCTACGCTGTCATAGAGGTGGGTTGATTCAGAAAGCTGTGAAGTCTCGATTCGATTTTGTTTTTAGAAGTTTAAGAAATAAACTCACTCGCTTTATTTTCTATTAAAAATAGGTTCGCTCTCGGGCCAAGGTGGAAAAAATTCGAGCTAGTCTTTTCAACAGCAGTGATCTAATTGGCTTGTCAAGTCTGGAAGGTGAAGAGGAGCTAATGGAGCTGACCAACGAGGAGATCCTCACCGCTTCGAGTGTTAACCAAAGCCTGTTCGACACACAGGGCAGCTCTGCACTGGAGGACTACTTCTTGGACAAGTCAATCAAAGGTTTATAGAGGACTCTTGTCAGATTTTCAAAGCTTGTATGAAATTTTATTTCTGTAAAACAAAAATCTAAAATAATCTGTCTCTGTACTTCAAGGTGACAAACTTGTGCCTGGAGCACGAGATGTCCTTGCAGATATTTTCAAGAGCTGTGTGCACTCGGAGCAGATGCTCAGCCTCACGCCGGCCAAGCCTGTTAAAGTGTCTGACATTTACCTTAGCAAGGAGCAGATCAACTCTCAGACACCAGGCAACCTCCTGCATACTTTCTTCACCAATGTTCGTGCTCCCAAGAAAGTGCTGGAAGACCAACTTACCCAGGTGTGTTACACATGTTGAACACAAAGGATGGGACAGTAACACTGACTGCTATCAACAGTTTGGACACTATAGTTTTACAATAATTTTTCAACTGGCAAACCTTAAAATATTTTTCTTTCCTTCCATACTCTTTACTCAGATTCTTAGAAAGTATGGAACTCTCAAGCCAAACAAGAACAAATACAGCAAGGCAGGAAAAGAGCAGCATCAAGCTAAGGTAGTCAGCACAAAGAGACCCATTACCAAGCCTCCCACCAAGGAAAAGTCTGTGCTCAACAGTGTCAGGTGAGTCATTTCCTACACATTACTTAGCGATTGGGCATGCTTATTGGGCCATAGTGACACTGACACGATTACTTAATTATTATGTCTCTTGTCTCTGACAGAACTGCCCTGAGTGAGAAGAAGAGTGTCTTGAAACCAAAATCCCCGGAGAAATCTCGACCTGATGACAAAGATGTTGAAAAATCTCCCGCTAAAAAAACTGAAGGTTTATTAAAGAAATCACACATTATTGAAGACATTTCTGGACCTGATGTTTTAAAAAAGTCACAGATTTGGCCCTGTGTCTGTGACCTGGCTGACTCTTTTATTCTGTTTCTTTGATCCCAGACGAGAGGTACCTAACACTGGAAGGTTTTCATAAGTTTGCAGTTGATCGTGCTAAGCAGGACATCCGCAGCCTATGGAGGGCCATTTTAGCGTGTGGTTATGACCTTCACTTAGAAAGGTAAGACTTTGGGTTAAGTTATACCCAGATAATCAATGATTGAACAGTGGATGTTAAAACTGATTTAAAAGGGATGACTTGATAATATAACCTGCCTCAAAGCACTCCTATATTTGTCAGCCAATGTTTTCTGTATAGTGTTTTCTGACTGTTTAAGCCTGTATGTAGAAGTGTAAGCCTTTGTCTAATGGCATCTGTGTGGTCATACTAGGTGCACCTGCATAGACACTCGTCATGCCCAAAAGGCCAGTCGAAAGTGGAGCTTGGAAATGGATGTGGCTTTGGTTCAGTATGTCAACAGACTGTGCCGCCACCTGGCTATCACACCCGCCAGACTGCACCCCCATGAAGTGTACCTGGACCCAAGTGATGCTGCAGATCCTCGCGTGGGTTGCCTGCTCAGTAAGTGCGCTGTGTTCAGTCACGTTAAGACCATCTTCACCTAAACTCAAGAGATGCAAATAATCAAAGAAGAATCCTCCCAGCGATGGGATTGTCTGAATTTCTCATGTTTTATTACTCATCTATAACTTTTTTGTTTCCAGATGTGCCTGTGGAGAGCTTGCGCCTACGCTTTGCTTTGCTACAGTCCCTGAACAACTCTCTAGAAAGTTTCTTCCTTCCACTAGTGGAGCTGAGACAGACGTATACGTATCAGAACAGTATTGCATCGCTGTTATCTGAGGCGAAAGGTGAGCAACTTGTGTAATGTGATTGTATTTTCTTATTTCATAAACGTGTATGTTTTTTTTTTTATTCTTATTGAAAGTTCTCATCTCCCCTCCGATCTTTACCGGTAATAGGTCTGATCTTCTACGACACAAAGGTCACTGTAATGAACAGAGTGTTGAATGCCACCGTGCAGCGAACAGCAGATCATGCTGCTCCAGAGATTACACTAGACCCTCTAGAAATTGTGGGAGGTAGGCCTTCCCTTCTTCCCACATGTCCATCTACCCCCCCCCCCCCTCTACAATGCTTTTGACTTTGCAACCCTCTTTTTGTGGATCTTATATGTTCCCTAGGTGAGATCCGATCATCAGAGAACACATATTTCTGCCAGGCAGCGCGCCAGCTGTCTTGTGTGCCATCGTCCCAGCTCTGTGTGAAACTTGCTAGCGGAGGCGACCCAACCTATGCTTTCAACATCCGCTTCACTGGAGAAGAAGTTCATGGCACAAGTTAGAATAACTACTCACCTTATTTGACATCTATATTTCTGTTGTTTAAGTATGAATGATAACGTACGGTTTGCTAACCTGACTGTATCTGCTATGAATGTGTCGTCACTACAGGTGGTTCCTTTAGACACTTTCTGTGGCAGGTGTGTAAGGAGTTACAGAGCTCTGCACTCTCCCTGTTGCTCCCCTGTCCCAGTGCCGCAGCCAATCGTAACAAGGTAAAATTTTCTCCACGCTCTGTTTTTACAGTTTGTTCTTCTCAACAAGGCTTACTGTGCACAAAATCAACATTTGATCAGTGTGTTACTGAATGAGTAGTTGTTGTTCCCTCACAGGTTTTCATAGATAATGTGTATGATAATAATGTGTGTATCCTACTTACAGTCAATCTTTTTTGTTGCCTTTGGTTTTTCCATTCTGTTTTAGGGGAAACATATCCTGACTCCTTGCCCTATCAGCTATGCAGAAGAACAGCTGTTGCAGTTCTTAGGTCAACTTCTTGGCATAGCCATTCGCGCAGATGTGCCACTTCCTTTGGACTTGTTAGGCTCCTTTTGGAAGGGCCTGGTGGGCGAACCTCTTGACCCAGAGCAGGACCTGCAGGAAGCTGACATGCTCACTTACAACTATGTCAAGAAATTTGAAAATGTAGGAGACTATTCCTGTGTGCCAGTCCAGCTGTTGACAGTGTTTACTAATTTGTTTTGTTAAAGTAGTGAGGTAATGTGTCAAACTGAATATACATGAGTATACAATTGTCACACTTCCAGACTTAGCAAAACTCAAGCCACACTACAGTAATTTTGGAAATGGGTGTAAACCTCCTACAGACTGAAAGAACATCAGCACAAAAAAATCAAATTTTAAAGAGCTATCATTAGATCTGACGTCCAAGTAATTGCAGAACTCTGAATGTTACCCTATAGTTAACAGTGTGCATGCTCTTGTTTACTCAAAATGGAAAATGGAAGTGTGGGGCTTCCCTTTTATTACTGTGGTTCTACTGACATGTTCTCCAACCCTACAGGTGACAGATGAGAGTGAGCTGGAGGCCCTGTGTGCCGAAATCTCCTCCCAGCACCATTCAGGTGAAAGCCCAGATTCCCCAAGCCGGCCCTGCTGCACATTTACCTATGTCACTATGACTGGTGAAGAGGTGGAGCTTTGTCAGGGAGGGCACAGCCTCATTGTCAGGTACACCCCAGCTCAGCCAATTAACATAGTTTATGATGATGCTATTTTTTATACATTGGGTGTTTACATCCAATTCAAGGCAAGGCACGTTGTCATGCATTTTCATCATGTACACTTACTGTGTTTGTGTGTGTGTGTGTGTTCAGCTGGGAGAACAAGGATGTGTATGCACGGGCAGTGCGGAGCCTTCGTCTGAGGGAGCTGCAGAATGTGGAATGTATGACGGCAGTGCGAGCAGGGCTCAGCTCCATCATTCCCCTCCAGCTGCTCACCATGCTCAGCCCCATAGAGATCGAGTTGCGCACTTGCGGTTTGCCCTACATCAACCTGGAGTTCCTCAAGGTACCTGTGTCCTGAAATCAGTTTGCCGAAATACACAACCTGTATGGAACATTTTATGTTCCTCACAAAAACTGCTCTGGGTGTGCCGCCTAACAGTTATGTCAGCGGAAACCGGGTCCAAAGCACCTTTGTGTGTTAAACATAGTCTGTATATGTGATACCATAACGTTATTAAACTTTAGTATCGGTCAGATTTGATTGAATCATCCCTGCCACTCCTCCTCCTCCCTGCACAGGCTCACACCATGTATCAAGTTGGCCTGATGGAGACAGACCAGCACATCGAGTTCTTTTGGACCGCCCTGGAGATGTTCACTCAGGAAGAGCTCTGCAAGTTCATCAAGTTCGCGTGCAACCAGGAGCGCATCCCGTTCACTTGCCCCTGCAAGGACGGGGGGCCAGATACCGCCCACGTTCCCCCATACCCCATGAAGATCGCCCCTCCTGACGGCGCTGCAGGTAATGACAGCAGTCGTACAGCAGCTCATCAGGCCCGGCAGCGCTGGCAGTGTAGATATGAGGGACAAACATCTCATTGCTAGGACATAAACTCTTTGGCCTTCTGCACTTCCATAGAGATTTTTTGTGAAATGTTCTTGTTTTTCTTGTTAAATTTTTCTGTTTCCTGTCCAGGTCAGCCAGACTCACGCTACATTCGAGTGGAGACTTGTATGTTCATGGTGAAACTGCCCCAGTACACTTCTTTGGATGTGATGCTGGAGAAACTGCGCTACGCCATCCACTACCGCGAGGACCCTCTGAGCGGCTAAGGAGACTTGACAACTTGACATTCCCAACATTTCCCCCTTGTTTTCAGCATCTTCCAGCTGTCCTGGACCTCCGTCTGAAACTGGCCACCAAATGCTCTTCTGCAACAACAAGCCACAAAGTCAATAAAATAGAATTTTTTTGTCTGGTGGCAGTTAACGTTTTGCATTTTTGTTGCAGTGTTCTGCAAATCCTGCATATCATGCTTATGCTTGACCGATTTTCTTTTAGGGAATTCAGGGATGATGAGCTGGATCAGGACAGGCAATGCTCAAAAGTCTGATCCAGCTGCACTGAGATTGAAAACGGCATTTCAATTATACAACTGTGAGAATGTTTTTGTTGACCTTTATCCCTTTCCCTTCTATTAACAGAGGGTTTAGATATGTGAATTTAACACCACTGATGAGTTCAGATCAGCACTTTGCAGTTGCATGTTCAGTTGCTTACTGTTGGGCATTCTAGGAGTGGTGCCTCTGACTCTTGCACTTCTCTGGAGTTGGGTTTGCCACAGAGGCAACAATCAAACCATTCCACTCCTAATGCTTGACCCAGCTGCCTCTGCTCTCTCTTTATGGGGGGTCAATGTTCCGAACCATGCTTTTGCTGTAGAGGCCTCTGCTGAGAGGATTCTGCTGGTTGTCTGAGATAGGAAAACCCGAATGATTTTCAAAGCATAACCTTACCTTTAAGAAGAAGGTACGATCACTCAAACGAGACAGGAAATGTGATGCTGTTGCTTGCATTTGCTACAAGCCGGCAAAAGTGCTGTACACAATACTGCCTGTTGGAAAACAAGCACCTCCTAATGGAAAGACTAACTTATACCTATATAATCTGAGTACATTTAATTAAAGTTTCCGAAGAGAGAATATCTAAGTAATGTAAAAATCCATATTAATCAGTTTATCAAATTTCTTCATTTTTTTTTCGATCTGAGAAGCAGTGGCAGCATGATAAGTGAGGTAGACTGAATAATAACCAAGACCTGCTGGTTCAGATGTTATTTTGCATTTCCGATTTGTGAAACCTGTGTGGCTTTCTAAAAGGGGCTGGAGAGCTCATGAACTGCTCTCCCACAATGTGTGCTACTGAATGTGCATCAGACCCCCGTCTGCTCCCCATTACATACAATCTACACACAAACACTGGGGGAGTAGTGGTGGACTATCTTGAGTTCTGCCTTTTCATAGTTTACCTTTACAAAAGACAAGCAGAATTCTGCTGTTTCTGTTTTTTGGGGTTTTCATTTGACCCATAACCAAATGTTTAGCTTTGTAAAAATGAACTAGAAACTTATGTAAATAGACTGAAGTTATGTTTGATGGCAGTTTTTAACTTGCTTCTCACCTCACCATTTGATTTTGTTTTTGGTTTGCACTACTCTTCCAAGAAAAGATTCTAAAATGAGCAAACTAGGTGATGTCTGTTGGATACCCAGTTTGTTGTGTGGTTATTTTTTATGAATTTTTGGAAAATACCAGTAATCTTATCACCTTTGTCTCGTTCTCAGATGGAATCAGTTTCTTCTACTCATGGTGAAACATGTTTTCTTGTGTGGGTAAAATTGCCATTTAACTTGGATAGAACTGATAAACTCGAGAGAATTGACATTTCTGTAATTGGATCGTTGAATTGCTTGCCAGTTTTGATTTTGGTTTTGGTTCAGTTCTTTTGAAGGGTGATATACCGCTGCTAATGGGGATGCTCTCTCTTTGACTCCCTTCTCCTTAAGGGGGTACATAGGGTTATAAAAAGGACATATCCATAAAAAGAGGTGTTGCGAAAAAAAATGTGTGCTGTACATTTACTTGATATTTATTACAATTATTTATGGTTGCATTAACTTAACTTTTACTGTCTTACCTCTGCACATCAGAAACGTAACATATCTAAAATGGATTATACAGATGTAAAGAATCGAATGGCATTTGAGATTTCTGTGTCATAATAAAGAAATGTCTTCATGTACAAAGGCTTTGGCTGTCCCTTTATTTCTTTAGGAACTGCTCCCACGTTTACCCGCTGTTGACTTAAATAGCGTATACGCCTGTCACATGCCTGCAGGGATACTGAATGTACAACATCCTGACGAGTGATCACTATGTTTTGCCTCCTATACAACATGCTTTTCGTGTAAGGTCCCATGAGCATGTGGTTACATCACAACCTGACTGTAAACCAGACACCTTCAGGGAACAGCAAATGCCTCACCAAGCCAGTTTGAGCTGGATCTTTAGTCATGCTCCTCACAGACGTCACTTGTTTTCTTCTGACCCTTTGTCTGCACCATTCAAAAGAAATTACATCAACACGGGGAATGCATTCAATTAGTCTGTTGGGTAGCTGTTGCTTACTTTGACATTATATAACCAAATAAACAGTGAGATGTTTACTTTTGAGATATATGATAAGGAAAAATGTAAATGTTGTGAATAAATAGGAAGTTGCTCAGCAAAATAACTTAGGAGTACCAAACCAGTCATGCATGAATTTAATTGTCCTGTCATTTTAAGTAGCTTTTCAAATTTTAATATAGAATCCAAATTGTTATTCAGGAAGAATGTCTCCAGCAGGTTGACAACAGGAAATTAACCAACCTCAGTGCAAACGCCGTTCACACCTCAAATTCTGAAGTAAAGCGCCCCCCCTTTGTAATGACCCTCCAGTCCAATGAGCTGCAAGGAAAAGGACCACATCCCCAGCTGCCAAGCCAATTTACTCTTCTAAGACATGATAATTCAGCAGGGGTTAAGACGATTGCTGTGGCCCTCCCTAAGGCACAAGGCAACTCAATTTGGAATTTAGTTATTGAAATGCAGGTAATTAATTATGCAGATGTTCTAACGTTTTTAATTTTTTTTTCTTTTCTTGACCATATATATAGATTCAAATCATTTTAATGGACACTCATTTGCATATGAGTTGATTAAATGAATAATGATGATGATGATGATGAGGTGGTTTGATCTAAGGAATAAGATCAAGACATGGAAATGATTGGAAGGCCGAGGAATTTATTTGATGTTTAAATACATTCAAGTACAAAAGTAGTACAATATAGAAACATTTTACAAATCACAGACACAGTGTGACTGTTATTTGAATCGATACACAACACTTTATATTCAAGTTCCCATTTTCGAAAACTACTTTCATATTTTTCCTCTTTTTTTTCCTTTAAAAAGAAAAATCCCCTTACAGCCATTCACCCCTCTGCCTGTCAGTCTCACTGCTCACTGGAGTTTTGGTCTGGAATGATTCGGTCGGTGGAGCAATTGAGTAACAAGGCTTTGGGACTGAGGGTGGGTAATGGAAGAAGACAGGAAAGGTCAGGAGGACCCTTGGCAGACGTTAAATCATGCCGAGCTGTTTCTTTAACCTCTGCAGCTGCTCCATGCTGATGTTGTTGCCGCCGCATACCACAACCACCACTGGGCCCATGTGCCGCGCCAGCTTGCCTTCGTCCTGCAACCTTTTGATAATGTCACTGTACACGGCTGCCAGGGCGGCGCCGCAGGCCGGCTCCACCAGGATCTTCTCGTCATCTGGAGGGATAAAACATCATCACAGATCAGGTTCATGGGCTGCTGTTGTCCTCTCAGATCTGTTGCTCGTACACTCACCCACAAAGTGCTCCACAGCTTTTACCGCCTCTTGGTCTGTGACCACCTCTGAGAAAACCGCGTGCTCCCCCACCAGCTTCATGGTCTGTGCAGACACCCTTGTTAAGCCCAGTGTGGTTGCAACGCTGTGGAGCCAAAATCAGACATCACTTTTTATCCCAGGAAGAGTAAATGTTAGAATGAAAGCAAGATTGAATAACTGCTGGGAAATATCTGTTGTTTTTGATGAGGTCATGTGTGCTACCTCGTAATTGCTGGCAATGTAACAAGATGTCCAGCCTTCATGGCCGCATTGAGGCTGTGTGCTCCAATGGTTTCCATGGCTACAATGGGCACATCGGCCCAGCCAGCCCGACGTAGTCCCTCCACCACTCCGTTCAGCAAGCCTCCGCCTCCGACTGACAGAACTATTGCTCCAGGCTTCTCCCCCAGGTCACGCTCCAGTTCTTTCACCAGAGACGTGTGACCTTCCCTTAAAAGGGTTGATTATACATGAAGGAGAGTGTGATTTTACTGATCTATGGCAGTCTCTGAAAATTTAATATTCAAGCCAAAAATGTAAGAAAATTATCAAGGAACCTCTTGAAGAAAGATCTGTGATAACACCTCCTATCTGTCATATCAGCTAATTCATCTTCCGCTACTGTTCCATATTTAGATGACTCTCCATGATAAGACACGGGTTTCTATCGGTAACAGTAATGTCGGTCCATGCAAAGCAGATAAAATGAGAATATCCTACCAGATGAGGGGATCATCAAAGGGGGAGATGAATATCCAGCCCGCGTTGTTTGCCACAAGCTGTTGTCCATATTCAATGCTTTCATTTAGAGCCTTAAAAGACAAGATTAAGATGAATTCCTTCTGCAGTTCTGCTTTACTCCTGTGGTACTAATCAGAAGCACTTTACAGATAATTAAGTGATCATATTCAGTGTACCTGTTTATCATAAATATAAGAACTGTGCGAAGACAAAACCTGCCCAAAGTTAAACGGCTGGTTTCTTGAAAACGACGTGGGACTGAACACAGATGCCACTTCTCACCTTTCCATGAATGACAACAGTTGCGCCCTCGTCCTTCAGCCTCTCCACTGTTGCGTTGGGTGTTACACTTGGAACCACTATGGTTGCAGGAACCCCAAGCTGGCGGGCTGAATATGCAGCCGCCATGCCAGCATTTCCTCCTGTTGAGGCCAAAATGGTCAGAGTGACCCATTTGGACAAGGCAGAATGGATGCTTTATTGAAAATACAGGAGACATTTTACTGCAATGCTCACCGGAACAGCAGACAAATCGCTCACAGCCTCTTTCTGCCCACTGAAAGGAACCACAGGAGAAACCTCTGAGTCAACACAAGTTCATCCAGCACACACACTGCTTTCTTCGCACTGGTCTCTTGTTAGTCATCAGTGATAACCCTCTATAAAAAAAAGACAAATCACAGTGAATTACTCACAGTTTTACAGAGGTGACCGATGCCCCTGATCTTAAAAGATCCAGTTGGCTGGGATGAGTCCAGTTTCAGATAAACAGAGGTCCCAGCCACTTTGGTCAGTGCGAGGCTCTGCCTCACTGGAGTGGCCACGTGAAGCGGTGTCTGGGTCTTCATCTTACTGCCAAACAGAAAAGCAAAAGCAGCTTTTTGAAAAGGCACGTGTCACCATGGCTGCTATGGCCCTTCTTGATGCTTGACCCAAAACAACTTGTTTTGGTATATCTTTCTTGGGGACTTCCATGAACATATTTACACTTACCAAGATGAGGATGGAGGATGAGGAGATGAGCTGAGCTTGATTATCGGGGATCCCCAAGGCCCGTCTTGCTGACACTCTTTCAAGTTAATTTAATATATACCTGCTTCAGTGTGGGCTTGTCAAAGGAGGCACACATCGGGACCAATCAGCTGGAGCCACTCTGACATAAGACCACTCCCAGGATGGGATAGGCTGAAGATTAATGGCATTATTTTATGGATTTCATTTAGTTTCCCAATGCTGTTCTTAACAAATATGTGTCAGGAATTGATGTGAACTTACATTTCCAAAAAGTCTATAGAATGCTTTTGTTTTGTAGCCAGAATGAACTCTTTACAAACGGATCCAACTCAAAAAAGTCCCTTTTTGAAATGCTCTAAAGTGTAAAAAGTATTCAGTACCCATTCATGCACCATTAAAATATAGTTTTACTCGCTTCTGGCATTGTTTAAAAACAATCCATGACATTTTTACTCACAGTAACTTGCATGTTCTCTCCCCTCTAAAGGAGCGGTGCTCACAGCTGCATTACCAAAAGAGTCGCGACTATTTTAGCAGCTACCAAAAGAAGGGCTCCAGGCTGCCTCAGAGCAGACGGTTCAAACCTGAATGATCCGGTGTTCAGGATAAGCAGGACACAAGGCTGTCTGGCTTTAAATATCCATCTATGTTTAAAACAACCATTTGAAAATCAGAATACATTGAAAATCATCATCTCATGATTTAAAATGGTTACTGATCCAATCGAGTGATATTTAACCAAATGCTTCACATATGTTATCTTGATAAACAAAGATGCTTTTATCTGAAACTAACAATGTTTGTCATTCTGTTATTCGGTTGGAATCTTTTAGATGGGAGACAACTAAATATTCAAAACTGATAGATTTCTAGTCACCCATAGAGTAAATCAGAAACGTTGTATTAAAAAGAAAAGGTTTATTCTCATTTAGACGCAGAGGACCTCTCTCTAACCTCAGGGAATATTTTTTTCTCTGTCTGCACTAAACTCACAAACCAGCTGCACACTTTTTATTTCACAAAGGCTTTAAGAAGCTGAAGCAGGGTTTAATTTAAACATTTTAATAGGAACCACACAAGGGAGACAGCACATACAACACTACACACCTCAAACTGCACATTTGTACTGCAACAATCGACACGATTATCAGCTGCATTTGCTCTTGTATTGCTTCGATATTTTAAAATGTTTTCTGTAAAAGAGGCTTATTGCTAGGCTTTTAATTGCAAGAGAATTATAACTGATGATGAACTCTCAAGGTTGCATTGTGAGGTCTTATCACACCATCTGCTGGTTGGGATCTGCATGCACAAAGGGTGTGTTTAATCTGGGGCCAATGCAGTCTGCAGAATTAGTCTGGTCTTTTTTTCCTGATGTCACTGACAACATAGTTTCACTGCTAGATATGACTGCATGTATACTAGTTCATGCTTACTCATTTTTGTACATCTAAACTGCCCTGAAGAAGATAATTGATTTCTATCATTTATGTAAAAATGATAATAGATAAATGTGAAATCTAAGGAGAAGTTCCTTTAAGCTACAGAGTCGATAAGCTTATAAGGAGTGTGTAGATTTCAAACAAACATATTTTTTAAATGAAACTTTCTCTGGGGTAACTGCTTCCCACCTGATGGCAGCAGAATGTATTTTCCACAGACAAAGAGAGAGGGGGCTCAAATTTCACTATTCATGCTCATGAACGCAAACTATTTGGTGTGCTTATGTTTGTTAGGATTCACAGCAGTTTAAAGTTGTGTGGCGTGATGCGTCGTTTGTTTCCCAACACATATTTCTGCCCTTATGGGTCACAGAGGGCTAGAGCCTGTCCTTGCTGCCGTTGCACTAAAGGTCTGGAGGCCTACACCCTGGACAGGTCATGAGGTCACCACAGGGCTGACTCAGAGACAGAACACCAAAAATACTCTCCAACACCCATTGGATTCAACAGACTATTTGAGGAAGTCGGGACTCTTTGGGGAGCTGAAAATCCCAGCACTCCCCACACGGAGAAATATCTTATGGAAATGTAGACATTGACGCTGATTTTAGGATGTATGGTAATTTGTGATCATAGCTAAACATTAAAATACTGCCACAACCAAATACACCATCATGCGATATGCAAATAGAAAACAAACAAATTAAATAACTGCAAATTGTAATCATGCCACAGCAATAAACTTGGCCACTTGAGTTGGCTATTTTCCATTTAAACTCGTGACCTTTCTGTAACTTTGAAAGCCCATACCCCCCCCCCCCCTTTTTTTGAAAGAGTTGCCTTGACTCCCATCTTTAAAAATTGTTATGGTATTCGTTGAGTGATTTAGTTTTTATTTCCCATTTCCCCCTGCTGACTGAAATCTCCCACAGACCTTCCTGCCTCTGTGTGCACAGCAGCGCTCAAAAATCCACTATGGCAACAGAGGGGAAAAAAAGACAGGAAAAAAAGGAAAAGATTTGACAACATGGCGCACTTTCTTTGAGGAAAGTTTCTCTTGAGGCACACAGCTCAGTTTTGGGGGATTTCCTCGCCGTTGGACGACCTTTACGCAGCAAAGTTGACTTTCTGACTTCGGAGATACGTCTCGATGCACAAAGAGTAGACACAAACTGCGCAAAGAGTGGGATGGGATGAGAGCGACACCCCGTCTCACAAACCAACGCAGTCACACAGGATGGAGAAACAAGCAACTCTGAAAGAAAAGGTAAACACGTTTCCAAAACAAAAGCTGAGATGCGGTTTGCCACGTTTGTGCTGGTTGCCGTTCTGGGAACCAGTTTCGCCTCTATCATGCGTCGTGGGCAGGACATACCGAGTGACCATTCCTGCAAAAACCTCGTAAAAGTTCTCTATGGATTTTCCAGTCGTGCGTTCTGAACGTCACGGTGGAGGTGCGGGCTCTGCTGCCGCAGACAATGCGTAAAGGCGAACGGGACATTCTGCCAGCGTCTCGTGCGCACAAGGCCGTTACTCAGACCACACTCATTTGGTGTTGCGTGGAGGGATTCTTTCACTGCCAGGCTCCACGGCAGACAGTTTGACTGCACGGCCATAAGTGGACACCAAGCTGTTCCCCAAACTGAGCGTGTAAAACGCGAGAGGCGAGCTTCATTTTTACTTTTGAGATCCGAGCGAATCTCTGGTTTTGATTCCTTTCTGGTCGCGTTGCTCTCGTGTCTGCGTTTGTGCAGGCTCTCATTATCTCTGACTCTCCACCCTTCCTGCTCGCTGCTGCCCGCATGCAGAAGGCAGACCTCAAAGTGTTGCTGCAGATTCCAGCCTGGGAGGCTCTCATCAATAATGGATGCCCCCCCCCCCCGACGCGTCTCCGGGTGGGAACTTTCGCACGTCTGCAGGGGTGACAGCTGTGGAGGGGATGTCACCCACCCCGTCCACTCTCTGTGGCATTGTTTTAAACCACAATATGCCAACACATTAGTTCATCCCAGATGTTGTTTACATGGCAAAATTATTTCCATTTTGCCCATTCTTAAACTGCGGAGTAGGCACAGTGGACATCTGACCGTTAAGGCCTAACAACATTTTCCAACTGCTTCCTTTTAAAAAAGAACTAAAGGAAGAAAGATTAAGGCTAACTAGTGCATGAAAGCTGATGGCTGAAGCCGTATTGTTACATGATGTAAAATGTGCTGATAGTCAAAGCTCTCATTTGGGCTGCTTCTCCTCACTGGGTCTCTGGAAGTAATTACTCGGCCTGCCCCATCCCAGCATGCAGTTGGTGGAGGTGTGGTGAGAAAGAGGTGTAGTGGAAGCCAGCCCAAGAAACTTCCAAGCCTGAGATGGATCTCATTTTTCTGCAAAACTGAGCAAACCGTCCCTGTTCAACGTTCCCAACACTCACCTGTGAGCTGTAAATCAGTCAGCAGGGTTGGGACGCAGCTAGCGGAGGACCGGAGGCAGTGTAACTCCTTTAAGGAATGTGGAAACAATGATGGATTAAATGCCACCATGCAGATGACCTGGTCTATAAGCCAGAAGGGAGTTTCACTGCTCTGGGTTCAGATGAGTAAAAGCCAAATGACTGTCAGCTGCAGAATAGACGCGGGCTTTGTTGTATTTTTTGTGAACTGAACTAAATCCAATCTTGACTATTAAGTGACATATCTCTTCAAGTCCTCCTTTTAACATCTCTAAGCATAGCCTGGATTATTTAGAAACCTTCATTCAATGTACGATCCTAACAAAAAATATCATTGAAGAAAAAATGTGTTCTTTTCCTCTGATTTTCAAAATAGGATTTCAATTGTACGCTGCCTTATAATCACGTTAACTACATTAACCCTCCTGTTATGTTCATTTTTTAGGTACAGCAATGCTGTTCCCGGGTCAGTTTGACCCGGTGCATGTTTAATTATACAAAAGATGTCTGAAACCAAAAAAATCCTAACAAGCATTGTTAATATTTCATTACTAACTCCATTACTAACTACTCTATCAATATTTAGTGCAATGGTCTTTCTTACCTCTAACAGGTAATGATCCAATTATGATAATTCACTCGTTTTTTTTTTTTTAAACTGCATGTTCAAACTTTTTTTAATGTTTCACCACTTTATTACTTTTGAAAGACCAACATATAAAACACAATAGTTTTACACAACATTGAAACTAAATTTAAGATTGAGGGGCCCTGTCCTTGATTACCAGTAGCTCAGCAGGGAGATCAGCCCTGTTCTTTCGGACAGTTCCGACCATTGTGAGCCTTCTCTTTAGAAGCTCCTGACCCAAGTTGTAGTTTGTGAAAAAATTGTCACAGGTTATGTTCTGTCCCCTGAGACCCTGTGCCATATCGAGCACGACCCATGTGCCCCGATTCTTCTCTGGGGCTCCTCCAACCGGCTTTCCAGTGTAAACCTGCATGTTCAATGCATAGCTGGTGTTTGCTTCATATGCTGCCCATATTTAGCTGGTTTGGAAGGCATGTATTGCCTAAATGGGCAGCGACCTCTGAATGCCACCAGCCTTTCATCCACTGTGACATTAGGGCCTGGGTTATAGAGTAGTGGAAGTTGCTCTACCCACTTGTCCCACACTGTCCAAATAGCTGCAAGCTCGTCTCTCTCTCGTCTACCAGCCCTTGTCTCTTGATTATCAAATCGGATTACTCTGGAGAAAATGTGAAATGTCTCCAGAAACATTGTGGCTCAAAATATAGCCCTGCCTGTCTGTGCATCCCACAGACTGGCTGTCGATTCATCCTTAGACTTACAGACCCCAGCCAGGACGAGGAACCCCAAATACGCATCTAAACGCGTTTTGTCCAGCTCCTTCCACTTCTCCCCAAAAACACGCCTCCCTTCAAGATTAGTCAGTTCCCATATGATTTTCTGCATTGAATCTGGCATGACCAGCTCAAAAGCTGACTTGATGTCAGTCACATGAGTCACTGCCATCTTAGTGGGCCCTGGCACTGTCTTTATGATGTTTTCTGCAGTCAGTTTTGCCTGACGCATATTTGGGGATGAAGACCACTGTATTTCACCATTTTTTTACATGAATGCCATGTTTGGAGGAATAGGAATAGCAATTCCATCATCAGGTTCAAAATCATAATCATTAGAATCAGAATTTAGCTCAAGATAGTCTTCATCTTCAGACACATCCTCCTCTGTGTGTGTGTGTGTGTGTGTGTGTGTATGTGTGTGTGTGTGTGTGTATAGGTGTGTGTGTGTGTGTGTGTGTGTGTGAGAGATTGGGGTTAAACATGTCTCACAGTTGCAAAGAAAGAAATAGTCTGACATTTCTGACACCATTTTACCTCCAGTTTGACTGCTGGGTCAAATTGACCCGAACAGTATCTATGTGATATAAACATGCAGGGGGTGGTTGCAAATATGTGAGATGAACCATTTTCATATTATATGTTGATTACACTATTTAAGGCAAGCAGAAGAAGTTTCATACTGAAAAAATATTTTTAACTATTTTTCCCAGATCTTCAAACTTTAAAACGGGTCAATTTGACCCGCAACACAACAGGAGGGTTAAGCCATATTAAAGCAGCCATGGTATAGCTTCAGTAAAACAATATATTGAAAACGAATCACAGCTTTCCTGTTATTTCTCCCTATTTATTTATTTTTAACAGCAAACGATAACATTGACATGGCAATCACAGGTTGTATAAATCACTTCAAAGCTGTCCCCGTTAGTTTGTCTCTGCCGGTCATCCAGGGTCTGGGAGCTGGTCAGCACAAATGCAGTGAGGTGATTTTAGCTGAATCAGCGATGTCTGTGCTTTGCCTGCTGTGAAACGCTGTAAAAAAAAAGAAAGAAAGAAGGTATATTGAACTTCAGGGCCGCCGTATCTACATTTTAAAATACATCTGAGGAAAAAGATGTGTGAGTGTGGTGTACAGGCTCTGCCATAAAGTCGAAATTAAAAAATAAAAGCTCTGCTTTGGCTCTGGGTAACGTTCCCCTCGTACTTCCGCCGCTTGTTCCAGCTGCTGTTGTCCTGCCAACGGACAGCAGACGTTTTGGCATGTCGGAGCAGCCCAAGCCCAGCACATAAATATCTCAAACACAGGTTGGAGTCTCAGCAGTGCGCGCCTTGGCTGGCGCTCACGGCTTACCAGGAAGCCTGATGGAACAGGGGCCTCGTTAACTAAATGAGTTTCACCTGTGCGGCTGTGGAAAAAGCCCGGATCTTTTTTCTCTCTAAATCAGACCGATTACAGCTCTTCTTCCTTCCCTCCCTCTTCTCCAGTTTTCAATCTTTGGCTCCCGAGCGGGGGGCAGAGCTCTGCGGGGCGCTGCCGGGGACGAGGGCGCCCGCTATGGCCTCAGCAAAGCGGAGTTCATGGAGAAGGTGCAGCAGAGCAACGAGGCCTGTCAGCGGGGGGACTTCCAGGCCGCCGTCCACCTGTACGGCGACGCGCTGCAGGCCGACCCGCAGAACTGCATCCTGTTCAGCAACCGCTCAGCAGCTCTCCTCAAACTGGGCCAGCACCAGGCGGCCCTGGAGGATGCGGAAAAAGCCTGTGAGCTTAATCCCAAGTGGCCCAAGGTAAGCGCGCCTCCGGGGGCTTAAGCTCTGGATTTGATGATATCTTACATGATCCGCTGTACTGAGCAGAATGAGATAAGGTTTTAATTCTCAGAGTAGAAAGTATTGACTGGAGCTCTTAATAGAGTATGACTGCCAAGTATGATAAATCTGTGGCTGAAATCTAATTTGGGAGCTTTGAGGTCCATAGCATAGCAATTTTGAACTTCATCAGCGTTTAGCCGAAAAGACTGAAATGGGTTACAAGCTCTTCTGTTTTGTTTAAGGGTTGCTGACAATAGTTATATTTTCGTCAATGCAGGGACTGGTAATCTAATTTATTATGAGGTGGCGCCACCGTCACATCGGTGTTGTTGCACCTGGAGTAAAATTATTTTTCTTTTTTTCTATTTTTTTTTTTTTTACTTAGAACTAGTTAAACTAGTTAATATATCTTCAGTTAGAAGTGTTTCAATTTCTAATCACATTTTTGCTCCCTCGCTTCATTCTTGTGGTTAGTGATCGATAGAAACTTTTCTGGGGTCTCGTCTTTGATCTTGTCCAGGCCATGAGCACTAACCTGTGATGGATTTCACATTACTCAGCCACAGAGACCACTAGGAGACCAATTCCTCTCAGTGATAGAAATGCATTGATTTCCTGATTTAGCATGGAGGGATACTTTTGTCTTTGGAGAGAGAGATTGATGATAATGTGGTAGAGTGGTATTGACGACAATTTGTCGCTACCAATGATGCATCAGTGGCCATCTCTTCTTTGATCAGACTCCGTGTGTCTTTAGATGTTCAGGTAGGTTTCCTCCTCGGAGAAAATGTGTCATTACAGCAGGAGCTGAGATGCTGTCACTTTGGGTTACGTAGAAGTGTGCTTGCCCCATTGTCTCACAGATGGGGTAAATATGCATCTCAAAAAGCTGGCGCCTTCTTTTGCTCTGGATATTTGCATTTATGATGTACAGATGTTTTGATGCTGTTATTAATGACATCTTACAAGTTCTACAGCAGTTTCCTCTATAGTGTAGCTCATCTTAATTTCAGTGAGATTCATGCATTTCTGAGGCTTTGAGACCAAACTGTAAAATGAAAATCTTTGGCAAAATCATTCCCGTCCTTTTTTATATGCTATCCAAGTACAATGAACTCTTTGTGGTCTGACTGGGGGATGGTTGGCTTAATCTAGGCTGTGTAGCTCTGCTTATTCTTGGATTTACTCTCTGACAGCTTTAACTCCCATGGTGAAGTTTGGGTTATCATTCTTGGTGTGAATGTAAAGCTTAACCCCTGTGTTTTACTTTGTAACACGAGGCATAGGATTATCGTCTGTGGTATTGACATTGTTACTTATTCTCCTTTAGAATTTGATCATTTTAAAGTCACCACTAGGGGTCATTCTTGTCAAACAGAAGCTTCCATCAGTCATTTCCAAGATGCCTTTTTTTCTCATTTAGTGGTGCCAAAGGAAACTAAATTATCATCAAGGCTGGCTTTTATCTTTGTGTCATAAAAGTACTGAAATGTGTATTATGATTTTGTGTAATAAGATACTCAGATCCCAAGAAATAGGCCTTCCTTTTGCAACAATGACATTTATGGATGTTTTTTTGTGTTTTTTTTGCTTGCTTTTGCGTCCACCATCAATAATGGATAGAAATGATATGTGTTACAATTCTTGTATTCAGTCACTGCTGCCTGGCAGAATTAATTAATAATAGTGCTCTGGCTTTGGCCTCAGAAAAGAGACTTGGTGTTGAGCAGTCCATCTGCCATGCCTGCCACGCCGATGTTTGATGAAGGAACAGGGGTTAAATCACAGGAGTGTGCTGGCATTCAGATCCTGCGTGAACACATAATATCATCAATCATGCCGCCTATGACTGCACTTCTGTGCTGGCCCATCAGCTGGTGACAGGCATGGTGTTGCTGCCCCAAGCACCAGTGAGCAGCCCACCCTCCTGAAGCCAGCCGGTGGAGGAACTCCCCGTCTAATCTGTCAGCTTCCACTGCTTTAACCGCCATAAAACACATTCTGAGAGAAGAAAGAAAATGTGTGGTTAAATGACCCACGACAGCTTTAGGCCCTTTGTGCCTCTCCCCTTTCCTGCATATAAACAGCTTAAATGAGAACAAAATAGAGCCTTATTTTATAGACATGGGTACACACTTCTGTGCTTGCTCACATTTTGACTCTGTGTGCCTGGCTGGAAGGGAAGCTGGAATAAGATCTGTGAACACACAAGGTTTTTCTACCCTGTGGTTCATTACCTTTGAAGTACAAAAAGAATGCTACTGCCACAGAGTCTTGTACATTAGCTTTTTGATAGCTTTATGTGGCATTTATCTATTGTAAAATATATCCAAGCTTAATTTGCATGGTACTTTCCACATGCCTCAAATGCTTTTTATGTCCACATGAGTGACTGAGCGGACAACACTCCTCTAGACTGAATCCAAGTAAATTCTGCCTCTCCATCTGGTCCCTCCCTCTCAACACTGCTGTTCCAATGACATGTTAAACAAACAGCCCTTTCTGCTATCACTCTCTCCCTCTCCAGCTTGAGCGCTGACAGGAGAGTTTCTAGGGAACAGAAAGAAAAGTGGCACTGCAGTGTCAGGGGAAAGACTGCTATCATTTGCATGGCTTCTGATTATGGGTTATGATGGTGCTTATCAGGGGTATTCTGTCTTTTCAAATGTGTATTGCCAAAGTTACAGATGATACCCACTTATCATGATGGTTAAGCACCTTCAGGTCTCAATTTTGAGATGAAAGAAGAATACTCTTTTCATTTCATGCCACTGTTTGGATATATTTTACTGTTTGATAGACATAAAATATACTTTTATGTCTCAGTGGAGTGGCTCTGGGTTTAACTGAAACATTAGTGTTTGCAGTGGAAAAGGTCACCATGTCTGGAGTGTCCAAAGGTGACTTTAATTACAGAAGCACTGGATGTAGCTGCTGACACCCAAGCATGAAGCTCCTCTTGATTTCAGGGCGATAAGACTGTATTTTGTTCTTATGCACATTGAATAGGACGAAATGAATCTGGTGTGCGTTTGATCTGAATTGCTCATCCTCTGTCCCCCTCAGCGGGGCTCTGCTTTTCATGTGGATGAAAACCATCCGGCTCTCCGCTGATTTTTACTAATGTTACTGAGAAAAAAGGCTTAATGATCAGTTATAGTTTTCATAAAATGTTGAGGGAATCCTACTGAAATGTAAAATTGTGGGTATTTGTGTATTAGCATGTATCATGCAGCCCAGAGTTTGTTTACACCCTTTTAATTTGTTGCTCAAAACTCATATAAAAGCAGGGGCTGTTAAGAGAGTTAGTCTTCTCACTGCACGGCTCAATGGTTTTAGTGGAATTTTTAATGAACCATTGAAAGGCTTGCTGTGAAGTTTATTTTTTATTTTTTTATACCAATATTAACACCACCCCCTCACACATTTACTCACACATTCAAATAGCGTTTTCTGTTATAAAGATTTTTTGTTCTCTTTTTGTTTCTTTTTTTTAATGCACACATTCTCAACTGAATTAGCACATTTGGGCTCAGTATCCTGCCAAAGAATGATTTTAAAATGCATATAAATATATATACACACACGCTCATAATATGGCTTGGAATCAAACTGCCAACCCTCCAGCGGGTGGTTTTGTGTCTTCTATCTGAGCCATGGCTTTATCTTCAACAGGTCCATATCATTTATCCTACATAAGGTTAGGGGATCAGCCATAGTTGTACTGGTATCTCATGTTTTTATTGCTGCTTGGCAGCATAAAATTATGCTGCATCCTCTACTAAAAAACAACACCATTAATACGTGAGAGACCCACTGATAATTACATCAAGATGCCATTTTTAATGTCATAACTCTGTGTAAAGCATTCAAAAATCAATTAAAAAGTCACCCCCATAAATGTGATGAGCTTTTCAAATATAGTATGAACACTTGTCATTTAATGCCTCACTAAAGAAAAAAAAAACGTTTACACCCAACTAGGAAGCTGAAAGAGTGGTTTGATCTTACTGTGTTATTAGTGAACTACATTTTTAAAACCCGAGAGGTTGTTGTACCTTGGTGTTAAATTCATGTTCCATAGTTAAAAACTAGTGTGTAGCAGCATCCCCTCCCACATGGTTCCTCTTTTAGAGGACTTTGTTGGTCGTTAAAGGAAACGCTTCAGTGCCAGTCCTCCCTGCCTGTGTCATCGGTAGTTTTGGAGGACTATGGGTTGTAAATTAAGTTATTAAGCAGTAAACTAATGAGTTTAACTCTTACCCTGGAACTGAATAAAAAAATATTGAGCTCTGAACTGTCAGGACAGATTATTTATCGGTTAATATTTGATAAATACCTAGATATTTACTATTAAACCATATATTAGCCTGAAAGTTTAGAAAATATTAGATTCCATCAAACATTTGGCACACTTTTTTCTCAGTCAATATATTGACTGAGAAGATGTATTCAATAGATTCTCAGATACTGGAAACGGTATTTAACAGTAAAATATCCTCAGCGGAGTCACATTATTTAATCAACACTAAAATATTCCTTCATTGAGAATGAATGGATATTTAAGTGTAATTTCAGCCCAAGCTTTGTATGACATGCCTTGTGGGAGTGTCCTAATTTGCTGAATGTGCTTATGAAGTCATTTTAGTTGGAATGTTTATACCATGCTCAACTTTATGAAGCTGCATAATTTGTTAAATCTTATCTTAAATTACATACTGGGTGTTTGAAAATGATTGGAGAAATGACGGATGCATTGGAAGTTACTAAAGAGAAGACATCTAGAATTCAGTCCCTGTTTTGTATAATTGATTTTTAGACAGTATACTATAGCCACAGTTTTATATTTTCCACCTTTTCAAAAAGTGGTGTCGGACATAAATCCATCTGATCTATAAACACAATCTTGGCCTGAGATGACTTTTATCTATAATCTCAGCATGTGGATGAAAAATGAATTTGAAAACACAGTTGTTTCCCTCTGTGTCTCCTCATGAAGGTGTGCTCTGGGTTCAAAGAAAACTCCCAGAAATCCTCCTGACAGCTTCGCCCCTCCCACTGCTGCTCCACTGTTTTCCACTCTAGCTCCAACGCTCACCATGGAGAGAGCAGAGTTATGAACCACTAATGAGAGGGTTCCGTTTTGCTTCTACCCAGCCGAGTCTTGACCTAATGAACAAATCAAATGAATGGCGTTTAATTATAGGACACAAAGACCGGCATGGACAGGGGGTTGGCGCTAGTGGGCACAAACCTGAAATTATTTGTCTGGAAAATCTGTGAAAGGAGCGGGAGCAGTTAAAATCAGATTTTCGTTTTTTCCTTTCGAAGGCCACTGTGGCTAAGCCGTGCAGCACATGTGCACTGCACACGACGGAGGGAAAATGACCACACACACATACGTACACATGCCTGCTGTTTTGATTTGAACTCCACGTCCTTGGCAGCTACGTCTTCACACAGATGAGATGGAATTAATTCTGAGCCGCAGTCAGTTTGCTCAGCTGTGCTGTTTTCTGCCATCCACAGGGTGTTCTTCTT